GAAAGTGGTTGTACAATCTTTACAACTTTGACAATTTTGCACTCACCTTGATACATGTTATTATCAGAGATTGTATCACATGTCTCTGTTATTATATTTTGAAAATATCATATATACTACATATTCATGATTTTGGCAAAGCATTACACATCGTTTATAATTTAGACCCTCCTCCTACCCTAAATGAATGTTATTTAATTGCTTTAATCTCGAATTATTGATGTTCCAGTAAGTCAAAAATTAATGTTTATTCTTATTCTTCAATACCAACTTTCTTCAACTCGAATTTTACAGTTGTAAATGATTTTGCATACACGAAGTTACCTTTCCGCTAGCCTTTAATATTGCTTCTGCGTATGCTCTACCAAGACCTCGGGCGCCTCCTGAAATCAATGCTACTTTTCCTTTCAACTTCATCTAGCGGCTTCTGTGATTGCCAAGTTATAAACAACAAAACAAGAGTTTGAAGTTCAGTGTTATCAATGTATGTGCTATATTTTGACCTCTCCAATCGTGAAGCGTACTAGCAGGGACGAATACGTTGATTTTCCGCTTCTTTCTATCATAACATCATTCAATCAGTGTCCTGTTTTAATCTATATTATATCAGAGACATATATACACATGTGTATATATGTCTCTGATTATAATCAAATATTAAAATGAATTTATATTATTATTAAGGAAATGCTTGATATCTAAGTCCCAGTATAAATTTGAACAAAATTTTAGTTGAGTTTTCCCACTGGCTTGGCTACTACCATGACTACAGAGACATATTATATATATCATTCATCTCTCAGTCTGGCTACTACTAGTATCAATCATTTCTAAAATTCAAACTTACTCAAGGCTTACTGTTGTGTTCGCCTATAAGCTCTTGTTTAATATTATTTTCTCTGTTTCTTTGACCGATTTCGTCTTAGAGTGAAAAGGGGGGATTGGCCCAGAGTAGCTAGAGGGAAATGGGAGTTTGGGAGGGCAGTGCGAGGAATCAGGAAGTCCCTGCTCACCCCTTTCGCCCACTGCAAATGTTATATGCGTTATCAGTTATATGCAAATGCTTTGAACTAGATCGACACACTGATACATATTTTAATAACATGATAACTTCAAAGGTAGATATATTACCATACTCATACACACGTTATTATAAATATGAACCGACGGCTGACAATCTTTGTTCTCATTCCCAAATGTCGTGCCATAGATTGGCAGAGAAGCAGAAAATGTCAGTTTTGAATTCTTTTTGTTAAAACCACTGAGCGGGGATCGACTCAACCTCTCACACTCAAAGCGAGCACGTTTATATTCTACGATCGTGACATTTCCAAATGCAACTTATTCCGTATTTTTCCGTACATAATGAGCAACACTAATGCATCAGGAATTGCTTATCCTTTTAAGCACCTGAGTAGTTTTGCTTAAAGGGATTCATTCGTGTTGCTTTTGCTTTAGTTTTCAGTGTTGTATTCCTGGTCGTTTTATTTTTCGAGTTCAGGGATGTTTTACTGGTAAGCTCTATCACAATTGACATGAAATAAAGGATACCACAGATACAGTTACGTCTGCTTCCTATCTTGACTTACATCTATAAATAAAAAAAAGAGGATCGGTTGAGAACTAAATTTCAAGACAAGACAGAAGATTTCAACTTTTTCCAATAGGGGGTTGGTAATTGACTCTTCTCTTACTCTAAGAAATCTCAAGTTGATAAACCATTGGTCATGTCCATTCTGTGTAGCAACATTCCATAAGCGCCAACAGATGCCATCATGGAGTAAGCAACTCCCAGTTGATAAGATATCCCCGGACTTGCGTTCATGATTTTTAACAGAAGATTACTGCTTACAATTAAGGAAGCTATTGCTCCAAGGCTTCCAAACGGTATAGTTTAAGTAAATCCCTTCTAAAAAATTATTAACGCCATAAATATTTGGTTAAACGTTATGCAATATCTATGCCATAGATGATCACGGATATATATGTTCTATGTTCCGCTTGGTATAGTTTTTTCCCAACCACACCCTGTTCTATTTTCCTCCATTGTGACATTACCGAATGCGACTTTTCAATGTACTTTTACGGTTTCCTACTTTTACTTACAACAAGTAACACGACGGCTGCCACCAGTGAAACAGGATCATCTTTCCCTTGTGGAGCACCGGCGTTCACCCCGGTTTTTGATGGCGTACGTATTGTCTCAGGGGCGGATCCAGTCATTTATAAAAGGGGGTTCCCACCAAGGATAAAGGGAGGGGGTCCAACCATATGTCCCCATTCAAAAGCATTGATCGTCAAAAAAGGGGGGTTTTGTTGACTCTGGTATCTTCTCTTTCTCTTTTTATATTGTCTTGCGGGAGTAGTAATAGGTAATATACCATGATCGTATGATTTGATATATTCCCTTATGAGCTTGACTTTCTTCTGTGGCCATTTTTCATAAGATGGAATGTGAATTGTGGAACATCTTTACAAGCATAAAAGTGAAACGTTCAGTAAAAGCCATGACAAAGAAATCATCATAATATATTCTATTGTTTTCTGTCTCGCTCCATATAGCTGCTTAAATCTAGTTATTATATATTAAGTTATCAGAGAGAAATTAAATGTAACAGACTGGTGTTATCAGAGAGTAATTAAATGTAACAGACTGGTGTTACAGACAGTATTTACATGTTACAGACTCGTGTTACAGACAGTATCAAAGGAAACACCAACTTGACTGATGCATACTGGGGTGAAGTTGAAGGATGTCGTTTTCATTATATCAGCTATTACTTCCTTATATCCATGGTGATCGAGTTATTTGCCTTAATGTAACAATAGTTTAAAACCGGATAAACAATGATTGACATGTCATATGATAAAATACTTGTGAAAGGTCTTACAAGTTTAAAGGTTTTGAGCAATTCATAACAAAATAAACAGAGAAAAATAGTAAGTTTATTTTTTATTCTTATTTGAATTAAGATTGTAAAATTCAATCGTAGAAGTTATTTTTCAGTTTGCAATTGATTATTAGGAATGAATACAGAAAAGGAGATGTAGGAGTTACGCCAATGAAACTGTAACCCAGCGACGAAAATGATAACCCCAAAATTCATTATTCAATCGACGGACAATTGGTGAACAGTATACTCTTGGTTCGGCTATTTGTAACTAACATGTTTTTTCGTATTTGGAAACATATCAAACTCCATTTTTATTTTCGATTTATTAATTTTGATCACACCTTGAAGTCTTATTTGTTTTTTGTAAACTAACTTTAATACTACGATTTAGACAACACATTAAGATATGATTTTGTTTTTGTCTCAAACATATATAGAACTGGAATTTTGAAATAATATTTCAATAAAAGCAGTCAATTTGGTTCAACTAATGTTTTATTGGCTTGCAAGTCAATTATTCAACCTCTGATTGAGTCATTTGAATCCTCAATATTCATGCGATCTTCAATTATACCCTTAGTTGGGTTACGCATTTTCTAAACATGTTCAGTTATAAAAAGAAAAGAATGTCTGATTGAAAAAGAAAGAAGGGAGCAACCGGGAAGAACCATTTCGTTTACTAATGTAAAATTATTCTTATACAGGTAAAAACGATGATTTACATTTTGTTTTAATCATGACATGAAAGCAAACAGATCCACAGGAAAATTAGCATTATTTGGATTTGATTGCACGTGCTTGTCTGTGTATTGATATTTATGTTTATATCAGGTCATAGAAAATCGGCATTCTTCAAGGGTCATCTCGATGGTTACCTATAGATTGCGTCTAGTTTAAAATTCACAAGCCTGAAGCAACGCTGATACATTATAAAGAGTCCATGCATTTTTGATTGTTTCTTGTTTACCACTTGTAATGAATCAACAATGAGAATTTTAGTCAAATCGGTTAATATAAATTTGACAGCTAATGCCCATTAAGACGCGTTTGATATATACATTTATCTCACCTCCTATATATTTCTAGGACTATGATTGGTTAAAAGCAACCGCGTGGAGACCGTGTATATTCTATATTGGTTTAGTAGGCGGGGCTAATTTCAATACACGGTTAGTAGTGGTGTTACGTCCCTTTATAAAAACAACACGATGTTTAGGAAAAATATTAAACGTTTCAACAGACGAAAAAATTGATGATGAACGATTGAAATAAATTAATAAAACACATTTAAAGCTAACAAGTATTTATTGTTGGCATGTGTTTTTGTACAGACTAATTGAAGTAGGTTCTTTATACTAACGGTATTGAAGACTTGATTACTTTGATAGGCCACTAGTTAAGATAGTCGGCAAGATAATTCGTTACATAGTGTGCTAGTGACCTAATGCGATATATATGGGGTCAGTAAATTCCATATGAGGATTCGAGCTTCGCTCTCATCCCATATGGAATTTACTTACCCCAATATATCGTATTAGTTCACAAGCACACTATATATATGTAACTATATATAATAATATTAGTTAGTTTTATCAAAAACCGATTTTGTATTCTTTAAACATTAATAGATTGGGTAATAGAACATTTTTCTTTCTATCAGAGCAATCAAAGTATATAGATGACGCCATTCATTGTCTTGCTGTTTTTGTCTTCGGTTTTCGCAACACAGTCTTACATAGAGGAATGGAATGGATGTAAATTTCAAATAGAGGACGAGTCGGCTGAATATTTTACGAAATGGGTAAAAATACTACAGGGAATGCTGGCACATATAAAATTCAAATTTTACGACAAAACGTTTAACGCGACTGACGAGGTCCTGTTTCCAGACAGATGGATGTGGACATTTGTACCTCCTGGAGGAGGAAAATTTTACATTTCATGGCCTGTAGACTATTTTGTTTATTCGTTTGGTCTACTCGACACGCACAGTCTAAAATATCCAGTTACACTCTATGTTCAAACAGACCCCGAAAACTGCAGCATTCTTTTCGGTGGTAATCACACTATTCATGAACTAAGCAATGCTCTGTATAACATGTCAGAATATTACCTTTTCAAACTCAATGCACTTTATGAGTACAGTTATTGGTGTTATATAACAACAAACTCAAAGTTTAGAGACTCCACGTGGTATATGCTTAACCAATACCTAGGTGTTCCGCTTCAGTTGTTTGGTTATAAATGTTGTCGTAATTTCATGGAGAAAAGGGAAGCGATTTGTGACATAAGAAACGAAAATATCTGGAATATTTATCAACTCCTGCCATACTACATTGGAATAATTGCCATGGCGTATTTCCCTCTTGTTGTTGTAAAGATAGGAAAACATGCTATCGATTCTGGAGAAGAGTTAGATAATTCAGGTACCCAACTGTTAAGTCTAGAAACTAAAGATACAGATTTTCTGTTTCTAAAACAAAGGGGACCGATATCCATTTCCAAATTATTGTTTGGATTATTTGGTCTTGGTGATAGACATCCGCTCCTTGTCTCAAGAATAAGAAGAACAATGTTTGTATTGCTAACTCCGATCATTGTGTATGTATTTCTCCTTGTATATCATGGACTTGGACAAGACCTCATCAAGGAGATAGTCAAGCATAAAATACCATGCGGTTTCATGTCACTTCTCGGTGGATTCACAGAAAGCAGGGATTTATTTCTTCCAATGTTTGGAGGCCCAGTAATATCCCTTATTCTATACAACATTGTTGGACTGATTGTAATATTGGTTCCCGTAGATCTTTCTAAAATTTTGGAACAAGGTCTACCACCGGACACAAAGCCATTTTCAACTCTTCTTATGCTAGATGTAGCCACTATAGAAAAATTCTCAAAAAAGCACTGTCGAAACTTCAGTAGATATAGAAAAGTATATTCAGTGATGCGAGGATCTATTTACATGCTTATAAATCCAGTCTTTTTGAAGTTCATAACTTTATTTCATTTACGTAGATGGAAATCCATTATGATGGCTTTATGCAGTTGTTGTCACATGAAAAGATGCTTTACGTTTTTTGTTCGTATGCCATTGTTTATTATTTACATCTTTTGGTGTATAGTTGAAACTCTGTTATTGTATATTTTCTATGGGTTTCCAATTTTTCTCTTCATTTTGTCAGTCGTGCGAGGATATGTCCGTCATTTCAAGCAATCAAACAGACGGATGCTAGTAGTATCCAGTGTATGTGCGTTTATATTATTTCCACTTTGTTGCCTTTTCTATTTCTTTATGTTCATTATCATAATTCTGCAATCCTTCACTATCATTGGCTACTTTATATTTTTTCTTTACTTGTCATTGATCGTTTTTCCCAGTCGTTCATTTGGATTTATCTATTTTATCATTATGTTCATTTTATTTGTACATACTGTGGTGAAAGAATTTGAAAACGAGTATCAAGCATTACTAGAGTTTACAATCAAAGCTTCGGAAAAACTCGTTAAAGTTAAAATTGCGAAAGAACTACTCGACCATAAAGCTAAAAACAACAGTGGATGCTGTGCAACCGAATGTTTGGCCTTGACAAACACAATTCCTTTAGGAATGTCTTATGAATCGTTGTCCATTCAGTACGGATTTCAAAACGATTATGTTCTGTACAAAGGACAGGTGCCAGGAGTCAGAAAAGATCTGTTTGAATACATTATTGACAAATTTCTACCCGTTCACATAGCATTTTTTCATATAATAATTCAGATTCTGTGTGTGCAGGTACTTGTATTAGTATCAATTATCTTCATTTCAAGATACATTAAAAACTTTACATCGGACGAGTCCAATGAAGTCTTGAACGTTATGTCAGTTGTCGTCGTTACCATGTTCCCAAATCTTATTCGTCTGCTTTTCGTGCGAGTGCACAATAAAAATGTTCGGAAAAGGAAAGTCAGACAAAGTATAATAGACTTCTGGGAAAAGAAAAAGAAATTTGCAATGGAGAATTAAACATGCTGATTCCTAAGTATAATTCAATTAAAAACTTTCAAACTTTTCCAAATAGAGAGACTGTGCGAGAACCGAATTTATCAAATAATCTCTTAGAATATAAAGTCAAATTTTAGTGTGTAGACAATAAGATCTATAGGCACTGACTAGTGACAAGGAAGTTCTCCGAATGATACAAGATGGAAAGATTTTTTTTATGAAAATTTTCGGATACGCTCGAACTTTAGTTTTGTTAGAAAGTAAGTAACAAAATGCGATTTTCGTTTGTTGATGGTAGTACATGTGTGAAAACTTATGTTCAAACTTGTATCAAAACTGACAAAACGTCATCATCACAATTGATAATGGATTACATCAACGGGTATAAATTCTACCAAAATCCATTGCATGAAAAACATGAAAACTCCTAAGTTCCAACCTCTACTTGCGAAACAATTTCAATATCAATTTATCAAATTGTAGTGTTTTTTGTTCTATTGTATCTTTTACGAAAATGTATGTATCAATACCATATGTTTTTTTTAGGAAAAATCTATGGAATTGAAATTGGAGATTTGGTAATTATAAGACAAATTTAAGAACGTATTTCGCCGATTGTATGTGCTTTCTATGCAAATGTTCACCTATTTTGAAAGAATTTAATCAGTAATATTTCAGAAAATAAATAAGATAAATTCATTATTTTTTCGATTTTTAGCTAAAATACAACGAGCCAAAGTTGCATGCAAAATTTTATCAAAATCTGTAACATAGCTCATTTACTGTTTCTTGACCTTAAGTAAAGTGTTATGTTTCTTTTTGCTTTTTATAAAGCATATGATTTGAAAATGTATAGTTTTGTACATTCTGTTGTAAAATAAAAGTGTCAGATAGTATAAAGTATTGTTTCCTAAAAATTTCGTTGGCTATATATTGGTAGTTGTATCTATAACCAGCCCAAATCTGTTTTGTATTTAATTATGTGTTATGTTATAATCTGCCGTTGCATTTTACTATTATCTACGATGCAGAAAAGACGATGTCTACACGAAAAAAACATACTTGAATTCAAATTTGCTTTAAGTAGGTTGTTCCTGTCTCGTTCGCATATAACATAACGGAAACGAAGGAAAACAAAGATATATTCGTTCACGCATCTGACAAAACCCACAGTAAAAATACAGCACTGATAGTGCTGATCTTCGTCATAAAGTCACATCCTGGCCTTCAACACGGAGCAAAAGCTCATTTGTCATTTGCTCAAACACCGTTAGTGTAATATTGAATCTATAATTAAAGTATAAATATTCGAGACGAGTGAGCGAGTTACGATAGATATGAATGTTTCATATCATTTGAGGAGAACCGCTAGTGGGTTATTGTCAATGCTAGTCTGAATGGAAAAAAAACAACATTAAATTTAATGCTAGTATTAGTGATAAATGACTTTTACAGGGTTGTAGTTTTCTTGTGTAGCATAATAATGTTCAGCAATATTTAGGTCACTATGTCGTGTATTACTTGTTTGAGCATCTTTTGGTAAGTTATATGAGTCTTGACAATTTTTTGTATTATATTACCACAAAACTTTAGTGTGCTTCAACTAAAAATGCACTTCTCTAACAATTAGATCACAATAAAATATTCCAAACTAGCTTTGATGTGAACAAAAATTGGTTCAGTTTACAGTTTAATGTATTCAGCAGACCTTAATTATGTATTCAGGTCCATCGTTCTGAATGGATGTCGATTTTTATGACAGTGAAACTCGAATCGTTTCAAACGTCAATATCTATAGACAGATCTATTTGCTTACTTATGTTATATATATATATGATGTGTATAACATAGATACAATCTGTAATTTATTTTAAAATAAGGTGTGGTATGATTGCCTCTAAGGCAAATGTCCACCAGAATCCAAATAACATGGATTTAAGTAACTATAGATCACTGCACGGCCTCCAACAATGAGCAAAACCCATAATTATAGTAAGCTCCGACATGACAAGATGCGAAAAAAGAAAAACAAAGGCCTGATTTATGACAAAACAATAAACGAAAAACAAATACGTTAAACAGCTACAAACCACAACCACCGAATAACAGACTCCTAACCTTTGAAAATATCTCAACTCGTCAGATCAGTATGAAGACAAAAATAAAACAACATACCGATCTAAGAGTACTCGCAATTACTGAAAGCCATTTTAAAGCTAATTACAACTAATAAATAAATCAAGATCTCCCAAAAGAAAATATCAATCAGTACACATCCACGGGATTTAGTGTAAGAATGTTATGAACAGCTTGAGAAAGGATGACCTTGTGCAATGAAAAAAAAACAATTCATAATATTGACAGGATGTAGGACCATAACCTTTCATATCAGTACAACACTACATATCTACTTGTGTTTTAATTTATCAAAAACAAAGTCAATGTTAGTATTGATAAAAATAGTATTCAAACACTTACTAAGGTGTTAAATTATGTCTGTTGTGCATGATGTGTAACTTGTACCATAAAGCAGTATCAATACGAACCAGGAAGACTTTCTGTTGATATGTTTATGAACTTTTACAAGTGGGATATAGATTTCACAAATTGATCAAAACTGTTTCTTATGTTAATAGCAAATATTGAAATTTAATGTTGAAGTACGATATCACTTTTGGGAATCAGATCAAAAAAAGGGGCGCAATTCATTAAGCTAACAAGATTAGCGGGCCGCTTTACTCTCAGTCTTTGGCTAACTGAATAGACTAGTGCTGTTCATTTATTATCCGAAATAAGACTTAAATGTTCAATTTGTTTTTTTCCATGTACGTGTAATACATGCAGACCAGGCAAACTTTCTGTTAACGTACTAAATAACTTTTAAAACGGGGATATAGATTTCATAGATTGCTAAAAAAAAGTGTATCTAAATTATAGCACAAGAGTTGAGTTTTATTGTGACGTATGATTCCACCTGCTGGAAAATATATACATGTACAAGAACGATGATAATATTTCTCAAGCTAACAAGTTCAATAACAAGACTACAACGATCTATTTGTTTTATTCTGCATTGATTTTCTGCTGTACATATTTGTTCATGGAATTGTACAAGTGTCTTCTTATACTTCTGCTTTATAAAATCTCTGCGTGAAGTACAGTCATCAAAATTAGAGTTGTTCATATCAGCAACATTGAGGTTACGAGCATTCTGAGATTTGTTGTTGTTGTTATCTAGGATACTGGTATTGTGGAGTTAGTGTTAAGATTTTATTTATTGATTCTGTTATCTAGGATACTGGTATTGTGGAGGTAGTGTTAAGATTTTATTTATTGATTCTGTTATCTAGGATCATACTGGTATTGTGGAGTTAGTGTTAAGATTTTATTTATTGATTCTGTTATCTAGGATACTGGTATTGTGGAGTTAGTGTTAAGATTTTATTTATTGATTCTGTTATCTAGGATACTGGTATTGTGGAGTTAGTGTTAATATTTTATTAATTGATTCTGTTATCTAGGATACTGGTATTATGGAGTAAGTGATAAGATTTTATTTATTGAATCTGTTATCTAGGATACTGGTATTGTGGAGTAAGTGTTAAGATTTTATTTATTGATTCATTCAAGTTTTACACATTGGCATGATTATATAATTGTAGTTGAATCATTAATTCGATTCGGAAACAAATGTTTAGCTTACAATGTATTGCACAAACCAATGACAAAAATAAACAAAAGACATCTAAATGGATACAAATAGTCAACAATAAACAGGTATCTATACAATATTTCATGTGCTTCTGCTGCTGTAAATGTTGTACCGTTAAATGTTATCATTGGTTAGATATCTTTACTGGGAGACTCACCAGCCTAATTTGTCAGTACTGTCACCAGCCTAATTTTTCAGTACTGTCACCAGCCTAATTTTTCAGTACTGTCACCAGGCTTATTGTTCAGTACTGTCACCAACCTAATTGTTCAGTACTTCAAAGTTCTGAATTCAAAATACGGACAAGGTTTTAAGTTGTAGAAACTAAAAATCTATTGCTGCTAAAACTTCAGGATTCCTTAAACTTTTAACTTAATGTCCATGAACTTATTACGAGTTTCTTGTAATCACCTTTTAGATCAATTGGAGATCCCAATTAACCCTTTTTGTAATTGACATCAGAACAGATGAAATGGAGCCATTGTGTCCTTTTCCTTACTCGTTATCATCGTCGATGTAAACATTGTTCTTTGCTCTCCAAAATTCTATAACTCTTTGTCGGATTTTCCTTTTTCTTACCTTATTGTTATGTACTTTACAGAAGAAAATACGTACAAGATTTGGAATCATTGTTACAATTATAATACACATTACATTCAGGACGTCACTGGAGTCCCGTGACGATTCCCTCTGTATGTACGTGGTAATAAATAATATAGAGATCAAAACGATAACTTGTAGCACTAAAATTTGCACGATGATATGGAAGAATGCGATATGTACGGGATAGGATCTATCGATAACGAACCGATACAGATCTCTTCGAACTCCTGGTATCTGTTTTCGAAATCGTACATATTCGATTCGATTATCATGCTGTATCGATGTAGTTTGATTAAATATTTCTAAGGGAATTCTGTTAGTAATTGCTATAAATTCGGGCATAGAGCAGCCTGTACAGTTTTGTCTTTTATTTAGTAGTTCCGTTGCTAAGGCAGCCTTTTCCACTTTAACGGATGCTTGTATGGTATGATGCAATAAGTCTTGGTATTCCTGTTTAAAATCTTTCAATACACTATGTACATATAGAATGAACATAATTACATAGTATACGAAACCAAAAGACCATCCTGGAAATATCACAAGGGATAAGTAAACGAAAAATATGAAATAACCAATGATCATGAAAGTTTCCAGACTTATCATGACCAACATAAACATGAAAAAGAGAAAGCAAATAGGGAAAAGTATTGATAATACAACATTTAGCATAAATGTCTGTTTTTGTTGTGCTCTTTGGAAATACTTTGCGTATCCTTTGGCAGTTGACACCACAAAATAACAAAAGGGAAAGCCGTAATAAAATATCATTAATACCGTCTCTAAAATACAGAAACAGAAGTAAGATACAAATACAGGCAGACAAATAATGGCCATACAGATCGTCCCAACACACCCAGGACACAATTTATCTATTACTTTTCTCAATCTTGTCTTTTGGAACGATAGGACATAACACCAAAATGACGGATTTATTAACATGTATAACGATCCTCTCATTACAGAATAGAATCTCCGGTAGCCAGATATTTGACTGCATTTCTTCTTCGAAAACTTTTCAATTGTTACCAAGTCTAATGTTAAAAGTGTTGAATAGGTTGATTCGTCAGGAGATAACCCCAACTGAAGGATATCAGACAAACTTCTTGGAACTAACGTCAATATTAATCCTACTATGAGGTATAAAATGAGCGAAATTGCCGGACCACCAAACATTGGTAGGTACAGGTCTAGACTCTCAGTAAAACCACCGACAACAGATACAAACCCATGTGGAATTCTATGATTGACTATTTCTTTCATCAAATAACGTCCTTTCTTGTAGTAAAGTAAAATAAATATGTATACAAGAAATGGAGCCAATGTTACAAATATAACTCGTCGTATTCTCGACACAATTACCGGATGTTTGTCAGCCAATCCAAAAGCGCTGACAATCATTTTAAAGACTGATATATGACCTCTTGTTCTCATAAAAATATAGTCGTCATCCTGATTTGGTATAATTGAATATTCCGATTGTAACGCGATATGTTTTATGTCATTACTGGATTCCAAAGCTTCATGTCCAAATTTTAGAAGAGCAAGTGGAAAATATACTAGGAAAACAAGTCCTATGTAAAAGGGTATTAGTTGATAGGAATTCTGTATGACATTTTTGTGGTCACAAATTAACCGTTTCTTTCCACCACTGTTCCGACAGCATTTATATCCCAATAGTTGTAATGGTACGTTTAGGTATCGACTTAAACCATAGTACAATGAGTTATTAAAATAAGAACTCCTCGACAAATAACACCAGTAGCTATAGTCATACATCTCGTTGATTTTATAAAAGTGTTGCTCCTTGGCCATTTTTTGCAAAGCGTTACCAATTCCTTCAGTAGTTTTAGGATCGCCGAATGTAATATTGCAGTCCGGAGGAGTAACGTTTAAGTAGATTTTTGTAGGATATAAAGTATGCGTATCGAGTAGACCGAACGAATACACAAAGTAATCCAAGGGCCATGAAATGTAGAATTTTCCACCGAAAGGAGGAACAAATGTCCATATCCATCTGTTCGGAAGCAAAACGTCTGGTGTTGAACTATATGTCTTGTTATTTGTAAACGCAATGTCCAAAGGAGCAACCATTCCGTCTATAATTTTAAGCCATTTAGCTAAGTAATTGCCGGATTTGTTCTCAACCTCAAAATGACACTTTTTTGGCTTTTCAAGATCATTTGAAGCATTACAAGAAATAATAAAAGTAACTAGAAGTATCGTGACGGCGTAGTCAGTAGTCCTACTTCCACACCTTCAACAGAAAAAAATGGTTAGAAAGATCTCGAAAACAAGGACACAGACCCTTCTTTTTTTTCTGCCTTTTTAGTTCCGTTATTTATTTACTATCAATTTATAACACTCTTTTAAAAAGCTTGTTATTTTTGAAACAGAGTCGCGACCATCCTTAATCCTTCAATCCGCCATGTTTCTACAAAACTATAGATGTAGAAATAAACTAATGCTATATTCGTTTTGTTTCCGATAATAGTCCCCATCTATCCTTCTTCAGTTATGATAACATTATTGTATGTTGGTGTTTACTTTTATTTCTTTTTAGAATTTTTTTCAGTGAGATGTTTCATTCCAATTTGTTAAAAATTACAATCAACTTGGCAATAATTTACCGGTATTTTCATTTTGAATTGACGAAACATTGAAAAGATCAATCTACTTAAAATATAGATTTCTGATTTCGCTATCCTCACAAGACTTCGACGCAAGTTACAATAGATCTGAATTTTAATTAGAATGTATAAAGAAAATATATTCAATACTTCAGATAATATATGTTACTTACAATGTCATCCTAACACAACAGATAATATATGCTACTTACAATGTCATCCTAACACAACTACGACAGGTAAATAACTAGGATGTATATCCCTAATTAAATCTTTTTTTTCTTTTTATTGGATATTTAAAGGAGGAAGACGGAAACTTTCGAATAAACTTTCAATGTACTATGATTTACGTAGTTCTATTTAAAATTTCCGAATTGAAATAAATATCGTTAAAGGTTACAAGTTTATTGACGTTGCCTCGATTTAAAATGTTGGTTATTGTTGATACTTGATGATAATTTTAGCAACTATTGCATCATGAAATCAGATAAACGAAACTCTTACTGTGCTTATTCATGATTGGCTTTCAAATATTCGGCTTTGAGCGTTCCTGGTGAAGGTAAATCTAGATATACCGCTTCGGACGCAAACAAATTTGTGAAGTGTAATTTTCATTTTAAATACTTGAACAGAAGAACATTTTGATAACCAATACTTCCCTTTCCCCGTTTAAGTCTGGAACCAATCATTTTTGATTTGTATACACAATTGTTCCAAAACGGGTGCCAGTGTATTTATTTTATATTTTAGACCATTTTTTTTCTATTTCTTATTTATTTTGACTCTTATTCTGTATTCGCTATATATCATCACCCCATTATTATTTATTTTTTAAATTTATTCTTTGGCTTTCAAATATTCGGCTTTGAGCGTTCCTGGTGAAGGTAAATCCAGAATAAACGCTTCGGACGCAAAAAAAAATGTGAAGTGTAATTTTCATACAGAAGAACATTTTGATAACTAAATCTCCCATTCCCCTTTCCCCTTTTAAGTATGGAACTATTCATTTTTTACTTGTATACACAATTGTTCCACAACGGGTGCCAGTGTATTTATTTTATATTTTAGACCATTTTTTTCTAATTCCTTATTTATTTTGACTCTTATTCTGTATTCGCTATATATCAGCACCCAATTATTATCTATTTTTTTTGCCATTTTTCTCTATTCTTTATATAGTTTGCCCTTTATTCTTCACCTTTTGACCATATTTTCTATTCTGTAAACCCCATCCAGACCATCGTATGTGGATGAATTTTTATCCGAGTGATTTTTTTATGCGGGAATTTAAATACCGTTCCAAAAGTTTAATTACTGAAAACTATGCTTTTTCCTCTTGTGAGAGGTATGTCAAATGTCAACATTCCGCTGTTTTTTTTTTGTCGTGCCTTCGAAAAATGTCGAAGAATATGCGTTATATATTTCAGAAGGTAGAAGACCTGGATATTTCGTAAAAGAGGGACGAACTTGTACACAGATGTTTTATGTTCTAAAGTTTCCGTCTAGCATATATCTGTTGCCCTTGAATTCATTTTCATAGTTCAGCGACTGCTTAAAAGAACTGTAAGTTTTCTCTCTAAAAGTCATATATTTTTGGCTTTTGGAATGATTGTAAGTTGTACATGTTCGTCTACATGCATGATTCATCTGACCTTAAACACATTTTTATGGTTTATTGGTCAACGTTAAGTTTTCGTGGTAACATTCGTTTCTCAGATACTATAAGCAATATGTAAACTATATATTGTGTATGTAATGGTTGTAAGGTGTGCATGTCCATCTGGCTGTGACAATCTGACTTCGACCTCATTTTAATGGCTCATTGATCAAGGTATAGTTTTCTTGGTCCAGAAAATCCGTTTCTCAGATACTACAAGCAAAAGGTTAACTATATTCGGTGTTAGAAATTAAATATTACATGTCCGTCTGGTAGAGTTCATAAGATATGGACGGTTTGTCAACGTTTTAATATTCGTGGTTATGTCGGTTTCTCGGGGACTACAAATATTTTAGGACCTCCTGAAATACGTGACTAAATCCGCGGCTCATATACGAACTAAGACACCCATCATTATTTTTGTTTTGTGTGGCATCATTTTAGTAAGAATATCAAAATGGTTGATTTGATTTTTTTTAAAAACAATTATTTGTTTCAGATGATAAGTAAAAAAATACATTGTTTCTATTGAGAAAAAAAAAACGATTAAAAAAAATGCTTGTATTTTATTCGTTGGTTTTATCAAAGTTGTAAAAATCTTGAAAATTGTAAAGAAATATGGAATAAATGACACTATTATGGTTAGCCATTAACAGCTGCTCAAATTGTCCTGGACAAGTAAAAATTTAAAGTGGTAAAGTACAAAATATATTCTTCATTAATTCTCTTATTAACAAATAAATGATTATATTAATAATCCCTGGCAATATCGACGAACTTGCATATTTTAGTATTTCCCTTTCTAAATATAGAAATAAGAAAATAAAGGCACATTAGAATGTGAATCAGTTGTTGACACATTCTTTGATGAACCATTCAGATTGGACCTATTCATTTAAGGAAAACTATCTGTTACACAATAATATAAATTGGAGATAAAGTGATCTATATTATATTATTGTGTAACAGATAGTTTTCCTTAAACGGATAGGTCCAATCTGAATGGTTCATCAAAGAATGTGTTGTATAAAACTTTTTGTTCTAAGTATAATGTTTTAAATATATATTTGACATAATTGCTTCCCTCCAAACAAATGTCACGGAAATAAAAGACCATGGAAACAAAAGACACGCATATAAACCTACTTTCGATCTCATGACAAATTCTATGGAAGGATATTTTTAAACAAATAAGGTGAAAGTATGTGTATTTTTTATGAATCAATTTGCTCTTCCTTGACAACTATCATGATAATATAATGGGAATTATGCATATATAAAAATGCTGTGTTATTGTGGTATTGATCGCTAAATAAATACAAATTGGAATTTTAGCACAAGTTAGAATTTATGCGGACTTTTTGCACAAGTTATTAATATTCAGACAACCTCCTTCTTTCTCCGCGTGAAACAAGATAATTATTGACCAGTTTGGTGCTCACTCACAAATGTTTATCTATATATAGTTCAACATGACTTTAAAGTCATATCAAACGAGTTTCTTGAAATTATAATTTTAAGGAAATTATTGAACCAGTGCATAAATATACATACTAAATTCAGTTCTCTATGCCCGATTATTTTACATTTATTACGAATACATAACATAAAATCGACAAAAATATTTCGTTCAGTGAAAAATTTCCCTGCTGATTATTTTTCGTGTTTTATTGCTGAATTTAACCGATTATGACCTTACAATAAACCAATCAACGCAAAATCATGAAACAAGTGAAAAAGGTCAGTTGATCGACATGCAATCGAGCTTGGTTTTAATTTTTTATATATATATTTTCCTTGCGTTTCTATTTTTAATTAAATTTTGTCATTTAATACACTGTGGACTCATTTGTATTTAACATTCGGTACGGTGACGGACCATCAACAGACAAAGAAAAGGTAGGATTTCTGTTTATTTATTGGTTATTTTAATTACATTGAAGAATAAACATACACATGTAACTGTTTTCGATTGTGAGATGTAATATTTTCTACAACCGTTCTAGATTAATGGAGAAATAAGTAAAAAGGCACATCAAAATTGTGAATTGAGTGAACCTTGTCTCGAATTTGTTTAATTTCTTTTTAAATTGAGCACATTGTACCAAAAGAAAGATATTAACACGGAGATTGCAAGACTAGTCAGTTTGAGCACCTCAATATTTATATATCTGTGCATGGAACGAAAGAAATGGGTCATGTCAAGATTGAAGGACCCGGTTTCGTCAATGTGTACGACCCGGTTTGTCATAGAAAATAATGCATGATCGCAAGACGTAAATTAAAATCCGGCATTCACTGGCAACAGGAGTTTGATGGCTCGTTGGAAAACGATTTCTTTCAGAGGATAACTTATTATACATTTTAATTCGTAAACATTTGAATTCACCATTTTGATGTGCCTTTTTACTTATTTCTCCATTAATCTAGAACGGTTGTAGAAAATATTACATCTCACAATCGAAAACAGTTATATTTGTATGTATATTCTTCAATATCATAAAAATTAACAAATAAATAAACAGAAATCCTACCTTTTCTCTGTCTGTTGATGGGCCGTCACCGTACCGGATATGAGATACTATTGAGTCCAAACATTTTTGCCGGGGTAAAGGCACTTGTTTAGACACAGTGTAACAGTTGTTATTATTATGATTCTATCGTAACACTACAATATATCTATAACTTTCACGTTTGTTTACCTTTTTTCTTTCTTCGAGGCCTTTCCGTCGCACTTGCGCTGTGCGGTTGCCGAAGTACTAACGAGAGGTCTCGTGGTTAAGGTCACTGCATACTGGAAAGCTATTGGCAAATTAAAGTACGGGGAGATAATATATCAATAGCAGAACATTTCTGAAGATTTTGGTAAGATAAAGGATTTTCTTTTAAAAGTAAGTCCATGTACATGCACACGTGTTTTATAGTAAAACTTATTCATAAAATATATTTAACTTTTATTTTAAATTTGAAGTAGCATATGACCTTAAACAATTTGGTATAAGGTTGCAAATGATGAAACACATTTGATAGATTCTATTGATATTTTTTCGCTTATACCAGATTCTCTAATCCCCCCCCCCCCAAAAAAAAATGTCCTGTCCTTATAAAACGTTAGTATCTGTGTTGTGTACAAGTCTACAAAGCAAAGACAACGATCTTGTTTTGTCCAATAATGTTAAGAGGTTCACAAAATACTGATAACATGTAAAATTACATCCTGTACACAAGATACATGTAAATAAAGAGAGTACCACGCTACCTCATTGAGTTGTTTGGAGATCCGTACCAAGCATATAATAACCGTATGATTTTATGCTGCTATCGAAATTCAAACCCATCATCCAAGGCAATCCACATTGTAGACTCTGTCTACTGGATTTATTTTGCTCATTAGTTCTCTGCCTGAAGATGCGTGAAATATTTGCTGCTGGATGTCAAGCAATCAACAATCAAACATAAAGGTAAGAAGATACGAAGCTGATCAATAAAAAAAAATCGAACCCTTCCAAAATCAGTCCAGAAATGAACTCAGTAATATCTATTAGAGAAACATACTTTTAAAGATGGATGTTAAATTGCGTTGAACAATATGGGTAAATAAAAATTCTCCCCTCGGTTTCGTCCATACTTTAGAATATTACACGTTTAAGTAAACAAATAAAGGAAATACCATGCGAAATAAATGTCAGCCTTATGAAAATGTATGTCTATATCATTGATTTTGATATGGTGGAAGAGAACAGGCACTTGTCTCTAAAAAAAAACCAACATATAGGTGTTAAAGGAGCATTAGCTACGAGATATAAAAAAAAATATGATTTTTTTTTGTTCAATCATTAGCGAAAGTGAAATAGTGAAATAATAATTCGCTTTTAACAATTCGCTTTTAACAACCAGTTTGGTTCAGTTTTGTCAAAATAAGCAAAGAAACATTGCTAATGAATTATTCACTTGCAAGTGAATAATTCGACCTCATTGAATCCGTAATCATGTGAACTTTAATTGATTCCTATAGCTAGAGATGGGTTACGCATGAACTAGGTGTGTTCAGTTATTAAATGGAAAAGAATGTAAACATTGGAAATGAAACAAGGGTAAACAATTTGGTTGACTGATTCGATCTAGAAAACTCATTCTTATACAGGTAAAAACGATTATCAACATATTTTTTTAACCTATAATATGAAATCAAACAGACCTATAAAAATCCAATTGCACGAGTTCGCAATCTATTTATATCTATGTTTATGTTAACATCGGGTTATATGACCGTCGGGGGTCTTTGGGGGTCACCTCGATGGTTAATTAAATGGCGCCCAGACTAAAATACACACGAAATGCTGATACATACTATCGAGTCTATGCATCTTAAATTGTTTATTTTAGACTTTTTATAATTTGAATATGCATTTTAGTATGTTATAAGTCGAATATAAGAATTTAAGTCAAATCGGTGAACACGAATTTGACAGCTCATATTAAAGGTATATATGAATTTGTTCACAGAGAAGTGCCTGTGTGGACGAGTATGCGAGTTACGATAGATCTGATTTTCAAACATATTGAATAAATAAATATAGGTGTCTCAACTGCAGTGACAAACTATTAAGATTATTTTCACATGAATTAAGACCTAAATGGTTTGTTCAAACCCTCAACTGAAATATCTCGAATTAAAACAAGACATTAGTTCTGCTTCAGCAGCTATTTCACCAAAGCTGAGAACCTAAACGACTTGAAGTCACTTAAGGTCCCTTCATTCTGATTCGTATTCGTATTCCAAGTGATTACAGGAATTTCTTATTTGAATGTGATCCCTATAGAAACTTAATGAACACACGATAATATCAACAATATATCATCATCTAAAATTTATTGGGAAACATCGACGCAAACTTCGAAAGGTTTTAAATCTTAAATCCCATTTCGTTAAAGATATGATTCATCGTAGAATCGTTACTATACAACTGTATATTTCTGTTTATAGAATTCTTTAAACAAATGCATAAAACATGTAGTGGATTATTTTATAAAACACTTAGTAGATTTAATTTTGGTCAATTTACATGTCAAAACAATCTGATTTAGAATTAAATGAATAACGTACTCTACTTAAAGGTTTGTAGAACAGAAGAATAAATTTTAATCTCGGCATTGATCAAGCGATCCTGTGATAGATTTAACATACATTATTTGTCTGTTTGTGTATATTGGAGACATCTAGTTCATTTTATTTGTGCATGAATGAGAATGTAATGAATTCTGTTTTTCGAGGATTAATTTTAAACATTTGATCCTTTCATCAAAATTTCAGTGAACCAAAAAGATGTCGAAGAAAGGAGGAAAGGTAAGCAAAACAATATTTCGTGTAAAAAATGTTTGATTAAAATAAAAACCGTCGTTGTTTTAGTGCTATTTACTAAATATTTCATAATTGCAATTCAGCAGTCTGGGGACAATACCAAAAAGCCATTGTGGAAAAACTGATTGCTATATGAGTAGAAACGACTGCAGGACGTCTAAAAGTCAAGTGAAAAACATACGTGTGTGTGATAAAGTTATTTATAAAAGTGTCAAAACTTTATATGGGATAGTCTTTGTTGCTTTGTTCACTTGTATATCGAAGACATGTTATAGATAGAATTACTTCACATTCACATAAACCTTTGACAATATGTAGGTTCTACAGAAAACATGAAAATTACTCTAATACACCAATTGACTATCTTTGGATCGCAAATGAACGGTATATGTTTACTAAAACTACTAAAATATAATACAGAAATTCAATGAATACATATTATTTGCATGATGATTCATTTCAATGCAGAATGTATATCATCTTATTTTATAATATTCTCATAAAAAAAAAACATTAAAAAAATACCAGCTAATTTAGTGAAGGAAAAAAGATTGTGATTCATGTGCTGCATGATTTTAATTTAGAATAATGAAGATTTATCTATAAACTTTGAAGAATTATATGGCGCGGTTTGTGAGTCATAAATCATTATAAATATCTAGTCTAGATTAATTATTACTAGTCTTAAACTGTTAAATAGAATTATGTCTAGTTTTAATTGATTATAACCAGCCTTAATAGAACTATGTCTAGTCTAAATTAATTATGACAAGCCTTAAATATAATTATGACTAGTCAAAATTGATAATGTCTTGTCATGAATGATTTAGTCTAGCCTTAATTCTAGTTTAGTCTAGTCATATCTATTTCTGTCTAGTCATATTCAATTAGGACTTGACATATGTCATTTAGACTAGACTAGACATAATTCAATTAGACTAGACACAATAAATTAAGGCTAGACATAATTAGATTTTAGACTAGGCATTATTCAAATTTTGACTATACACAACTCTATTTAAGTCTAGCCATCATTAATTTTATTCTTATGAAAATTCCGTGTATAACCCTGACAAAATATACAAACTTAGGACAACTGACGCTTAAAACCGGCTATATGACAAACTTTTTATGATAATGTTAAAAATATCTCCATATAATTACATTTTACATGTATGTTTCATTATAATACGTTATTTTGATTGGCTAACAGCAATCTCGCGTCATTCTGAAATTAACCTTCATTTCATAATGAAATGTAACATTCATGACGACACGAGCTTCCACAATAAAGTGCACAGGTAAATAAAAGAGAAACTTGATAGAAATCGTGTTTTCATGATCCTAGCAAAAAAATGTAATTATAAGTATTGAATGCTTCTTTTAGTAATTTTATAGGGTTGTAAAAGCGTTGACCGTGCGCACATTTTTAGAATCAAGCGCGGAACAAAATGTACTTCGGTCAACGCTTTTACACCCCAATAAATTTACAAAAAGAAGCATTCAATTCTTAAATGAACTAATTTTTAAAAAGTATGAAAAGAGAGGTGAAAGCACACGACACGCTAATGTCGGATATTATCGATATTGCACACGACACGTATTTGAAGAAATTTTCTTTTTCATTTCTGAAATCTGTAATGAGAAAAAAAAAACACAATTTCCTTTTTACCCCCCCCCCCCCCCCCAATTATTTTTCACCTCCCCTCCCCCTCCCCTTTTTCAAAAAAAAAAAAATCTTTCCCTCAAGATATGGTCATTATCTCAATTCAATTTTCCAATGGAGTTTGCAACCATAATTACCCATTTAAATACATCATAAAAGTTTTAAAATAGAAAATGACATACATAATCATGTCTAAAAATAATATATCTTTAATCAGCATTTTTATTATTTACTTCTAAAAATAAATTGACAGCTAATCACCTCACGACAATACAAAATTTCTTTATACATAATTTAAAAAAAAAAGCAGTGTAAGGGAGGTAATCCAAATTTAACATTGTACTTAAAAGTGATTGTCATTAACAAGGAAACCCTTGTTTTTCCCCCTTTTTTGCCCCTAATTCCTTAACGGTTTGAGCCATTACCCCCCAAAGCCAATCATAACCATCCATTTGTGGTATGGAAACTTGTTGTAAAATTTCAGAGAGATCTATACACCGTTCCACAAGTTATTATCTTAAAACTAGAAAAATGCTTATATGGGCCCCTTTTTTGGCCCCCTAATTCCTAAACTGTTAAGACCATAACCCCAATCAATCCCAACATTCCTTTTGTGGTTTTGTGGTTATAAACCTTGTGTTTAAATTTCATAAATTTCTATTTACTAATACTAAAGTTATTGTCCGGAAACCAAGTGTCTTCGGACGACGACGACGACGACGACGACGTGATACCAATATACGACCACAAAAATTGTTTGCGGTCGTATAAAAACTGGATATCACATCCTAATTTTTACGGTTATGTTATTTATAAAGCCCATCAACTTAGATACGATCCACGTTAATGTATTGGTTCTTTTGATGAACTTATTCTTAAAGAATATCAATTTAATACCTTAATCAGAAATTTGAATATTGTTTTTATCCGTGCTAATATTGATTTTGTTTTTGATAAATTAAAACATAACTAAATATGTGTTGCTGTACATTTATAAAAACTGATGGTCCTACATCCTGCCGATATTATTTACTGACATTTTGGCATTGCACAAGGTCATGCTTTTCTCAGACTGTTCAAGACGTATTTAAGCTAAATCCATTGGATGTGTACTAATAGCTACTGTAGTCTGGAAGAACATGATTTATTCATTATTTGTTATTGGCTTTGAACTATCTTCCTGTAAGTGCGAGTACTCTTATATCTTTTGTATTGATGGTAGCTGGTTTTTTTTGTGTACTTCGTGTTGATCTGATGATTCCAGCCTTTTCCAACTGCATTTTACAGTTTGCTCTTATGTTGTACTGTTACACCATTCTCCCAGGTTAGGAGAGGGTCGAGCGCCGATAGACATGTTTACCTCTGACACATTCTATATGTGTGTCCGAAGTCATTAGTTGTTATTCAGTGGTTGTCGTGGTTTCTGTTTTATAATTGTTTGAATTGTTTCACATTTTGTCATGTCGGGCCTTTTATAACTGGTCATACGGTATGGGTTTTGCTTATTGTTGAAGGTCGTACGGCGACCTTAAGTTGTATGAATCCATTTCATTTGGACGCTGTTAGACAGATGGCGCTTTACAATCATACTGCATCTCCTTAGGTTATATTCAATGTTTTCACTGCCGCCGGAATTTATGTATTATTGAATAAGATATATAATGCCTTGTACGTTTATAGAGATCTAGTAAAGCCATTACGGGAAAGTTTCTTTTATGGTGTTTGCTCAAAATAAATCAATAATATATAGTTACAGTAAATATTTGATGTGAAAATGATAGAATAATTTTATTTTAAGTCGGGTTTACATGAAACATTACAAACATAAGCTCTGTAGAGCTTTTTGTCGACATTAATAACAATAACAACACATACAATATATTAAGACATATAAAACATACACATTAGACATACAGATGTAAGACAGCTATATTGCACAAGCAAAAATGTTTATATATAAAAGCAAAGCACAAACAAGTAAAGCACTAAACTAGATTATAAGCACGAAATAAACAATGCAAAACTAGTTCTAAAAGCTGCATGGAAAACTCAAAATAAAAATCAAAAAATTAAGATCTGCATGAGCCACATCTGCATGAGTTGCCATTTCAGTTGTTGATCATACTTTTAAACTGGTTCAGGTTCGACTGCGCACGGATCGCGTCAGGCAGCTCATTCCAGAGTGTAGCTCCAGCATACCTTAATGAATGGGTACTTCAACAGTTTGTTCGCGCTTTCTAAAAGAGTATGGTACATTTTTAAAATTGATAATACCATGGAGATACACTGGTGACTCTTTGTGTAATATTTTAAAAGTTTCTATTGCCATCGTTCGTAGACGTCTTATTTTTGAAGAAGGTAAACCAGATTTTAACAAAAGAGTTTCATAGTCACTACTATATTTTCGATCATCGACAATATCTTTCCACACAGTACCGTCTGCAGACTATGACTTGTGATATTTCAAGTGACTAGAAAAGAGTTCGTTTGATGTTAAAATAATATAAACAAAAAGTTCAAAACTAGAATTCACGACTAGACGCTGAATTCATACAACTTTGATGACTTAAAAAAAAGGTTTGCGCACCGGGCAACACTCTTGTTTTCGGCCCAGTTGCCCGCTAATAATAAGTGATAATATATAGGCCTATATTCTATGCTACCATTTTTTTTATTTTATTAAAATCGATTATATCTAAATAAATATTCAAATGATTCACTTCAATATTTTCATTTGCAGAAGAAAGGCAAGAAAGGGGTAAGTTTTTAAAATTTGGAACGTTATTGCACACTTTCGTAGTAGAAAATAGGTATTTAGTTGTATCAACTTTCACCACTCTCTTTTGCCGGAAATAGAAATCGTCTATCATGCATAGCAACAAACAATATGGCCGCGAAAAGTCAATCAAAATCAAGTTCTGGAAAGTCAACGAGATCTAATGCATCTACAGGGAAAGATATCAAAGGAAAGAAAAAAGTAACCGTGGAAGAAGTGTGTATATTTTTTGCAGTCGTCCCAGATTCGCAATAGTCTATACTTAATCGTTTGATATGATGTAGATTCTACCTGATCAGCTCCTAAAGGCGATGGTTGTAATGGTTTATAACAAGTTATTTTGCATGTTTGCTTAACTTGTTAGTCACAAGGTTTAAATTTTCAAATTGAAATGAAAGCCTTTAAAACGAAACTTAACCATTAATATGAAGCAATTGTTCCCTGTGAAGAGGAATTCTACTCACTTCGGCACCTGGAATAGTCAAACCTTGTTACCTTGTTATTTTTGGCACCTGCGGTTCACATGATGTTTTTCAAGTAAAATACTCTGTTTTTTTATGTAAAAAAAGCAAAAAAAATATGTTCCCCGTACCAATAATTTTGTACAGTACTATACAAATTTTTGCCCATACCTCAAAAGAAAGAAAATGATATAAGGTGCCGATTTGACTTAGTGCCCATCTGACTTTTTCTAAATGTGCCTAATCAACCAAGTGCCGATTTGACTTGTACCCGTGAAAGAGAAGGAAGTCAGTATTCTTTTTGGTAGATATACAAATTTACAGGAAATTGTATGACTTACATGTTGTACATGGCAGCGTCCATCAACACAACAGTAACAGGGTAACTTTCAATAATTCTCTGTTATATAACCTGAGTGAGACTTTAGCTTAGGCGATTTAGGTGCCAATAGCAAATTAGCTACCAGTGTTTATAAGGTCTTAGAACAATCTGGATAGAATTGACCTCTTACAAGATGTGTATTTTATACAAAGAGTGACCTTTATTAGGATAATTCATATAATATTATTAGAGGATCCTCTTGTATAATTATTGATTCTTTCTTTTAGGATGATCCAGATGATGAAACTGCTGTTCTGGCATTTAAAGTATTGTCAGAAGACCAGACGAAAAAATTACTCACATTAGAAGTTGAAGACATACAAAAGTAATTTCATAGTTTCTTTGTTCTGAATGATAAATCATCACAAAATCTTATGCAGTAGATATTTTATATAGTTTTTTCAATCAGAACATTTTGAGCAGTCATTCTTGCACTTTTTTTATATAAAGAATTCAAACCCATGTAGATCTCGAGCTCTAATAAACTTAAAAGTCTTAAATACTTTAACTAACCCTAACTATAAATGAACTCTAACCCTGCAGTACAGGAACCCCTAACGTAAAAGAAAGTATACTAGGACCTTAATTCAAAAAAGTAGGTGAATTAAAAGACATAATAATTTTTAAACTGTTTTTTTTGTTTTGGCAAAATGTGAATTCTATTATTATTTAAAAAACTAGTATTAAACAACATAAGGAAAATCTGCTCAATATCCCATTTACAAACTACCGGTCACTACCCCCTCCTCCCCAAAATGTAGACATAATTTTCACAGATAAAGGGTCAAACCTTTATGGGAGGATTATTGTTATTGTTATTATCATATTTACATATACTTGTTCTAATAGCCCATCATTTTAATATTGTACATGTACTACTCATAAATTACTGGGATTTTTAATAAACCTTTCATTATGTTTAATTTACATATTAGGAATCTTGTAAGTGGGTGTTGCTATTTAGGTCTGTTTGTGTTTATGCTACATGTATAAAGGTTTTTCCTGGTCTGTTTATGATGTTGATGTCAGATCATTGGTCATCTCTGGAATTCATTCACAGCTTGTGAGAAGTCTAGCTACTCTAAGAGAGATTGCCTGCAGTTGTTATTTTTTTGTTTTGTTGCTGTCTTAATAGTGTAAGTCTCCAGATGGCCTCATCTCCTTTATTTGGTTACTGTCTTATTGATGTAACCATCATGCTGGCCTCATCGCCTTGTTAGGTTGCTGTCTTAATAATGTAACTATCAAGTTGGCCTCATCTCCTTTGTTTGGTTATTGTCTTCTTGATGTAACCCTCATGGTGGAATCATATCCTTGTTTGGTTGCTGTCTTAATAATGTAACCCTCATGGTGGCCTCACCTCCTTTGTTTGGTTACTGTCTTATTGATGTAACCCTCATGGTGGCCTCATATCCTTGTTTGGTTGCTGTCTTAATAATGTAACCCTCATGGTGGCCTCACCTCCTTTGTTTGGTTACTGTCTTATTGATGTAACCCTCATGGTGGCCTCATCTCCATTTCCTCCTATTTATTTGTTCTTCAAGAATCATTTGTGTCACATTATCTTATTTACAATGTATGTGTAAGATTTTTACATTTTGAAATATAAAAGTAAAAAAATAACCATATTTTGTTATTTTTATATATTTTACTTCATTTTCAGAGAACTAGGTGATATATTCAAATTAAAAAACTACAGCACAGATTTACAAGAAGCATCCACGTTAGATTATTACACAGGAGCAGTCTGGTGGGGTAAAGAACAAGGACTAAACCCACAACAGTTATCTGGGTTATTTACTGTAGTTTATAACCTTTTTGACAATGTAAAAGGTAATTAAACAAGAAAATGATCTACAGAATTAGATAATCTATGTCTATTTAATTTTAGAGGTACATGTATCTATATAAATGTACCAACACTGAGCGTTGCATTAACAAAACAACCATAGAACAAAGACACAATTAGAAGTAATAACATTAATGATGTATCTTCAAATTATGCCAAAATAATGGCAAAATTGTAATTTTTGTAAAGTGGGATGTGATAATAGCCAATATTTGACCCTGAAACTTCAAAAAAGTTCTTAAATACTTTCAATGCTGTATTTACTTTATTGCCAATTCAGTGTGTCAATATTATCTCCTAAAATTGACAAAAAAAATGCTAATTATGATGGAATGTATTTATTGGTATATGTTTATGAAACAGTAGCACAATAGAAAAAAATAAAAAATAGAGGTAAAAATATGGTCCAAACTATAAAAATGTATCATGTCATATTCCAAATTGCTCCTAGTTAGTCTAAAAAAGTTATGAATGAGATATCCATTTCGACAGCCTTTGTAGGTAATTGTTACCATACAAAGTTTGTGGATTGAAATCAAATTTAAAGGGGCATTAGCTACGAGATATAAAAAAAATGAAATATAATTGTTTTTTTATCAATAATAATGAAAGTGAAATATTGAAATAATAATTTGCTTTTAACAATCAGTTTGGTTCAGTTTTGTCAAAATAAGCAAAGAGACATTGCTAATGAATTATTCACTTGCAAATGAATAATTCGACCTCATTGAATCTGTATTCATGTGAACTTAAATTGATCCCTATAGCTAGAGATGTATTGCGCATGAACTAGGCGTGTTCAGTTATTAAATGGAAAAGAATGTAAACATTGGAAATGAAACAAGGGTAAACCATTTGGTTGACTGATTCGATCTAGAAAAACTCATTCTTATACAGGTAAAAAGGATTATTAACATATTTTTTAACCTATAATATGAAATCAAACAGACCTAGAAAAATCCAATTGCACGAGTTCACAATCTATTTATATCTATGTTTATGTTTATATTGGGTTGTATGACCGTCGGCAATCTTCGGAGGTCACCTCAATGGTTAATTAGATGTCGTCTGGACTAAAATACACACAAAATGCTCACACATAAAATCGAGTCTTTGCAACTTAAATTGTTTATTTTAGACTTTTTTCATAATTTGGATATGCGTTTTACTATGTTATGAGTCAAATGTAAGAATTTGAGTCAAATCGGTGAACATGAATTTGACAGCTAATGCCCCTTTAAAAGAAATCCAAATTATTTAGATTCATAAATTTTTGTGATGTTTTTATTATTTTGAGAATGGATAGGATTTGCAAAAATAAAAAACTCACATTTAAAATTTTTATAGCAACATTTGTATGTCCCATTGTCTGAATTCACAATATTTAACCAATCTCAAACTTTTATCCATTTTCAACATAAACTTTAATAATTGCACACACAATAATTTCTGAATTAACAGTATACCATAAATGTTTTCTGACTATAAACAGTTTAATTCTAGTGCATTTGTGTAAGAAAATAATAGTAGTAAATTTAAGGTTTAAGTTTTATTAATATGATTCCCACACTTTCTGACAATTCATAAAGCAAGTTTATTTCTGATTTACTAGACCTTGTATATTGTAACATTAGCAAATAAACTTTTTTTACAGAACAACACATGAATAAAGTAGACAATTTGAAAGAATTTAAAGCCGTAATGATGGGTATAGAACCAGAATATCCAGATGTTAAATCAGCTGGTTTAGATTTCTTCTCTGTAGCACAGGCAAGAGCCATTGCTCTGTACATACATACTAGGTATGAATTTTATTATAAAGCTAAGTCTCATACTTTGAACATATTTCATTGTCAAAACAAGAAAAATGACAATGGATAATTAAGTCTGATATACATGTATATCTGACTGCCAAGTTTTGAAAATCTCCATGTAGAATTTACTCAGTGAACATACAGTTTTGCAGATTAATCAATTCTTTTGTATATTTGCATGATAATTGATTTATTTAGCATGGCAAATAATTTTTTATGCTTTCACAACATGCAATCGTGGAAATAAAAAAAAAATTCTTGTAGATATTGACAAAACCTATTTTTTGGGCAATTTCAAAATCATAGTAAATGAAGGTTTTTAGTTATGTTTTAGCTATACTGGTATAATGATAATGATTTCTTTCAAAATTTGATCAGTTTTCATACCATTGATGATGATGACTATGGATGGCTGCTTAACGTCCAGCGGCAAATTAATATGCATTTTCAGGACGAGAACATGTTAATGTAATATGAAATTTAGCACTGCTTTGTACTAGACCGACATGCTGAGCCGTATTTTTAATGTGCTAGTTCACAAGGTAACAGTCCGCAGGAAAACATGTCACCTTACCCAGACACATTATTCTGACTCCGAGCTAACCAGTCTTTGCTCTTACTCCTTAATGCTGTGTGCTTAGCGGAGAAGCAGCAAATACCAATTTTAAAGTCTTTGGTTTGACCCGGCCAGGGTTTGAACCAACAACCTCCCGCACTTGAGGCGAACACTCTACCACGAGACCACCGAGGCGGTGTTTCATACCATTGATGTAAGACTTTAAAATTATGAACCTTTTAAAAAAATTGTGATGAAATAGAGATAACAGTAGTTAACAGTACTGATTTCAAATATTGCAAATCCATTAGGAATATACAAAATCAGGATAATAAACAAAACCTGAGGGAATCTCTGGAACATAGTTACTGTCAATATTTTGGAATTGTGGCAAGGGAGATAATTTGTGGCAGTCAAAAATATCCCCATATCTCAATTTGTTAAATAATGAGCAGTAATGATTATTCTTCCTATGTTGCTCACAATGTGTAGCATTAGATATTGATTTTTTTAATTTTTTTTTAAATTCTGCTTTTGATTTATATTTTCCCATTACATGTTTTTGTAATATCTTTACATTATAGTTTGTTCCAGCACTATAATTTATACCAGTTTATGTTCACACACACTCAAGCAGAAGAAATTATTGGAACAGATGTGAGTACATATATATAATTACTTGAACAAAAGTGAAAACCAAAAATCACTTTTGTTTTCATCGTTGATATGCTACTGGAAGTTTATAATCGAAAAAAAACCATTAGTCCTGTGTTTATGTGGTTTCTGGTAAAGATATTGACACTATTTTATGGGAAAACCCTATCTTGACACATATAATTAACAAATGTCATTAATTGTAAACAATTTATAAAAGAAAGAAGATGTATTTTTCTTAAATTATATATTAACATATACATATTATCGCTATTAGAAATAAAATTTTGCTACATTTTTGTAATTATGGGATGGAGAAAATACAATGAAATATTATATTGATAGTACTTTTACTATTGTTGTCTTTGTTCTAAAACTTTCGTGTTAATTTAAAATCAATTTTTTTTATAACTTCCATTGAAAAAATAGTTTAAAATTTACTAGCTTGTACAATATAGTTTTTTCTATGAGTCTTCAATCCATTATTTATGTGGAAAACTTCAATTTTTGTCCAGATAAACAGTAAGTATATAATATTGCAGGTAGTTAATACATGAAGTAAAATTAAGATCAAAATTTTTACAGCTTTCTATAGAAGTGGCCAAGCCTTCTACACTGCCATTCCCTCCCCCTCTACATGAAGGAGTTCAGGATGATATGTATGCCTCATTTATAGCCACACCCCCACCTACACCACCACCTGCAGAGGTATGTATCAAATATCAAATAATGCAGAGATATTTTTAAGTTATTTTTTTAGTTTTTAGTTTGTTTATTTCAATTTCATATTTTATGCAATATATAATGAGATATTATGAATGTATTTTCCCTTGATTCCAATATAATAATTTTTTTTAGTTATTTAATGAAATATATTCTTAGATATAAACATACATCAACATTTAAACAAATCTTATCTCCTTGTATGATTAAATGTAGGGTGCTGAAGATACAAAATCAGATCAGGTAATTGGTATACATATATTAAGTTATCTCCCTTTATTTTTCACTGCTATTGCATACGAATAAAGATCAAATAATGAGTTAATGATGAAAATTCATACCCAGTTATCACAAAAAAAAAACTTTCTGACTTATTTATTTTCTATCTATCCACTCAGGCAAAAGAATGAGACTTCCTTATAAGACTTCAGAGATAAGTAATTACTAAGATGTGAAAAAGTCAGATGTCAATATTTTCGTTTTTCCTATTTATGCATTATTAGCTTACTGGGATAGAAATTTTCATACACTTAACGTTATCATGTAAATTAAAAAAAAATTGGGATGTTTTTATTTTTGCAAAAATTTGGACAGGATAGGTTTCACAAAAAGTAAAACTTTCATGTTGAATTTTGTTGGCATTATTTGTATTCAACATTTCCTGAGGTGGCAATAATTAATCTGGCATTTATGTACATTTTTCAACAATGCCAATAATAAATAAACACAAAAATTTCTGAATTAACAGTAATACATTTGAAACATACACAAAGTTATCTGGCAATAATGAGAAAAGGCAAGACAAACAGTACATTTGACCTTTCTTGATTTTTTGGGAATTACAAACATTGTAAATATTGAAATGTCTTTCCCTGATATCTGTGACTTAATTTTTGTCGCTAATTTTATTTGATCTTTATTATATTAATTTTTTTCTAACCACAGCCCAAAGGACTCAATATTCACAAATCAAAAGACTTACTATTTAACAGGAATCATATACCGGTATGTCCAATCTGTTAAAATGATCCCATTATTTCAAATATTTTAATACTAATACACGTTCTTTTCTTAGTAAATGGAAAACTTTAAATTTCCATTGCTTACATAAGATTACAACTATTATGAAATATGGAAAAACATGTTAAGATAGAGTTAAGTAAGGTAATGCATGATTCTAACAATGATGTTTAAAGAGTCTAAGCATGATTTCAATATTTATATTTTAACCTGCATGCAAACAAAAAGACACCATGCATGTGTATGCACATTATTCTTTTGAAGTTACATTTCCATTTATTTCTGATAGCCACTTAACAGGTGACTCATAGTCTGCCATAGCCATATTCACTTCCATATACATGTTGTACCAACCTCTCCCATACACTAACCAATTAACAGATAACTAGGAAAAATCAGTCAACTTCATATATTATATTACCACCCACCCTTAATTTCATCTAACCTTGTTCTCTTGCTGAGTTATTGTTACCAGTAATTTTTATTTAACAAACAAAACGCTGGAACTGCCAACAGTTGCTCCCAGAACTGCTTTAATTAAGAGAAAACGTTTTTATTTCAAGGGTTCTAAATACTGTAAAAATAAGAAGATGTTGTATGATTGCTAATGAGACAACTCTCCACCAGAGACCAAATGACATAGAAGTTAACAACTATAGCTCACTGTATGGTCTTCCAACAATGAACAAAACCCATACCGCATAGTCAGCTATAAAAGGTTCCAAAATGACAAATGTAAAACAATTCAAACAAGAAAAATAACGGCTTGATTTATGTACAAAACAATGAACGAAAAGCGAATATGATGAACAGCAACAAATGACAACCACTGAATTACAGGCTTCCGACTAAGACATACAGAATGTGGCAGGGTTACACATTTTTGAATGCACCAACCCTCCTTCTAATCTAGGACAGTGTTGTTACAGCACAACACAAGAAAAAACTACAAAACAATAAAATAAAAAAAACAAATATGAGAAGCATCAATCAACCACAACCACTGAATTACAGGCTCCTGACTTGGGACAGGCATATAAAGAATTTGGCGGGGTTAAACATGTTTGCAGATGCCCAACCCTCCCCTAACCTAGGACAGTGGCGTAACACAACATCCAAACAAACTTTGAAAATCAGTTATTGGACGTGGCAGGGTATTTATACATCCCCACAATAAAAGAGACATTAGGTATAGATCTGAGAGTTCTTGCAGTTACTGACAGCTAGTTCAAAGGCAATACTATTTACAGCTAAAGACAGCTAGTTCAAAGCCAATTCTAAATACTAGTATGTTTGAAGGGACAAATAAACATGTACTATTATTGCCTTATTTTGCCTGCATAATGTGTTATGTTTAAATTGGGATACCATCCTGAAATGAACTTTGAAAAATAATTCTTAAGTAACAGTGATTTGACATGTTAATCCCAAAATCAATATCATAATGCTTCTCCTTCCCTATATCTTTCATGAATTTCATTCCAATCAATCAAGGGAAACTCAAGCTACCATCCAAAAACCATTTTTACATTTACTATACATTTTTTTTAAGTAACAGTGACCTTGACCTTTGACCCTGTGATCAATTGGTTTCTTCCCCTTCCCTATCTTTCATTTCAATCAAGCAAGGGAAATTTAAGTGAGCGTACCATCCAGAAACCATTCTTCCAAAAAATGTATTATTAGTAATTAAAGTGACCTAACCTTTGACCTAATGACCTCAAAATCTATAGGCTTCTTCCTCTTCCCTATATCTTCAATTTTTATAAGTTTTATTCCAATCAAGCAAGCAATTTTTATTTTAAATAACAGTGACCTTGACTAGAGTTTTGACTTCAAAATCAATATGCATCTTCCATCTGTGTAAGTTTCATTCCAATGAACCAAACAGATTTTCAAATAAATATTAAATCATATCCTTGGAATCATACAGTTGAAATATATTTTGTACCGCTAACATATGTTCTTTATAGTACACTTGTAGATAGTTGAGTTTACTTAATCTATATATGAATAATACTAATAGTCATTGCTTAGATCTTAGGATGCCTTTGTCTTCATTACTGCTTACTTTTATATTCAATTGCATATATTGTATATCAATTAAAAAAAAATTTGCTAGTTCAAATGTAGTTAGACTACATGCTTTTATTAATCATTTAAATGAAAAATGGCTTTTGAAAGTATTTATTAAATTGATATATTTTTAGAAATAAAATTTTAACTTAACTGAGACATGAAATCATATCAGTTTTATTGTTAAATTATCTTGGTTTCTCAAAAAATGAAAAAGAGGCATAAAGACCTGTTTTTGATCATGAATATTGATTGAATTAAGATGTATTTGAAAAATAAGACAATTTCTAAAGTAAAAACTGTTTAAGCATTACTCAAGAAGTATAATAATAATGTAACAAGAATGTTTGCAAATTGCAGAATTTTGTTTAATTTTAAAGACAGTATTTTCTTTAAATTTTTGTAATAGTCATGAGGTCATTCTAAAGGTAATTGTCAAGAAACCATTGATATTTATTAAAATCTATTGATAATAAACCATTTTAGCAGTAATGCTGCTTTCAATTAAAATGTGCAGTTAAATTTTAATCATTGAATCACTAACATTAATCTTCCTTCGTTTTGCCAGATTTTTAAATACTGTTTTGAATTGTGATGAATTTTTTCCTTATGTTTTGTTCCCATAGGAGAAACCAAAAGAGGGTGAGCCTACAGTACCAGATATTGATGCATTTAATGATTTAACTGTGGATGATGTCAGAGAAGTGATAGAAAGTGTTGCTAAAGAAATGTTAGGAGGACTGCAGGTAATACAGCTATGTATAGTTCGTTACAAATAAACATGTTAATCAGTTTTGTCCTTAATTCTTAATAATAAAGTTTATTAAATGTTGTTTTCATTTTCTAGCACTGGGTCAATACCACAGCTAGTGAACTGTTAGTTCCTGAAGGTATCAACAACTCAGTAGTCAGTGCCTAAACAAACTTTTAAATAATTCTCCATTGATAGATTAAGAAGATTTTAGACACTAAGGATCCAACTCCCTTAGGAAAAGTTGACCTTAGATGAATTTGGCTATTTTTGGAGTCCTTTTTTGGTCATAATAGCCCTTCAAGTGTTAGGTCTTATACATCCTTGGCTTTCAAGTGTTAGGTCTTATACATCCTAGGCTTTCAGGTGTTAGGTCTTATACATCCTTAGCTTACAAATGTTAGGTCTTATACATCCTTGGCTTTCAAATGTTAGGTCTTATACATATTTGGCTTTCAAATGTTAGGTCTTATACATCCTTGGCTTTTAAGTGTTAGGTCTTATACATCCTTGGCTTTCAGGTGTTAGGTCTTATACATCCTTGGCTTTCAAGTGTTAGGTCTTATACATCCTTAGCTTTTAAGTGTTAGGTCTTATACATCCTTGGCTTTCAGGTAATAGGTCTTATACATCCTTGGCTTTCAAGTGTTAGGTCTTATACATCCTTGGCCTTCAAGTGTTAGGTCTTATACATCATTGGCTTTCAGGTGTTAGGTCTTATACATCCTTGGCTTTCAAATGTTAGGTCTTATACATCCTTGGCTTTCAAGTGTTAGGTCTTATACATCCTTGGCTTTCAAATGTTAGGTCTTATACATCCTTGGCTTTCCAGTGTTAGGTCTTATACATCCTTGGCTTTTAAGTGTTAGGTCTTATACATCTTTGGCTTTCAAATGTTAGGTCTTATACATCATTAGCTTTAAAGTGTTAGGTCTTATACATCCTTGGCTTTTAAGTGTTAGGTCTTATACATCCTTGGCTTTTAAGTGTTAGGTCTTATACATCTTTGGCTTTCCAGTGTTAGGTCTTATACATCCTTGGCTTTTAAGTGTTAGGTCGTATACATCCTTGGCTTTCAGGTGTTAGGTCTTATACATCCTTGGCTTTCAAGTGTTAGGTCTTATACATCCTTAGCTTTCAAGTGTTAGGTCTTATACATCCTTGGCTTTCAGGTGTTAGGTCTTATACATCCTTGGCTTTCAAGTGTTAGGTCTTATACATCCTTGGCTTTCAAATGTTAGGTCTTATACATCCTTGGCTTTCAAATGTTAGGTCTTATACATCCTTGGCTTTCAAATGTTAGGTCTTATACATCCTTGGCTTTCAAATGTTAGGTCTTATACATCCTTGGTTTTCAAGTGTTAGGTCTTATACATCCTTGGCCTTCAAGTGTTAGGTCTTATACATCATTGGCTTTCAGGTGTTAGGTCTTATACATCCTTGGCTTTCAAATGTTAGGTCTTATACATCCTTGGCTTTCAAGTGTTAGGTCTTATACATCCTTGGCTTTCAAATGTTAGGTCTTATACATCCTTGGCTTTCCAGTGTTAGGTCTTATACATCCTTGGCTTTTAAGTGTTAGGTCTTATACATCTTTGGCTTTCAAATGTTAGGTCTTATACATCATTAGCTTTAAAGTGTTAGGTCTTATACATCCTTGGCTTTTAAGTGTTAGGTCTTATACATCCTTGGCTTTTAAGTGTTAGGTCTTATACATCTTTGGCTTTCCAGTGTTAGGTCTTATACATCCTTGGCTTTCAAATATTAGGTCTTATACATCCTTGGCTTTCAGGTGTTAGGGTATGAGTGTTCCTGGTGAAGGTAAATCAAGAAAAGGGATTTGGATGTTTAAAATAAAAAAAAGTGTTATTTTAGTACTGTAAATTATTATCGAGAGGTTTTTATTAATGTGAATAATGCGTCTGGGTGAGTATCACAATAAGAACACGCAATTTGGTATCTGATACATATATCTGTATACAGATTTTCCTGAAATCGCAATAATTAAACTCGCATCTTTGTCAATTCTTCAACAATCACAATAATATATGCACGCAATAATATCTGAATTTACAGTAACCAAATTCATAGGACAAAGCGTGGTAATAGTACAGGGTTGATAATGACCCAACTATTTATAAGACCTCTGTGCCCCTTATTGTCACAAATAACCCTATCCTTTGTAGAAATCTTAACCACCAATTATTCATAAGACCTCTGTGTCCCTTATTGTTACAAATAACCCTATCCTTTGTAGAAATCTTAACCACCAACTATTCATAAGACCTCTGTGTCCCTTATTGTTACAAATAACCCTATCCTTTGTAGAAAACTTAACCATCAACTATTTATAAGACCTCTGTGTCCCTTATTGTTACAAATAACCCTATCCTTTGTAGAAAACTTAAACACCTACAGACAGAGCAAGTGATATCCAAAATATAAATACAAAACCTATAATATGTATCAATAAAAGAGACCATTATTTTTTGGAGATTTAATTTATAACATATTTTTTTTTCTTTTTTCAGAACGACCTTGCTGCAAAACTTAGGGAAAAGGAAAATAATATTATTCAGAGAATAAATAAAATTCATAAAGTGGCAGAATGAATATTATGTACAGATTATATATACTGTGATATTCCTTTTGAAGACTATTATTTTGTTACTATAATTGTATTATTTTAAATTTGTTTTGTAAAAAAATATCTAAAAATCCAAATAAGTTTTTGTTGCACTTATTTAAAATGCATTAAACAGATGCATTTATTGGGTGGATTTAAATGGTGTCTCAGTATAGCTGTAAAATTTTATGGTTGTCCCTTCAATTGATGTATACACCAATGGTGACTGAAGTCAAGAAATATAGTCTGCTTGGTTTTCTTCTCATGGGAGTAAAACCCTATCCAAATTGGAGCCTCTGTTTGGCTGTGTTGGATGTTTAAATTCCAAGCCATGTCCAGTCAGATTTGGGACATTAAATCAGAACTCCTGTAGAAAAAATAATTGCAACAATACATTCATGTACCATTGTTTTCCAGTGGCAGTCCAGATTTTCCACCTTTGATCCCATCTGTCCCCCTTGCTGTTCCTGCCAATATATTGTATTAATTGCAGATAGTTTCTTGTCCTGAATATACTTGAAATACTTGCCACTGGTTGTTAAGCAAGCAACAATCAATCAATCAATTTATTGGTGGAATAAACTTTAGTATCTAAAGTAAACCATAGACTTCCATTATTAACTAACAAAATCTTTAAATAAATCAACCTTGCCAATTTTGGTAGTGAATGAGAAAGGCAGGTACACACTTTCTGAAGCTGTGATAAACAGAAATGACTAGTGTCCATGATACACATAGATGCCACTGTCCACTCATTCATTTTTTATCCACTGTTGAAATTTCCTTCATTTATTATATTATGTTACTCATGATTCTGATCAAAATCACCACAAAAAATTCAGATAATTGAACATGAAAAGTAATTTAGTAAACAATATATTTTTTACCAAAATTTTCATGGCAGCACAAATCTTGAATATTTTATGAGTAAATGGAATAATATATTTTGAAAAGTTTACAAAAAAATACTTTTGATGTATATGTATGAAAACCATGATTAATCATGGTATTTTAACTTTTCAAATGGTTTAGCTAAGATCATGTGACAATATCATCTTTTTAAGTACATATATATGATGAATTTAATTATTTCCCACTTTGTTGAGTTTTTGAAATACCAAAAGCATGCTGAAAAGTATAGAAAAGAATAACATTTATTAGTCCCAATCTATTATGTGAAGTTTGTTACCCCCATAAATGGTTCATTGAGGCAAATAATTACCAATGTCATACTTATGGAAAGCATAGCTAAATAAATATGCTAGTTATCTCCTCTGAAATTCATTCATCAATGTCTTGTCTACTGTACTTATTATGAATTGATTTAATATGTTGAAAGTCTTAATGATCTTATAAAACAGGTTACACAAAACTTGAACATCAATCTATGAGCAGTGAAATGCAGCAAAGTTCAGGTGAACTCTACTAAATATAGTACACCTATTACAGTAAAAAGTAACTCAAGAATGGCATAATCATAAAACAGTAACATTGATCAATGAAACATGATAGGGGAAAATCGCGTAATTGCGGACAGCGCCGATATGCGGACGGAAAACGAATATCTCACTTTTCGATAAAATTATGGAAAATTGAAATAAAATAGATATAAGAAATAAGGTGTTTTGTTTACTATTGAATGTCTATTTTGTTGCAATAAGGTTATCATGTCTATTGCCTACGATTTACTTTTGTGTCGTGTGATTGAAATTGCATGCTATAAATAGCTTATGTCAACAAGTTTGAAAACCGGGAAATTTTGAAAAAGGTCCAAAGTCAGCGTGTCACATTCAATACACAGTTGTTCATGTAAAAATGGCAATTTATGTGTTGAAAAGCAATAGGCATTGCGTATTTTATGCAAGGAAACATTTCTTTCAATTATATTTACTGATTTGTCTAAATTTTGATTACAAAATTGGAATAAGCAAGTGTCCGCATTTTCACCACCGAAAATAGTATGATAGCCGAAATGCGGACACAAAATATTTTGAACAACTAACACGTGCAGTGGTGCATATGTCAATACCATGATGACGGAAATAAACAAAACTCTCTTATAATCTAGCATTATTAGTTTCAATCCGATACATTTATATCAATAAAGTGTTGATTTGGGTTTATTTGTTTTGCTTTTATTTTGCATATTACGAACATAATGCAATTACAAGTCTGATTTCCACTCCAATTTGCAACTTGCACACATCTTCAATAGGTCAAAAACTGAAAACGTCATCCCCTGGATGGCAAGCCAATTCATTTCTCTTTCTTCGCAGAATGTCTACATGTTTAGGACTTTTTGCGAAAGCAAGAATGGAATGAAATAAAATGTACAGAATCAATCGCCCGAATGAAATTGCAACAATGTCTCGTAGACGAGTGGCTATTTGACAATGATGTTATTGGCTATTTATTTGGCTATTTGACAATGATGTTATTGGCTATTTATTTGGCTATTTGACAATGATGTTATTGGCTATTTATTTGGCTATTTGACAATGATGTTATTGGCTATTTATTTGGCCATTTGACAATGATGTTATTGGCTATTTATTTATGAAATTTTACGTTTATCAAAAGATGAATATGTATCAAACACTACTGAGGGGGAAGGGGGGGGGGGGGGGGCACTACTATGCGAAATTATTGAAAGTGATAAGGAAAATGAATTCAGCAACATTGTGTTTATTGCTTGAAAATCAAGTATAGGAGGTAAAGAGTTGGACATTCTTACTGCGGAAGAGGAAGATGAACTTATTGATATCACGAATATTCCTTTGAAAGAAATGTTTTTATAAAACTTTTTAAAACATGATAGAAATAATGTAACCAATACATTGGTTTTTAAAGACCTCTTTAGACTTTTGTGAGCCTACAGTAACGACAGTGTGCATCCAGTCGTCTGTCTGTCTGTTTGTCCATCCGTCTGTGACAAATCGAAAAACAAACGACGCCCCTCATGGAGAGGTACCAATAATCGCATAATCACCAAATTTTTGCCAACATAATCACATAACCATTAAATATTTGCTTTGGTAATCAAAAACTTCTTTTCTTTAGTTATCAAATAATCATAAACTAAAAGCTTTGTAATCATATAACAAATTCAAATGTAAACTATTTAATAACTAAAAAGTTTTTAATAAGCTCTTCCTCGTTCTCATCCTTCTCCCCGGGTGAAACTGTATCACCTGCATCTTCCATATTTGGTTCGGTAATTTTCTCATGTGAACGACGTATGCCTCACTTTTTTTTTTACCTGCATGGACGAATGAATGTTATTGTAATTAATCATCTTTTTGCACCTATTGTTAACCTGTTGTGTTTTAGACATTTCATCTTAGACACAGAACTCGGTATGCATGTTCTGAACACGCTGGTATCTATTCGCCAGTCGGATAAAATCCCATGCCATTATTGGTCAGAGAACGGGCATTATATAGAAAAAAATATATATGTGACGAAATGCAACGAATAGCATATCATCATGCGTGACCTGATAATCTCCAGGACTACGTCTTTATTATGTCCTGTCGACTTTTGGCGGATGCCCTATTATAGTAATCACTCTGCCCGTCTATTCATCCGTCCGTTTACACTTTCTATGTCGTAGGATAACTCAAATTAACTCCACAGATTTTAAAAGAAATTTTAGCACAACATTTAGTAACATTAGGGGAAGCTCCCTTTCATTTTTTTTTAACTTTTCATTTTCGAGATATTGGACTTAGGCCAGCAAGACCCTTCATTGAGGAGTGACATGGGTCAGTATTCATAAGAGAAAATAAAAGGATATGGAGTAAATGTACATGGGACAAAATCGCACACAATACATATATTTATCAATGAACAAGGCTTTAATTCCTGTTCTTCATCTTGACAGTTGATGTAGGGTCTTCAACAATGAACGAATCATGCATATCCTACAAGGTCAAGACGGCCCCTAGCGTCGACTTAAACTGTACTATTGATAAAAATAAACCAAAGTTCACCTTCTTGCTCCCTACCCGCCTCGGACTGCCAACTTGTGCGATGCTTGTGTACGACGGTTCTCCAGTCGAAAGCACCAGGGATACAAGAAAAGTGCAGTAATTTTGAAAGACATCGATCGCCGCTAAAATATGCTTTGAAGTTACACATGTCGGGGAGCGGTCAATGAATTACATAATTTATAATTACGGGCTAGGTTTTTCAACATATATTTGGAGGGGCCTCGGTGGCCGAGTGGTCTAAGTAGTTACTACTGTAATCACTAGCCAGTCAAAACTGAGGTTGTGAGTTCGAACCCCGCTCGTGCGGGTGCACCCGACTCCAATCTTAATTTACTAGGATTGTCAGTTTTCCTATCGAAGGTCGGTGGTTTTCTCCGGACACTCCGGCTTCCTCCACCAATTAAAACTGGCCGCCACGAAATAGCCCAAAAGCGTTGCTTAAAAGTGGCGTTAAAACACCAAAAATCAATCAATCAATCAACATATATTTGTCATACATTGCCCAACAAAAGACCAATACATTAGAAACAACAGATGATAGACAATACATATAAAACTAAACATAATACTGACTTTTCCATAATTCCCTAAAATTTTTGGTGTCCATTTTTCCATAGTCCTAATTTTTTTTTGAACATTTCAATTTACAAAATTTGCATGTTCCCTCACACCTTGCGTTTTCCCATTTTTGATTTCACAATTCTTAAAAATTAAGTCTTTTTACCCATTCCATAAACTGTTTTTCAGATGTTCATGGTGTTGGATGGGAAAAAAATCTCGCCTCAAGGCATCTTATGCTCTAGAGCGAGGGCTACGGATTTTTAAGTGATTAGGACATTAAAACACATTACAATGAATGCCATACGATTTGAAATTGAAAGTTATCACAACTATATCTCGTATATATGCATGCATGCATCTTGCCGGGAAGACAATATACCGATGGAAGTTGTCAGTACAAAAAAGTTTCTGCATCTTATATCATTTAATAATTGGTGTGGTATAAGATATTGGTTTCATGTCGATACGGCCCCACGTCGATCCGGCCCAAGTCGATCCGTCCCACGTCGATCCGGCCCAACGTCGATCCGGCCCAACGTCGATCCGGCCCATATTTAAAGTCGATCCGGCCCCAATAAAAAAATATATTTATAAGGAATAAAAATAAAGATATATATTAATTGTAATTCATAAATGTTTATGAGTTTTATTATAATGTAAAAGGTGTACGGTAAAAAAAAATGGCCTTTGACAAATATTTTCTTTAGATGAGTATAAAACAAGTAGGTTGATTATGTTTTCATTACAAGTTTTCAAGATTATTGGGTATAATTATAATAAAAACGTATATAACAGAATTTAGTACAATCAACAGACATCAACATTAATCAGCAGTAATTAGTATTTTCTTTCAATTGACTGTGATCTTAACAAGTCTTTCATCCTGTGTAATAACAAATAGTTACATACACAACGGTACAAGCCGATCCCCAAGCTGATACATACAAACTTTGTTTTTGTTTTAAGTTCTTAAAACTTCTCAAATTGAGAAATGTTGTTTGATTTGCCGAATCCTTTCTATAAAAGAGGAGACAGAATGCGTTTGCTTTTAATATCACAATGGCTTTTCCTTGTGTGGTATGTGACCAACATGTTAGACCTCGGCAGCATGCACTTCAGTGTGAGCAATGTTCAAAGTGGCAACACCGTCTCTGTAATACCGGTAAGTTTCTATTTTCACTTTTTGCTTTAATATAATCAAACTGTTAATTTGTATATAAGTCTTAAATATTTTTTTCTTTGTTTTCATCATTAAACCATAAATATGAAAAAAAAGTATATAGTTTTGTTTTAAAAAGCTTATAAATTCTAGATAAAGATTGCTTTATTTATTCTTATTTGACTTTTTGTACAAAACTGAGTATTTAGATTAATAAAATATTTTAAAGAAAATAGTAAAGCGTACTATAGCTATCCGTTTAAATATTTGAATTATATATTTGCATCATATATTTGTATTATATATTCATGATATTTGCATCATGAATTTGTATTATATATTTGTATTTTACATTATAAAGATAGATATTTATTATTTTTGTAATTCCTTTATAGGAGTATCTCTACTGGAATACAGACGCATGGTAAATGAAGAAATAGATGTGATCTTCATGTGCATCGAGTGTATGCCAGCCGAGCCAGAGGCAGCACCTGAACCTGAACCAGAAGCAGCACCTGAACCTGAACCAGAAGCAGTAAGTTAATAGAATTGTCTTACACAAATACTACTAAGTTATATATATTGTATTTAAATCAACTATTCTCCATGAAAAGAAAATCATATTATGTTGTTAACATCTTTATATTTAGCAAGGGAATAATTTAATCATTAAAAGTAAGTGCTATAAGGTTGTCATGTATACTTTGAATGTACCGTATCTTTTTGTATTGGAAGTGGTATAATATAGAATAATAAATTATGAAATTAAGTGTGTTCATCCAGAAAGACAACTGTATGAAGCAGATACCTCTACTCTTCGTCTTGATGTCTCGCAGAGAGAAGAAAGATTACAAAGCAGTGAGTATATAACCATTTATGTGTTTTATACGGAGTATATGTCAATAAGACCATGAGAACATTATAGTACCAAAATCTATTGGGTATATGTCAATGAGACAACTATGCATCTTTTGTTGATTTATTACATATTTATATATATATTATTATGATGTATTACAATAATAATTCCATGGATACAAAGTGATTAAGATTTCCTATATAATTTCAATTGTTTTTTTTTATAGGTATTCACCAGACTTGTCGAACTGATTCCTCAGCATAGAGTGCAAGCCTTTTGCTTAGATTTTGAAGCTGGTAAGTATATATACATATTATTAGATACAAGAAGATGTGGTATGAGTGCCAATGAGACAACTCTCCATCCAAGTCACAATACATAGTATTAGTATGAATATTCACAACAAAGTATTCGCTTCATGATTATGTAGATTTGTTTCTAAGTATTATCTGACATCTTCGATTTTTGAACTGTATGTGATTGATTTTTATTTAATATATATATATATAATGTATTACATATAATTGAAAAAAAACTTATATTATTTGATTATCTTGCAGGAGCCTGGTCAGCAGTAAAGTCCGTCTTTCCAACCGCCGACATTAAGGGATGTGCCTTCCACTGGGGTCAGGCTGTGATGCGCAAAGTTGCCAACTTGGGATTAAAGACAGCATACTCTTCAGACAAAGCCGTCAACGTGTTCATTAAGAAGGTGTTAGCTTTACCGTACCTGCCAGCAGGACACATCCTCCCAGCTTATAGACAACTTACAGTACCACCTACATCACCTCTTCTTCACCAACTCATGGTCTACATCCACAGAGCGTGGTTACAGTGTTCCGTTTGGAGTGTGGCCCAATGGTCAGTGTACCAGCTGTCCATCCGTACCAACAATGATGTGGAAGGTATTTATTTTTTTATATATTATTTACAAAAAAGTAGAGTTGGTATTTTTGCCGATGAGACAAATATTCAGCCGAATTAAATGAAGAGCATGGAAGTAAGCAATTATTGAACTTCTTACAGTCTGATAAATACTACAATAAAATAAATGATATGAAACTGTTATTAAATATTGTCATCTGCTATATTGATTCTTTTCTGTAATATGTACTCAACATTTGCTTTTAATTTTTAACAGGTTGGCATCGTAGGTTCAACGGGAAAGCAAATGGAAACAAGCTCCACTTCTACAAGATGGTTCCAGCGCTCATTAAAGAAGCCAAGACTGTTTCTAGACAAGTGCGTCTGGTAGATGAACAGAGTCTTGCCCGTTGGCAGCGCACCAAGTATCAACAGTCACAGGGACGCCTCTCTTCACTATGGCAGCAACTTGAAGACGGTACCATCACCACCTCCTTCTTCCTTCGTGCCGTCGGACACATGTATGACATTCCTGTGCCAGACCCAGAACCAGAAGAAGACACTGACAGCGACTGATTTAATTAACACTGAGTGAACTGTATGGCTTGTAAAATGTTAGTTCATATGTGGCTACAATCTGTATGTTTATATAACATTTATTTATTAAATGCTTAATGAGTATTCTTTATGTTTAGAATAATATAGTTTGTTCTTGGTGAGCTAATCAAATTGAACCATTATAGTGCTGTACTGCGTATGATAGTAACTGTATATGTTATTGTAGTGCTGCAAGTGTGACCTCTTTTATATTATGTAAGCGACAGTGTAACTGTTAGTGTAAATGATTTAAAAGTTATATATATTTATGTGAGTGTCAGAGATAGTGTGTTTGTTAGTGTGTATGAATTTATTGTTATATTATAGTAGTGCTGATATTATATTTTTAGAGAGTGAACATGTGCATTCAGTGTAATTATTTTGTTATTATCTTGCAATAAAGAATAATGGATACTCATATAACTTGTTTTTTTTATCTACACAGAACTATTCAAAATATTGTCAACTTTAAAAAAATATATTAACTATATTCGATATTACAAAAAAACAACATGTGCCTCTGATGTTACCTGAAAAAAAAAAATACAATTAATTATTATAACACATAACACAAAAAAAAAGATCAAACTATAAAGACCTTGCTGATTACGTAACCAGGATTTGATTGAATTAAGTGATTACGAGTGGCATTACCTCAGTTCACAATCATCAGACAATTGTTGAATAAACAAACCAATTATAGATTAATGATTTAATTAAACAAGTCATTATATGATGAGTTAAATTTTATAGGTTCCATTGGACTGTAAATATTTATTTAGCTATTCTGTGTGTGAATTAAATAAAATAAAAATCGCCATGACATTCAAAGTTATCATGGAAAATAACTTCATATTAATATGTTGAAGCTGCTATACAAACAGACACAATCACACTCAGTTTCGTATCGATTTAAAATAATTCTTTGACTGGTACACCAATACTTCACTTACCTGTTGTCATCCATCATCGATACTTTTTGCAAAATCAATTTATAATGTTAAAAATCCTCCAAAGTCAATATAGTTTATTCATATTTTATTATGGGGCCGGATCGACTTTGGGCCGGATCGACGTGGGCCGGATCGACTTGGGACGGATCGACTTTGGGCCGGATCGACTTGGGGCCGGATCGGTTTGGGGACGGAACGACCGGATACCTAAGAGATTTAATGAACTTCTTTAATCTTATTTTACTCACCTTTCCACATGTATTACCAGTTCATGCGAGAAAACCATTCTCAAACATGCTTTAAGTTGCACTGAGAGGGTATTCTTGAGGGTTTATTCATGAGAGTTAATGTTATATATGCATAATACCTGCGTTTTGAATAGCAAGAACTGTTTAAAAATAAGTGTCCGCAATTTGACGACAAGGTGTCCGTATTTTAACTCCCCCTGTCCGCATTTACGCGACTCGGCATTTCCGCGGGTTTTAAGAGTTTGCAATCTACCAATCTAGAGAGGAGACCCGAAAACGCGGGAAATGGTCCATTTGATACCCCTCTATCCTCTCCTGTCAAATGCAACCACCAGTATGTCCGCAATTGGCCTCGACGGTATCCAAACTTCCGGATTTGAAAAAGTGTCCGCAATTAGGCGAATTTCCCCTACATATCATATTTGTTTTTTCGTTTTTTTTGGTTTTTCATTTATTGGTTTTGTACATAAATCAGGCCCTTAATTATTTCGTTTCAATTGTTCTACAATTGTCATTTTTGAGGCCTTTTATAGCTGACTACGGTATGGGCTTTGCTTATTGTTGAAGGCCGTATGGTGACCTATAGTTGATAACTTCTATGTCATTTGGGAGCAATTATACCATATCTTATTTTTTATATTTATACTTATATTGCTTATGGTATTTGTGAATTTTTTGCCCATTATTCTCTATTTTGTAAACCCCATCCAGAGCCTCCTATATGGAATTTTGTGTCAACATCCAGTTTTTCTTTATGTTTAAATTGAAATATATATAAGTGCAATAAAAAACTAGATGGTCTGAAGCGCCTGTGTCGCTCACCTAGGTCTATGTGAATTTCCAACAAAGATGATGATGATGGATGGTTACTTAATGTCTAGCGGCAAATTAATATGCATATTCAGGATGAGAACATGTTAATATAATATAAATATTAACCCTGCTTTGTACTAGACTGACATGCTGATACAGATTTTTAACGTGCTAGTTCACAAGGTAACAGTCGGCAGGAAGACATGTCTCCTTACCCTGACACATTATTCTGACTTCGAGCCAACCAGTCTTTGCTCTCTCCTTAATGCCGCATATTTAGCGATAGGCGGTAAATACCAATTTTAAAATCTTTGGTTTGACCTGGCCAGGGAATCTTCAACAATGAACACTCTCCAACTTTGTAGACTAGAATAGAATTCATGACAAAAATCTATTATTTGTTGATTATTTTTTTTTGCTGATCATTTATTCTGTGTGTAGTTTCTATATAAAAATAAGGAATGTGGTATGATTGCCAATGAGACAACTATCCACCAAAGTTCAAACAAAGTGGATGTAAGCAATTATAGGCAACTGTAATGGTCTCATTTATAACAAAACAAATATGATAGACATAGCCAACGACAACCTCTGAACTACAGGCTCCTGACTTGGGACAGGCACATATAGAATCTTTTGCTTAGTTTTTGCCAAAAACACAAAAAGGGTAAAACAATTGTCATTTAAGGGCAATCAATCCATAAAGAGTCTACTCATGATTTCTACAAAATTTGACTTATTTGTTGATCCTGCTAGCTGATCATTTTTGCTATTAAAGGGGTCCACCTATCTTATTAAGTTGTCAAGGTAATAGGCAAAAATGTAAAAAAAATGGTAAAAATCGTCTTTAAAGAGAGAGTTCTTGAATAAGGAGTAGACTGACAATTTCGGCCATGTTGACTTATTTGTAGTTCTTGGCATATAATTTTTGATATTTAAAGTGTCCATCTATCTATAATAGTTTTCAAGGTGTTAGGCAAAAACACAAAAAAAATAGGTAAAAATCATCATTAAAGAGCAATTACTGCAATAAGGAGTCGACTGATGATTTCAGCCATTAGATTCATTTGTAGATCTTGTATTGTTGATCATTTGGGCTTTTTAAAGTTTCTATCTATCTGTTATAGTTTTTAATATAGTAGATCCTATCAAACTAATTTAAGCAGAAAACTTAACAATTGTTGGCACCACCGGTAGAAAAGCAAGATCTATGTCTCGTCTTTCACGACTATAAGAAGTATTCTAAAAGTTTTGATTTAAATGGACAGTAAGTATAGATCTCAACATTCTCAACATTTCTAGCTCTGTCATATTTTCTCTATTTATAGCAGTTTTCTAGATAATAGACAAAACTTTTACCCCTATGTTCTATTTTTAGCCATGTCAGTCATGTTGGGTTATTGGAGACATTTTCTAAACTTGATACCCCAATGGTGGCCAAGTTTGGTAAATTTGGCTCAATAGTTTCAGAGGGGAAGATTTTTGTAAAAGTTAACAGATGATGACGGACAACCACTACTCAAAATATCTTCTAATTACGGAAATCTTGCTCCTGAAAACATTTAGATTCCTGAGATTGATTTTTTTTTGTAAACTTGACTATTATTCATCATGTTTTTTTATGAATAATCAATTCAATATTATGTTCACATACGTTCATACTTCACAAAAAAAAATAAAGCAAGTACCGGTAGTTTCTTTATAATTCAACAGAGCAACAGAGAACTAAATAAAACAAACACTTAATCGGTGAGATAATTTTAATTTTTCTTTTTCAATAGTAATTGACTAGAATATAATACTGTTAAGATTTCAGACAAACAAAAAACAAACAATACAAAATCACTTCTTTATAACGAAAAACATATACATGTATATGAAGGCTTGATAAATCATGTTCTTTCTCTGTGAAAAAAAAATTCAATATGTGAACATCAGAAAAATCTTGATTTAAAATAAAAAATAAATGCTCATAATTACAGAAATCTGGATGTCCTTCTTTATAAATTTGATATACTTTAAAAAAAATATTCTACTTTAACAGTAGTTTTCAAGATGGTATGCAATCAAATACAGGAATTCAAAAGTATCAAGCAGGAAATATACATATTTTTTAATTGCAGTTTTAATACCCAACATCATCATGCTCATTGGCAGCACTCTACATGCACACAGACACTAGCCAGAGTTGGTCAAAAATTGGGCACTTGAAAATAAAACATGCATCCAAATTGGCATCTGGTAATGTCTAAAGCTACACCCTTTTGGGTTTCCCTTTTTCTTCTATCATACTTTTAGCATACCACTTCATGAAAATACTCGTAACTTTTTCCATTGTGAAAAACATTAAGTAAACCATTGCTGCATGCTCCTATAATTAAGGTGATTAAATATGATATTTTCATCTTCTAAAGTCTTTTTCTTGATAACTTTTAAAGAACTAATTAGCACCATCTTTACTCAAATTTGTAGTTTATAAGGGCCTAAAATTGAATATGTATAATACACAAGAGTTCACATGCAGAAATGTCTAGCCTGTTTAACTGACCATTGATTTCATGTTGAAAGTCTTAAAGATAAAGGTTTTACTACAAGTATCACATAGACTTAACATTTTTAAAGATCTATGAAAATGAGGTCAAGGCCAGGTTATACCTGCCAGACAGACATGTTCACCTTACAATCATTCCATATACCAAATATAGCTGACCTACTGCGTATAGTATTTGAAAAAAACAGACCAAAACACAAAAACTTAACATTGACCAATGAACCATGAAAATGAGGTAAAGGTCAGATGATACCTACCAGACAGATATGTAAACCTTGCATTCATTCCATACAACAAATATAGTTGACCTATTGCTTCTAGTATTTGAAAAACTTACCAAAACTCAAAAACTTAACATTGACCAATGAACCATGAAAATGAGGTCATGGTCAGATGAAACCTGCCAGACTGAAATGTACCTCTTACAATCATTCCATACACCAGATGTAGTTGACCTACTGCTTATAGTATCTGAAAAACAGACCTAACTAGACATCATTGTGGGCCCCGCTGTAAATAATGTGTGGTAAAAAATTTGTATGGATAAGGTGATATGAAGCACTTTATTAAGTTTTGACCTTGAACTTTGACCTAGGAAGTTGTACAAATATTATGACACACCCTCTAGTGTGGTTAATATACATATCAAGTATAAAGTATGAAATTATAACTGTTCTCTAGATATAGAGCAGACACAATTTGTTACGGACGGACGGACAGACTGATCACTATAGGGCGACCCACCACTAGGCGGGGCCCTAATGACATAACTTTAACCTTTATCACTTATCCACATAATGAGGTCAAGGTCAGGTGAACACTATCTTACGTACTAGACCTTGCAAGGAACCCATTTACCAAATATAGTTATCCTATTACAGATAGAAACTACGTAACATAAGGTATCTGCATACAAGGTATGAAGCATCCAGGTGTTCTACCGTCTGAAATATAAAGCTTTATACAAATAGATTACACCACCGCTGCATAGTAATCCCTATGCAGGCAAGACAAACTAGAGGCTCTAAAGAACATGTGTCGCTCACCTTGATCTGTGTGCATATTTAACAAAGGACACTGTCCAACATTGTAGACGAGAATAGAATTCATGACAAAAATCTGTTTTGTTGATCTTGTATTACCGATCATTTAGTCTGTTTTAGTTTCTCTCTATCTTCTTTAGTTTTTGCTCAAAACAAAAAAGAGGGTAAAAAAATCCTCCTTTAAGGACAATCACTTCTATAAAGAGTGAAAGTCTCCTAACTATATCCGCAAAATATGACTTGTTAGTAGATCTTGCTTTGCTGATTATTTTTGAGATTTAAAGTGTCTATTTATCTATTATAATTTTTATCATAAAAAGCAAAATGCCAAAAAAAGGGTAAAAATCATCATTAAAGGGAAATAACTCCATTAAGGAGTCGTGGGATGATTTCCTCTACAATTGTCTTATTTGTAGAACTTTTCTTGCTGAACATTTTTGCAATTTAGAGTTTCTCTCTATCTATCATAGTTTTCAAGATAATAGGCAAAAATGAAAAAAAATGGTAAAATTTGTCATTTAAGGGCATAAGCTCCTATAAGAAGTTGTCTGACAGTTTTGACTATATGGACAATTGGTAGAGCTCCACATTCTGAACAATTTTGCTCCAGTCAGATTTTCTTTATTTATAATGGTTCTCAAAATAATAGACAAAACTTGCATTTTACCCCTATGTTCTATTTTTAGCCATGTTGGCCATCTTGGTTGGCAGGTGGGGTCATCGGACAAATTTTTTAAACTAGATTCCTCAATGATGATTGTGGCCAAGTTTGGTTAAATTTGGCCCAGTAGTTTCAGAGGAGAAGATTTTTGTAAAAGTTAATGACGACGGGCGCCAAGTGATAACAAAAGCGAGGTGAGCTAAAATCAGCAGTACATGGCTGCTAATTCTGCAACCAACCATTGGAGAATAAATTTCTTTTGAAATAGTTTTCACTATAACAAATTAAAATAAAAACCTTAGAAATAGCAAATCATTAAAAAGTTGTAACTTTTATAAAAAAAAAACATTCAAAGACGAGCTTACTTAATCAATTAGTAACTATTTCAAAAACTCAAAGATCAGGGTTGAAATTACCAGGGATGGCTTAAAAATTACAATAATTAAAAATTTACATCAACAAAATATGGGTTCACGTCAAAGATCAATATACACATCCCAAATTTACATTTATTGCCATGATTTGTACTTCTCAATAACTTCTATAAAACAATCACTGTATCTAACAGTTCTGCTACAGTAAGATCTACATTCCATGAATGTTTCTGTAATGCTAACTTAACCTCATCATCTGACAGCTGTGGTAAAATACATTTTACTGTCTGTATATTTTGTTTTTGTTCTGTTGTTAAGGAAACAGATTTTTGTTTTGTTCCTAATGATTTAATCTTGGACCCTTTTGAAGTTTTCTCTGATAAATGAGATTTTTGATATGTTGAATCCACAGAAGAAATCCTATTGAAGTTAAGATCTGGTAAACTATCACTGTCAGAGTCGGACAAAGCACTGTCAAACTTTTGTCTGTTCGATTTAACTGTTTTAAGAAAACTGTCTATCTGTTTACTAGTAGAAGCCTCCTCATCACTTGATATTGCACTGTCTATACTTGTATTTACACTACTGACATTTCTTCGGTTAGGATGGGATTTGGGTGTGAAAGCCGATGTTGATGGTTGTTCGTCATCAGACCAGCAAATAGGTTTTTCTATTGACTCTTTTGCACTGGTAGTTGAAACTGACCTCAATTTAAATACCTTGGTACGTGGACAGTATTTTTTACCAACACTTTCAGTTTTTGTATTAGTGTTGTCCAGTTTATGTTTCAATGTCTTGCTTTTAACATCTGTCCAGATGTTTGTTATGTAATTGTCATTTGATTTTTCCTGATATTTCGTCTTATTTAAGGTTGCATTGTATGATACAGAATTATTATTATCAAATACACTGTCGTCAATGTAATCCATCTTTGGCTTATATGCCCCAGCTCCATGATATTTAGATGGTGTATTTCTCCGTTTTGGTGGTGTGGCCTGTATTCCTTTTGAACAGTGATACTGCACAAAAGGCTCAAGTGGAAGCTCTTCAAATGGCACAGCTGGGTTTTTCTTCTCCTTCTGAAATTCATCTGATTTTGAATAAGTGTTTGTTTCAAAAGCAAATCCTATTGATTTTTTGGCATCTGGAGAATGATGAAGTTGTATAGAGTTTTCCATACATAATGAAGCTTTTGGTAGATTGTTCTTTTTAACAGCACCAGTATTTGATTTTTTGTAAGGATTCTTTTCAAACTTTGATCTCTGGTATGATGGAGAAGTTTCTACTGTTTCTTCTATGAAAACATCCTGAGTATCAAAACTAACAGGATGGTTACTATCATGGTTGTCATCTATAATAGTGACATCATCTTCATCATCACTGTCAATAACATAAAACTCTTCTTTCTTCTTCCCTCCCTCTTTACAGTTCAATTCTTTCACAACCATTTCATCAAAATCACCATTTTTCATTCTGAAAAGACAGTAGAACTGTATTTATGCCAATAAAATTGCTAGCAGATCAATGAGACAAGCTATAATCATTATCCCTGAATTAGATTGAGGTATACAATAGTCCCACACCACTTCAATGCAACCAACTAATAAATATGCTATCAGAGTACTATATAAAGACATAATGAGTTATAAAGTTAAAGCCTCAAAAGAGTGTGTACCATTCATCTGGCATGCAAGAATCTAGCTTCTCTATAAATTTTAATGTTATTTTTTGGCTATTATTGTTCATCCACTTTTGATAATTTCTGATTTCAAATATTTTGTTTCTAGTCTCACAGACTAGAATCATTGTTCTTCATATCAAATTTGGTAACTTGTCATTCTCTACTATGTATACTAATAAGATCTCCTCTCTGTATTCTTATCCCCTAGGGAATAAACATTAGAACAAATAAATTTGTAAGGGGTTCCATGGAACCGAGTGCCTCGCCTGCTGCTGTCTGTAAAATAGTAATGTTGACTTAAAAATGAGTCTATTCATCAGTAACATACAGAATTTAAAAAAAAAATCAAACTTTTCCTTTAAATGTTATTTCATGGTCTTGAAGATTTCTTTCTGTCCAAGTTTCACAACAATCCATGAAGGTTTACAAATTTATCATGTAAAAAAATATAATCCTAGACTGTCTGTAAATGTTAACTGTAAAATACGAAGTCCATCTATCAGAAAAATACTATAAATGAAAAACTTAAATTTTTAAAGGTTTGCTTCAGACATTATCTCTTAATCATTAAAAAGTTTCTGCCAAAGTTTCATAAAACTCTATGAAGGTTTGACAAAGTAATTGATGTGTAACAAACTTTAACCCCAGACTATCTACTTGTTAACTCTAAAAAAACTAAGTCCATTTATCTGTAAAATATGGAAAAATGAAAATAAATATTTTCAAAAATTTTGCTCTGGATACTGTCTTTTGGTCATAAACAAGCTTCTGTCCAAATTTCATTATTTTCCATGAAGGTTTGACAAAGTTATTGATGACTGAAAAACTTGAACATCAAACTAAATCTGATGTTAACTGTAAAAAAAAACTAATATAAAAATAAGAAGATGTTGTATGATAAATCCATTTATTAGTAAAATACAGAAAAATGAAAATAAATATTTTCAAAATTTGGCTCTGGATATTGTATTTTGGTCATAAACAAGCTTCTGTCCAAATTTCATAAAATTCCATGTAGGTTTGACAAAGTTATTGATGTCTAAAAAAATAATAACCACAGACTGAACCTAAATGTTGACACCGCCAACGCCGACGACAGAATCTAGGATCGCTATGTCTGGCTATGTCTTAAAATTCCATGTAGGTTTGACAAAGTTGTTGATGTCTGAAAAAACATTAACCACAGACTGAACCTAAATGTTGACACCGCCGACGACAGAATCTAGGATCGCTATGTCTCGCTATGTTTCACTTTCACGAAATAAATTTTGCAGACTCAACAATAATCAGGCTTTAAGGAAATAGAAGAATTACCTCTGTTGAAGTTCTGTTGTTATTGATGCAAGCATGATGACAGTATCTTGTAAATTCTCTGTTTGTTGTACATTCAAGTCTGGATGGGACCTCAAATCTTTCAGTGCATTCTACAATAAAAATATATACTGGATTTTTGCAATAAATGACTCCATCATTGATATGGGTAAACAAGGATAATGATTTGCATAATTGTAGAATTTTCATATACATGTACCCCTATTATAGTCAAAACATTTGAATTATACTCCGATGACATGTTCTATTGTACGATAACCACAAATCCCTACACCTTGACAACCATCCATAAATAAGACTCACAATAAGCTGTAAATCTGAAGGACAACATCCCAAAATTTGAAAACAATTCATTCATTTGACCTTTGTCTCATTATGATCTATAATTCTGTTAGGTTATTATAAATCCCCATGCTGTACCTGACAACAATCCATACATTTGACCTTCGGCTCGTCATGACCTGTAAAGCTGTAAAACTATCATACATCCACATATCCGACAACAATGCATACAGTTGACCTTAAGTTCATGATGACCTGAATAACTGTAGTATTACCACACATCCCAACACCTAGATAACCATTCATAAGTTTGACCTTTGACTCACCTTGACCTGAATAACTGTAGGGTTACCACACATCCCAACACCTTGACAACCATCCATACATTTGACCATATATTGTTCTGGTTCCCCTTCCACAATATACTGTAATTGGCACTGTAGTCCTTGAGCTGTGAACTGCTGTTTCCATTCCACCATTTTTGTTACCTGTGTCCAAAATCTCCCTTCCTTCAAAGTCCTGGCAATATCATCTAAAAAATATCAGGAAGCCGAATATATTTACATCCTTCATAAATTCCATAGTGTGTTTGTACAGTGAGATAATAAACAGGACATTGCAAATCTATTTACATTAAGCATGAAACAAATATTTAAAAATATCATGACCATTCTAAACAAGTTGAACTGTGAGGTTTATATGCTCACTAATGATACCACTGCTATAAGTATTCGGTAAACAGGTAGTTGATAAAAACTAGATCTAACAGTTTTTTTCACATTATATAAGTTATAACAATTGAACTATCTGACTAGAATATTAAGTTTGACAAACCATTGGCTCCAAGTTTCCTCAGACTTAATTGTGGTTGATATGCTCTACATGCATCCTCACACCAAATTATATCAAAGTAAATCTCATTGTATCTGAGATATTTAAAACAAGGAGGTGACATGTGCACTTAATCTAAGGAATGAACTTCTTATTATTTTCTTTACCTGATCTACCTGGAAAATTTTCATGTTGGCAATATGCTGTTTTTATAATTTTGTTGTTTTTCTCAATTTTAATTTTGTTGCTTTTGTCAAGTTAGTCTGTTTGAAAAATGTGTTTTAAGATCACCTGCTCTTTTCCTTTCGACTAGAAATGGTAGAATTCTTTCTGTTCCATCACAGTTCCATACCCAACTGTAGTCTCCAACAGGAAGTTTTCTTGTCTTGTACTTAATGTTTACATCTTCTATCATTCTACAAAGCTAAAATGACAACATATACTTTGATTAATCTAAGAAATATCAGATTCATGTATTTAAGTTAATTTTTCCACAATGTTTTTATCATCAATCTCAGTCCAGTCAGGTATCTATGACTTCAAAGTTTGCTCTATTCAAACAAATTTCTCTATTATCCTAAATAACATGTGTTAAAACTATAATTGGAGTAAAATTTAAGGAAACTGTATTTAAATTTCACTTCAATAAAAACTGTAATAGTTCGGGCTGTTTCATTAAAATGGGGGTGTGAGGGCAGGAAGGAATGTTTCATCTTTTGACATGGGTTGTGGGTCATTTATGGTTATACAATGTATTGAAAATACTCTAAGTGTGTTGGTTGTGGTGGTGTTGGTTTTGGGGAATGGTGTTGGAAGTCCATTCCTACCCTTCCATATCCATACTAAAGCAATGCCCCTTAAAATAATATATGTTAAAAGGTATCAAAAGTATATTCAAGTAGAAAATGTCAAGATAAAAAAGTTTGACAGACGCCATAATGAAACCATGATATGTAACCTACTAAATTGTTCATTTTTTTTTCTTTTCTCAATATGCATTAACCACTTTAATTTGATTATATTTATATTGGATGTATGAACTCAGAGACAATTTTTTCTTACAGCTTAGTTTTTTTATAGCTGCTGTGACCTTGAATTTTGACCTAGTGATCTCAAACTCAATAGTTTTCCTGTCAAAAACATGTTCAGTAAAAATTTAATGTATGGATAAAAGTTATCACAAGGAAATTAGAAAAATTTGAAAATAACCTTCGACACAGTAATAAATAAAGATATTCCTCTCAATGAAGGACATTCCCACCCATGTTTGGTGACTAAGCATTTAATCATACTATTAGTGGAGTTCAATATGCATGATATGTCACAACTTTCAACACCAATAATATATACTTACATCTCCTAGACCAACTCTGTCTCCTCCCATCTCAGATATATCAACCAATAGAACTACACTGAAATATAAAGTTTGTTCAAACTAGTATCTGAATGTCTTTTTCGTTTCCTCTGTAAAAAAACCTGTGAAAAAGGGCTGACAATTTTGGATATTCATCGATTCTAAGGGGCCACAATTGTTTTATTATACCGAACTAACAGTGGAAGGGTCTTTTGAACCATTTAAAAAATATTGCCTTACGGTAGTAAAAGGTTATCAAAATACTTAGTAACTTAGGTTAGAAAATTATTTGTGAATTTCTGGTATGTACAACAAAGGTAGACTCTTTCTGTAAGATATTGATGGCCCTGAAAAGGACAGTTTACGAGCGATATCCTCGGCACTAAATGAGTTTCCAAGCCTTGTTTGATTTGTTTCCTCGTTACTTGATGGGCTTATTACATGGCCGTTGCCATTTTGTTTACAGGCATCAATGATCTCATTTTTTATGGGAGATAACTCGTGCAGAAACCAAGGGCTGAAAAGGTTATTCAACAGAGAATAATAGGGTTATTCACCGCTGAGTGTTAATTTTTAGGGTTATTCATCTTTCCTTGCATTCAAATGAAAACTAACTGAATTATTCCATAACACGTGATAATGTATAAACCAATAGAATTGTTTATAATATATGTAAGGTATAATAATACATAATATTAATCTATTGTTTCATCTAAAGTGCATATTTTATTCTTAGTGATTTATATTAATTCTGAGCTCTTACTTTTTAATATTTATATTTGTGTATCTTGTCATAATCATAAATATAAAATTTTGATCCAAACAAAAGTATGGTGTGGTACGATATCCAATGAGACAACTATCCACCTAAGACCAAATGATGTAGATGTAAGTAACCATAGGTTACAATGCAGCCGACAACAATGTGCAAAACCCTTACCTTATAGTAAGCTGTAAAATGCCCTGGGAAGACAAAAGTAAAATAATTCTATGGACAAAACAATAAACGAAAAACAAATATGATAGACAGTTACCAATGACAACCACTGAATTACAGACTGCTGACTTTGAACATCTACATACAGAATGACGTGGACATAAATATGTTTGCAAGCACTAAACCCTCCCCTAGCCTGGGAAGTGGTGTAACAGCACAAAGTCTGTTCTACATTGGCTTCTTTACTTTTGATGTTATAATTACCCATCTGATCCATCGTAGTTAGTATAGAGGACATCATTGTTATCAGGAACAGTGGACCATGGTATAACATGACTACCACTAACTTGTAACCTCCCACTTCTTTCTGGAATAAGGGTCAAAAGCGAAGATAAATTGAAATATTGAACCATTATTTTGCTAATATTCATCTATTTTTTTGTACTATACTGCATCAGGACAGTGGGCAAATAACTATAATGTATTGTGACATCATAAATTATAAACAGAGTGTGTCTTAAAATAGGATTCAAATTTTGTTTCCATAAAATGGCTTGAAATAATAAAATTAATTGAAGATGATAAAAATATTATTCTACTCTCCATGCAATCCAGGAAAGAGCAATTGCTTTCAAGTTTTTGCAGTGTTTAGGGATGTTTGAATAAAACATGTTACTAAAAATATTTAATTAAAAATACCAACTAGATGTTCACTGCAAGGCTTTAACTTTACAGAATACAGAAACATTTTCCCATGAATAACAAATTTGTATCAGTTTAATAGGATTTTCATTTTATGTTTATTTTCAATGTCAACAATTGCAGTGTTTATAACATCTAAACGTATATTTATATACATAATGAGTCCAGGGATGTTTTTCATTCATGACTGCAGAATTTTTAAATATTGAGTGAAAATGAAAGCATGGACATAACACATTTTCCATAAAGTAAGAAATGCTTCTTTGTAAAAAAACAAGTACCTGTAAAAATACATCAATATAGTATTCAGTAAATATGATAACAATAAAATGAAAGTATTAAATAAATAAAAAATCAACAGTATTCATTTGACTGTAAAATTGAGAATGAAAATGGGGAATATGTCAAAGAGACAACAACCAGACCAAAGAGCAGACAACAGCCGAAGGCCACCAATGGGTTTGTAGAAGTTCCATGCGGCAAATGTTAATAGCCAATAATACAATATAATTGAATGAAATAAAAGCAGAAAGTAAATACTGCTAATTAGAGAAAATTACTTTTAGCAAATTTAGGACTGTATATCAAATGCACATTTTCTGTCCATTACGTTGTAAAAAAGGTTGAAAGTATGTTAGATGTATCTGAACTAGACTTTTCTCATTTTGTTACAACTTAACAAAACAGAAAAATGTATAGTACAATAAAATTATCTGAGGTATCTCCCATTATATATTAAATGCCTTAAAACTTTCTGTACAAAAAATCACAAAAATAAAATGAGTTTCTGTTTTAAAGTTATTCATTGCACAGGAAAATTATTTTTAGCAGTCTAATTTTGTTTCTAGCATACAACTTGTTGTTCACAAAATATGATGGAATATTTTTATCTAAAACTTTTTCTCTCTGAAACATATGTGAGTGATTATCAGTCAAAAGACAAATTGTAAAAAGATATTGTACCTCTTAATCTTAGAGCCTCTTCTGTTCCTGACGGCAACAGAACATATACTGGTGCTTTGTTAAAAATTCTCCTCTTGACAAAATCTCTTTTGATGAGTATTTCCATACGCCACCATGCTGGACCTACATGATATAATTAAACTTTGTACTATACAATAATCCCTTCATCATTTCAGCCTTAAAAATCCATTTATTTCATTTGATATTTAAAATATTATTGGTAAGCATTATCTGGAAAATTCAAATCCTGTTCCTTTAAAAAGTAAATAGATTTCATTAGCTTTTCTATGAGTTAATTTCTTATTCTTTACTCTTAATTTCATTTTCTAAACATCTTGGTTTTAAGCATTTTTCCTGTGCAACTTTACATATTTGAAAGTTTTGGGCAGCTTACAGGAAACATTACTTTAATTTCTTTTCAAGACATACATAAAGTTGTGTCTTCATCCTCAAGATCTAGTAACTGTTCATCACACATTTCTGTGGCTTTAGTCTTAACTACATCTTCAGGGACTAGAACTGAGCTATCTTTACTGAAAAAAAATTTACAGTGCAGATAATAATATATTTTTCTTCAAATCTCCACCTGTATACCATATATATTTAACAATACAAGTGTGCAATTGTACTGAATATGTGCTAGAGTGTTTGAAATATATTCGAGTTATCTAAATTATCTCTTATTGCCACCTTTGAGAACACTGCACTCCCACTTAAGCTTTTAGCTCTTTGGTAATAAAATATCTTGTTGAATGCATGATCCATGAATGTAGAAAATAAAATGCAAACACAACCATACTAGAACACGATGACAAATATATCATTTTTTGTAAGAGTCTCACAAAGATCTTAAAGACAAGACATGCAGCTCTTTTCAATAAAAAAATCATTGTTAATAACACTGAATTATCCATGACTAATGTTTTAAAAAAATTATTATGTTTGCAAGAGATCTGTTTACAAAATAAATTAACCAAACCTGTGTCCTTCAGAATAGGCTAGCTCTGTAGCTTCTAACAGGGCCATTAAAATAGCCCCAGCTGATGATACAAATCTTCCTCTAACTGGCGGGTCTTCACTCACAAAATCATCTTCTTTAATTTTCTCTAGTTTCTTCTTAATTTCAGTTCCAATCTAAAATTTTAAAGCAAAATAATCTTTTATACTGTGGAAGTAATTTTATACCATTATAGTATGTGTAGTATCCGCATTTGGGTATAAACCGCATCACCCTTTTCATCTCCAAATATTGTGAAAAAAGTCTAGTTCGCTTGTATACCGGTAATCTGCAACAACTTTTGACAAGTTGCGGGTCCGTGAACAATGACTGAAACTGATGAATTTGCAGTCAAAAAAATTTTTTTTTTAAATTGTTTTCGTCGAGATCGGCAAGAAAGTAAGCATTGTTGTTAAAAAGATCTATAATTAGTATAAAATTATGAATAGTTGTTGAAAGAGAACTTTAAAGAGATGGATTTAATCTTTTTTGAAAGTCTTCAAAAGATTTGTTTATTTGTTCAATTAAATCTTCTTTCAGAAAAATTTTCTTTACTAATTATTTTAAAGTCCCAAACAATTAAAGAAAGAGCTGTAATTAATGTTAATTAATTCAATCATATACATTTAATTATCGGTTTATCACTTTTGATATCACTGTTAGTCGTAGCTTGCCCAAGCTGATGCACTGTTCAAATATTTATTTTTTAAATATTTGAAATGCCATTAAACAAAAGAAATTAAGGATCAAACATTTAAGATCGAAAATGAATTCAACTCAGACTGTTAAAAAACAAGTTTATTCCTTTGGTAAATTTTAACAATCATACCTTCCAATTGTCATTACCAGACGGTTGGTAAAATACGTCAGTCCTTCATCGTCAAAGAAAAACTTAAAGTTATAGCTTATGCTGAAGCCTATGGCAACCATGCCGCTGGTAGAGAGTTTACCAAAGCTGCCAACCCAACAACAGAAGATAAAGGTGTAAAAGATGACAGAGACATCTATTACCATGATGAAGATGAAGACGACGACATGCCACTCGCTGTATTGAGGGACATTTTCACCATATTCCGCGAAGAAGATAAAAGAATCCTTTGATGGTTTTTAATCATTTAAATTTTAGTGCTTTAGTGACATTAAACTACAATTTGTCTTTAATATCATAAACTTTAATAGTGCATTATATAATATTACAATTTGTCTGATCTTATTATAAACTTTAATAGTGCATCATATTATGATATACCTTTGTATTGTTGTGTTTGATGTTTATATAAATTGATTAGACCGAATTAAAACTCTTTAATCTTATCATTTCTTTTCTACATGAGAAAATGCCTGTACCAAGTCAGGAATATGACAGTTGTTATCCATTCGTTTGATGTGTTTGTTTTTTTGATTTTGCCATTTGATTGAATTGGGGACTTTCCTTTTTGAATTTTCCTCTGGGTTCAGTATTTTTGTGATTTTACTTTTTTCTTTATTTTGAATTGAAGAACTGACCTGGGTTATTGTATAACATATACCAATTTGTCTTGATTTCAATATGAAAACACCCAATGAAATTCACATTTTTTATAGATTTCATTTACTGTAACAGGAAAATAGCAATTCAAAATTCTCCCCATATTCAATGATTTTTTCACTAACCATGAACATTGAAACCAATAAGTAAAAGTATTTTAGACTATATAATATGGACAATTTAGTGCATGTCGTTGTATAGACACCTGTGTAGTGAAGACTTTTGCTTTCTGTAGATATCTTATGGTTGTGGGTGTCATCGTGTGTCTATCTTATTGACACATCACCTTTAACTCATAGTATCAAAGCAGTATATCACAAGTCTTAAAATAAATCTGTTAATCGTCACTAAATAACCCATGTAACCTGAAATGGCACTCAATAAAAAAATCTGTTGACCTTTGCAGGAAGGTTGCTAAATGTTATTGATATAAGGTCAATTCATGAATGTAGCCACATGGATGGTTGCCAATTTAATAATAAAATTCAATGCATCAAATTAATATATAAAAAAAGTCATGAAAATGGGAAATCATTATTTTAATTTATGTGTGGAAAATCCAAAATTCACATTTTTTGTATTACAATTAGTTTTAAAAGAAACAATAATTTCATCCATTATCAATTTGAAGTCTTGATAATATAGAGCAAGCTTTATGTAAAATCTGTACCTCTATCTGTCTGAAATACACATGTACATGGCTCAAATATGTGTCACACAGGAAACGGTAGACTGCCAATAGAAGCAAAATTATTAATATAAAAACAAGATGATGTGTTATGATTGCCAATGAGACCAAATCATACAACTTTCCACCATAGACCACATGACTTAGAAGTTAGCAAATTATGAGCATGCATGGTACTGACCTTATTATTTCCCAACATGATGTGAATATTGAATAGTCTCTATGACAAATTCCCCTTTTCCATTCTCTATTCTATTAACATATAAAAAATTTAAAGTATATTGAATATACAAACCCCTTCAAGTTTTTCTGCCTGTTTTGTAGATTTGACCGGTCTGTCACACAATTCTAATGATACAATGGCACGCGATGTACATTCTGCAGAAGACTTTAGCCAATGCTTAGTCCTCTGATACACCTCTTGTCGCTGTAGACCTCGAATAAATTTGTACTTCTGAAAATATACAATTTTGCATGAAGTGAGCAAGGGTCCTTTCTTTCACAAAGTGATCATGATGATCTTCAGAGTACCTTTATACACTTGATCTTTGATTATTCATTAATGAAAGAACCTTTGAGAGCACGCTCACATACCCCACGCCCCAAAATTGTTACTTGGCAAACAAAAGGTAAGAATTTGTATATAATAATACTAATATGCAAAAATTTGTAGTCGTCAATGAAGATTTCATGGCCAAATTAGGTCTCCAAGTTGAGAGCAAATTTCTCTCTCAAAAACCAGACGACAAAAATGGATTCAGCGTTATGGCGTCTTCGTAGGAAGGCATCACAGCAAAAAAATAAATCAGCCTTAAAGACGTCATAATCATTTGGACTATGATCTGAAATAAAGGTAATTGCTTTGTGACGTCACATATAATATCTTCTTCTCCTTCTTTAAGTACACAATAAACCATCAAGCAGGCTGATGATTAAATACTGTTGCATAAGTGGACTATTTACAACAAGAGTGCACATACTGAAATGTCTCGCCTACTATACTGACCATTGATTTTATGTTGATAGTTCTAAATATAAAGTTTTACTACAAGTATTACATTAACATTTATGATCCAAGAAAATGAGGTCAAGGTCAGATAAACCAAGCCGGAAATACATACAATCATTCAGTGTCTTCCCTAGAAAATTTTTCATGCATGGTGGGTCCATGGTGAATTTGCAACGCGGCGCGCGACGCTTCTTTTTCCAGAATTAGTAACACTACATAATTTATATGTTTAAAGCCATATACCAATCTAATTGTTTTATTATAGGTACAGCAATTCATATAAGTCATGGAACTTTAAAGTATTTATTACAGATGAGAGGAAGACTTAATAAACAATAATAAAAATAATCCAGTCTGTAATAGTTATTTACAAAATAATGCCATGTAGGCCTACACATTATTTTGTTGATATCTTCCTCTGTTTCAACTTTCCAAAGGTCACCACACATTTTTCAAAATCAAAATCTTCCTCCTTTGGTCCTTCAATTGATATATGCATTAAGCAATTCAGCACTTTTTTGGCATATTCTTTTTCTCAAAGGTGTTTTAACTCTGTTTAAGCATGAAAAACACCTTTCACAATCAGCTGTTGAAACTGGCAATGGAAGACTCAATACTGCATACTTAGACAGACAAGGATACAAAGTTCCAAGACTGGCAACTTTGTTCATTGTCTGCCTAAATGTCATGTCTTTACATTCTTTCACTAACAGTGTCCTCAGTTTGCTGATAGAATGGTTTCAGCATCTTGGAACAGCAAGTTGTTAAATAAAACTTTGAATGTCATCATTGCTTCACAGAGATTTTACAGGAAACAATAAAACAAAGTTTATTGCGTTAATTACAGAAGTCGTCAATAAGGAATACCTGACAAACGGACATACGGATGACATTGTTTGGAAGCTAAACTGACATTTTATTTCATGACAATTTGTAACTATTGTTTCTAAATACATCCCTGTCCGATTTATTTAGAACGCTTCATAATTGTAAAAATCCTATCTTGCCGAAGTGAAAGAAATTTAGCCCCACTTGTGTAAAAAACGGCAAATGAATCCGCTACACTTAAGCTTCATGTGACCCCTTCAAATAAAAGTAGAACAACACAAGTTTATTAAAAACAATATTTCCGTAAATATCTACGTATGTTTTGAAAGTTTTTCTATCAAATCTTTTAAATATTTCATAAAACACGTCTTTTTCTCGGCCCGGTGGCTGTGATGTGTATTCTTTGATATAATCAATCAACCGCGACTAATCTAAAAATAACTGATTGTTGTGACCAATCAAAAAATAATTCATCGATGTAAATATAGCTGATGAAAAAACTGCGAAACTTTATTATACAAAAGTTTTGTCCATTCCCGGTGAAATTACGTTAGTTTTATTTTATAATACCAGAGACTATACCAAATTTTTAATTTCTACTTTTTAAAGATCGCAGTAAAATAACGATCATGTCAAACACCCGTTTTAAGGTGAAATTTATACTGGAAAAGGTTAAACTTTTTATTTAGCACAGAAAGATATGCATTGGAGATTAATCTGACTATTTATTTATCAGCTAACTGGCAACTTCTATTATGTAACCGAAGTCTCGATATAACCAACTAATCAAGAAGGTTGTAAAATTCCGGCATGCGCGACGTGATGCATCCAATTATCAGTCGGATGAGTTTAAAACACATGTGGAGTGTGGTCACTTGTCACTTCACTTTCGAAATCGATAATAAATATTTTACACAGTTATAATTTTCACACATAGCGGGATGCATTGCGGCAATGATGAAAGCATGGCGGTTGAAATTTATGCGTAGCGGTACCGCAATGCTTGAACAGCCTAGGGAAAACACTGTCATTCCATGCATCAAATATAGTTGACCTATTGCTTACAGTATCTAAGAAACAAAGTTAACCAGGAAAACTGAACATTGACCAATTAACCATGAAAATGTGGTAAAGTTCAGATGAAACCTGCCAGACAGACATATACACCTTACAATCATTCCATACACCAAATATAGTTGACCTATTGCATACAGTGTTAGAAAAAAAGACCAAAACACAAAAAACTTAACATTGAGCAATGTACCGTGAAAATGAGGTCAAGGTTAAATAAAACCTGCCAGACTGGTATGTACATCATAAAATATTTCCATACACCAAATATAGTTGACCATTGCTTCTAGTATCTGAGATATGGACTTGACCACGAAAACTTAACCTTGTTCACTGATCCATAAAATGAGGTCGAGGTCAAGTCAAAACTGTCTGACAGGCATGAGGACCTTGCAAGGTACACACATACCAAATATAGTTATCCTATTACTCATAATAAGAGAGAAATTAACATTACAAAAAATCTTAACTTTTTTTTCAACTGGCATGGTCAAGGACAATGGACATATGACAGACAGAAACTTCATATCATAAGGCATCTATATACAAAGTATGAAGCATCCAGGTGTTCTACCATCTGAAATATTAAGCTTTTAAGGAGTTAGTTAACGCCGCCGCCACCATATCACTATCCCTATGTTGAGCTTTCTGCGACGTCAGAAGTCACAGGCTCGACAAAAATTAATCAACAAAGTAAAATATGGAAATTCAGTGCTATATTGTACAAATCGTTTGATGGAGTGAAGATGAACGAATTAGAAAGTTTGAAATTAAGGTGTAGTCCGGTGTATCCGTGCACCTTAGACTTTTGGTTTCACTTTGGTAAACTCATAAAACCAATAATCGGATAATATTGTGTGAACAAATTCATAACATACTTTAATTTCATAAAAAAATCTTCTTTATGTATATTTTCATTCTTAAGATTTTGTGTAATGTGCATCCAAAATAAGGGGAACCCTTGTTTTGACAGTTCTTCAAAATGTACATGTAATGTCCGGTGATTTTGCAAATGCCTTTTAAGATAGGTAATTTTGAATAAAGGAAAGATTTTAAACAACTAAATATAGTTCAGTTTGTACCAAACAGACTGCCAAGGATGAGGAGCTAAATTTATTTCATCTTGATAAAATGAAACTTAAAATGAAACCTATTTTATCTGATGATGTAACAATTCTTTATGGAAAATGGCTAAATATGGATAATCATGGGATTGGAATTAAAAATTTCTGCTTGAACTTATCAATATTAATCTTTTCTGTCCTTGCGGGTCCCTTCTGAAGACTAAAACAATTACAAGAATGATTTTGTTTGTGTTACATTGCAGATATGACAAAATCAGATAATGCTGGACATCACCAGCCGTGCAGATACTGGGGACTCCACTGTATGTACATGTATAAAAGATTCAATATTTAAATGAGAGTTTAGAGACCAGCAGACTAGTGTGCTGTTCTCTTAAGCTGTCTGTCATTGAAATGGTAATAGGTTCCATTGCGGTATTGTAAAGGGAAAGAATGAGTGCCTGTATGTACATGTATCGTTAGATGTACATGTATATATGTGTCTAAAAGTGAGTTGATGAAATTTTCTGGTTCTTGAATCTGCAGGTATAATGTTGGTGTCTGGTGGACTTGTGACTAGATGATGAGAGATCTTATATATCTTAACAAGTCTAGTGCACAGTCTCTGGGCTGATAGTGATGGCCAATTAGGCGTGTTCAGCATGTCATATACACTACTTGTATTATGGTATTTATTACAGACATACAGAGCAGCTCACTTTTGGAACATTACAATCTTTGATATCTATTCTGTGGTGTGTGGGTCAAAACTGAGCAAGAGCATTCAAGTTGGCACTGGCTACGATTACGTTGAAACATAACAAAAAGTTGTTTTTATGCTGGACACTAATTGCCGGAATGCTATGCTGGGTTAGGAACCCATTAATTTCGAAAGTAACAATAATATTTGTTTCTACTATCATGACTATTATGTTGCGTTATTGTTACGTCAGATTTATTAAACATTTAATTGACTTTTAATTAGTTTTTTTTGCTGAATTCTCCGCTAGGCTTGATAATAATAATAATATTATTAGTATTATCATTATTAATATTATTATCATTATCATTATCATTATTCAACAAATAATGTTAAAAATATTTTTAAGTATTAAATGTTTAAATGTTCTTTGAGATAATACTACAATTTATTACTATAAATTCAGAAATTATTGCGTGCATTTATTATTGCGATTTTTCAAGAATGGACAAAAATGCGAGATTAATTATTGCGATATCATGAAAATCTGCATACAGATAAATGTAACAGATATCAGAATGCGAGTTCTTATTATTGCGATAGTCACCCAGTCGCATTATTCGCATTAATAAAAACCTCGCAATAATTTCTGAATTTACAGTAGTTCAATGGTTCAATGTTTAGAAGAAAAGTGTTCACTTCAATTTATTTAACTGCACACTTACCCTTTATTACCGTCATTATACTTAGAACAATGAACGAAGTTATTCCCAAAACAACATAACATGTTTCCATTAAAATTTAGGACGAAAATATAAATATTTCAAGAATCAAAAAATACTTTTCACCTGAAGCATGGCAGACATTGGTAGCTAGTATAACTTCAAAACGGAAATTGCAGAGTGGACAAATTTGATATTTTCATTGCACTAAATAATTACAATTTTGTTGAATTGGGGTAAAATTTTGTAATTAGTCCACGTATGCAGATAATATGTAATAATCGGATGTCGATGGAATATTGTATACCAATAAAAGAAGAAGAACTGTTTAGTCTGCAAAACCGATGTGCATCTTGTGGCATCACTATAGTCATGATAGTATTTTATGGCTGCTTAGAGTTGTTCCACCAAAAATGCTTTGGACTAAAACATGCACCCAAAAGTACATACCAGATTGGCAGAAACTGTCATTGTAAATAAAATATATAATCTGTATGGGCGTGCAATATTGTATCATTGAATTGTTTCCAAATAAATTTTTTCAAGTGTATTTCAATATATTAGATAAATACGGGACGTTCTATATTATTATTCCCAGCATACTAAAATGCACTAGCGTAACAATAACACAACTTAACCGTAGACCCAAATATTAATGTTACGTTCATAATTAATCAGTTCCTAACCCAATCTAGCATTCCGGCAATTAGCTTTTTTGTTATTATGATTTCAATGTAATCATAACCTGAGTGCCATTCAAGTTTAGGGCGGATAAGTGCTTGGCATGCCTGACTCTTGATATCATGATTAGATGTTTTGAGGTTATGTTTTAGGAAGCCAAAAGTTTTGTTACTTTTAGATGTTATCGTTTATTAATATTATGTGTTTGTCCAACCTAAGATTTGATTGGAGTGTTAAACCAAGGTATTTATCAGATGATAATGATTCTAATGTATGATTGTGAAGGATATAATTATGTTTGATGGGTTGTTTTTTTCTGTGTGACAGATAGGACAGTGCCAGTGGATAATTTTGTCGGGATGAAAAGCCAGTCATCTTCCCAACCGATCAAATTCGAATTAAATCGAGATCCTGGGTAAAAAATATGCTGATTTGAAATTAATAATATAATTTGATGAAATTATTAACAATACTCCCCTCTACATGATACAAACATGACATTAAATGAGTATTTTCTATTTGTTTACCAAATCTGTGTATTTTCTTTTGCCCGCCATTTTTCAAATCACTTTCTTATCTCCAATTTGAAGACTCATCATATACATCAAAGCACTGTGCAATACTCAATACACAGACCCAAGCCGACAAAAAAAGACATACAATCTTAGAGATTGGAAACTCCATTTAATGGCCGTATCATCCACCAAAATAGCATACAGTTCTTTTAATCATTTCAAACTTATTTTCCATGTACTGTTTCTTCTGTTTTATTTTTTTACTCAATTTTCAAATTTTTCCAAATATGGTTTGAAAATCAAGATATTGGAAATTCAATGAAGTTGCAGAAAGAATAGTTGTGGTTTTAAGTACAAAATATGATGTAATAAAATACGAAAATCTAAATGATTTCTTGATAGGTTACTGCAGGTATTATTCATAATATATTTTGAGATTTTTTAGATACAAGACTTTGATTTGTTCTTTTAACATTTTCCATGTAAATCTCAAAGGCTGTGTGTTATCTTTGGATTTTGATGAGTTGACATTATCTCTTAATATTATGTATTTGGTAATATCAGAGACATATAATACAATTGTATTATAATGTTTCTGGTAATATTAAGAGACATACTATTCAATCAATAAAACAAAACATGAAAAGTTGCTATAGTTACCAGTAATTCATATGTAGATATAGGTCATAGTGATCTATTTTTTTGGTGGTCAGGTTTTGAGGGAAAAGGGGTGTCTAGTTACTTCACTGTTATCTCTAAAGTTAACTTTCAACACTCTTCAATATGATAGATTTTTTAGGCTTTTTTAAACAATCTTCGTTAATCCTAAGTGTTGTGTAAAGTCTGAGAATACAAATGGACAGTCACACAGATCAGTCACATGTGGACACAATAAGAATTGTTACAATATGATTCCATGGTTCAGGTAGAATTGGCGGATCCAGAGGGGTTCCAGGGGTTGGAACCCCCCTTTTTTTGACGATCAATGCATTTGAATGGGGACATATAGTTGGAATCCCCCCTTTTATAAATGACTGGATGATGATCAGACTTAGTCTGGATCCGCCCCTGGATAGTTTAATGAACTACCTTAAGTGTCTTGACAGCGTATATTTGTTCCGCCTAACAGAAATTCCACTGGAAACTTTGTTATAAACAATGTCATAATATCTGTTCCTGTTGGAACAAATATTCTATACCATTTATTCCTTTAGGAACATATACTGTAATATTTATTCCAGTGGAAATAATATTCCAGAATATTGTTTCCATTTGGAACTAATATATTATGAAGGAACTTCTATTCCGTGACAGTGGTGTTGTCTAAGGGAGCTAGGATGAAAAATTTTGTCCTGCATTTTTTTTTAGTTGTAATCTCTGTCCTGCATTTTTATTTTTCACTCTATTCGGTCCTGCCTTTTTTTTATAAGTTTATCCTGACTTTTTTTACATAAATTGTTATAGGAATAGCATCCCATTTGACTAAATACCAGTCCAGATAATCCACGAATGAAGTCCCTTAATAAATATACTATCTTTTAAAGGGATATTGTACCAAGATCAAAGATCATAATGTAAAGATGCTTAAATTTGTAGTATATTCATGGAGTATTCACAAAAATTTCAACTTCTATGATTTTGTTTTTTTCATTTTCGATTTAGGAAGTGAATAAAATGACACTATACTCATGCTCGAAACAGTTTTCCTCTTTCAAATGCTGGTCATAACCTATCAAGAATTCTCCTAGAAATCTTGAAGGGGTCTATGTCTTAAAGTATGAGAAAGCAATTGAAATTTGGCAGTCAAATAAAGGAGGATATGCTTATAAATTATGATAAAATTGCATAAACTAATGGGGGAAATAATTGGGTCTTCATTTCAACTGTGCAAAACATTCAGTCAGTTATCCATGACTGAAAAACTAAAGGACACAATAGTCTCAATGTGATTTGTAAATATTTACACAACTGCATACCAAAATTTCATTGACTTATCACAAGTGGTTCCTCTTAAGTAAATCATTGACAAAACATGTAACCTATGCAAAAGTTTCAAAGTCAATGAACCATGACTGAGGAGTCCCAGTTGAGCTATATCATCCCCATTGAATTACTTATACAGTTGAATATTAAATTGTGGTTCATCATAACTGACCTAACCACAAACTTTAAACATGTAAATTATACAAAAGTTTCAAAGTCAATAGACCATGTCTAAGGGACTCAGAGGGTTCAAATAATTTCCATGGATGTGAGATGTGCTAATTTCGTATACAACTGCATACCAAATATCAGTGACTTACCAATAGTGGTTGTTATTAAAATGACCTAATCAAAAACATGTAAACTAAGTAAAAGTTTCATTATCTATAGACCATGACTGGTTGGAATAAGATGTACCAATGCTCTTACAACTGTATACCAAGTAGCATTGGCCTACCAATAGTGGTTCCTCTTATACTAACCTAGGCTAAATTGCACAAGGTCATGTTTCTCGTAGATTGTTTATAATCTCGCATATCTTTACTCTAAATCCATTGAATGTGTACTGATTGATATTTTGTCTTGAACTCATGATTTTTTAATGACTAGTTATGTGCTTTGTACTTGCTTTCAATAACTGTGCATACTCTCAGATCTTTTTTTTTGTGTCTTTATACTTTTAGTTTATCCACCAGACAGCAATGGACATAAATAGAAGCATATATAGGTTACCGCCTGGCTGTCAACAATGAGCAAAACCAATAACTAACAGTCAGCTATAAAAGGTCCTGACATGAAAAACACCATTTTACTCTCATGACATATTAGCTTAAGGAGACTGAACATCCTGTTAAAACATTGTTCAACATAGATTTTACACATGATGTTATTCACATAACACATTATTTTGGACTGATTCAGACTTAAAATGATGTTAATCTTATGACACATTAACTTGAACTCAAGGAGATATTAAACATGATGTTATTCCTGTAACACTTACATTATTTTGAACATTTTTCAGTTTAAATGATGTGACGTCTATGATACATTTGATGCTTTAAACATGATGCTTTTCCCATATTACATTACTTTGATTCCATTAACATTTTAAATAATGTAACTTTTATGACAAATTAACTTGAACTCAATGAGATGCATAACATCATGCTATTCCAATAACACAGTATTTTGACCTGATTAACATTTTAAAGGATGTAAATTCTATGACAAATTGATTTGAACTGAGAAAGATGTTTTTAAAATATATGAGTTTTTCTAATGATATGCAAATTGAACTGAAGGATATTTAAGTTATTCCCATGACCTATATGACATGGGAGAAACCAATTTCTTCAATGAAGAGTAGCAGATCCAGAGCTTTAAACAGGGAGTTGGCCGGTTGGAACATCATGGAACTTTTTCCAGATACCAGTATGTCTTTTGTAATCTCAACAACATTTACCCCTCATCAACGTTCATTCAATTTTTGAAAACTTTTGTGCTTACCCTTTTTTTCTTCAAAGTAGTTGTAAATCACTTCAGATAAAATAATCTTAGAAAAACATGTTTAAACTCAGGTCATAAAGGTACAAGTGACAATGTTTTATGTGGGCCCCTTTGCCTATCTAGACCTTATGTCATAGATGTAAAACACACAATAAATACATGTACAGTACAGCTACCAATGACCACTAACTTTAACTAGGTAATAAAACACCTAAATTTTGGAAGGCAGGGTCAAAATGTGCTCTCCTCAACAGGAAAGTAGCCTAGGTAACCACAGCTATTGGTTGGAGAACTGTCACTCAAGACAACATTATTACCTTGATAGGTGGCAGAACAAGTAAACAAAATGAATAGTAATTTATAAAAAAAAATAGATAAAATATAAATGAAAACCTTCCAGTAAAAATTACCTGATTAAGCAATATTGGTATTAAAAGTCACAAATGACACAAGAAGAAGAAAACATAAAACTGTATCAATCTATATATTGTTTGAAATAACAATAAACAAATATGTTTTTAAATTCCAATTTTATTAGAAACTTATATCTATTCTATGTAAATAGCAAAATAATCATACAATAAATTCAAAAGTATTAACAAATTAAATTGAGTCTTTGCAAATAAAAAATAGTAAAACTATAAAAAACATAATGGATTTCTGAATAACAACATATATACTATTATATGTATACCCTACATATATAATAAATAATTCTATTGCATAGTACATATTCTTGTGACATGCAATAATTAAGGTAATTCAAGGAATGACAAATAACTACAAAAATTCACAATGTATGTGTGTTGTGACTGATAATCCACAATCTATTAGATTCTGAAACAGAGAATTCTTGAGGAGTTTGAAATTGATTGTATTAACACAGATTTCAACCATTGATTTCATTATTGTGAAACACTTGAGAAGAAAAGAGTATAAGAAAAACAATGCATATGAAGTTATGAAAAAATGTCATTCTGAGTGTGTGTGAATTTTTCGTATCAGTCATAAAAATGATAATCAAAACATTTAAATTCTTTGAAAATATAAAAAAAAAAAAACAAAATTGCTTCTTTGAAAATGAATATAATGTAAAGTAATGAAATCAGAAAAATTTATGTTCATATTCATTATTTAAAGAAAACTATTAAAAGAACAAAGGTTAATATGAAGGGTATATGTTTATACTTTTCACTCAACACAAAAAGTCATATTCTCTTGTATTTCATTTGCACTAACTTTATAAAGAGTTATTTTCCTTTAATTCAAAGATTATTATAAAACTATGATAACCATATATTTATTCAATTTTCATAGTCTGTATACAATTGTCCTATACCCAGATCTAAAGGAAGTCATCAAGTATGCAATGGTTCATGGAATCAAACAGTTTGTTTGATCCTAAAACATCAGCAAATTATTAAAAGTCTAATTCATATAAATATTCTATTAATTTTCCTGTGCCCTTTGTGCTGCCTGTCTAGCTCTTTGTACTTCTCCATGACATTTCTGTCTTCGGACAAGTTTATTGTTTTCAAATTGCCCTTCATTTCTTGGCAAACCATGGGTTAAGTCGGAAAATGTTACCAAACCTATAAAAAGAAATAATAAAAATCGTTAAAATTCCTTTAAAAAAACTTTCAGAAAGTGTTATGAATCAAGTTACTAGCTATGGGGTATGAGTTTTGCTCATTGTTGAAGGCATACGGTGATCTATAGTCTAACTTCTACTTTATTTGGTCTCAGTAGTAAAGTTGTCTCAATGGCACTCATATCACATCTTCTAATTTTTTATATTATATCATATTAACGTCACATCAAATTCCTTCACTGTTCTTATTGATCAGAAGTTTCCAAATTTTTCTTCTAAATTTTTATTTCAGTAAAGTTTCATATGACAACATGCTAGTTAAAAATTGATAAACAATGTACAATACATCATCATATCTACCATCATGAGTCAATCAGTGTTGTATGCAGAAATTCTTATAATGTCCTGTTTCTTTCATGATTTATCTCCCTTTGCAACATAAAATCTGTGCTTAGACTACACCACATTACTATGAATTTCTTGTGTTGCATAAAATTAAAAATATGGTATACTAAAACCAGAACTGATGTGGTTATAAGGTGAAAAATTTTAAAGTAAACCAGAACTGATATGGTTACAAGGCAAAAAATGTCAAGTGCTGTTACCTGTCTTCATACCCTTACTAATCATGTCTACCCTTACTATTCATGCCTACCCCAACAAGTTATTAATATGGACATTTTTTATTAAGTACCATTTAGGTCCAAAACATCTCCCCATACCTTCATGTTAAATTTTTTTCTTTTTTTCAAAAATGAAATTAATGTACATGTATATAAATATTTGTTTGCCTACATCATGAGAAAAATATATTCTGTTAAAACGATAAGCTGCTGTTTTGTTTTATGAAATTTTTATTTCAACTTAACACTTAGATTCAATATGGTTTTAAGCATAATAGTTGATTTTCTATACATCTCCTTCCATGTAGGAATTCCTGACAGGCAAAACATGGTAATAAACTGTTGACACAGAGATATGTCTTGCCTGTCAGCATAAAATTCAGAAAAAGACCATCTGATGGAGAGCAGCATTGCTAATTAATTCATTGGTGCTAAACCATGAACTATTGGGCAGGCCCACTAAATGGTCAATGAATTGAGATGTACAAACAGTAATGTAACTTTATAGAAAATATCAATGTCTATTGTGTGTACTGTGAAAGTACTTTAATTCGTGTGTATCAATTTTCGTGGTTTGAGCAAAAGTTACATGTTCACGGGTTCTTAAATTCATTGATTTTTTCATTTTCTGAAGAAAAAAATCAAGAGGAATTTGAAGCCATCAGAAAAGAAGATTCTTGAAAATAATCATATGTTGTTTTAAAATGATTTGTGGGACATTGCAAAATAAGGTGTTCATTTTCACTCACTTGCTCGTCTTTCAATACTGACAACATTCATCAAATTTTTAATAAAATAATTACTTTATTAATTTTCGGATATAAGCAGATTCATCTACGCTTACAAATTGCCTCGATTGAAGGGAATTGTGTAATCAGAAGTGATGACAGTCATTAACCAGAGATTAAATGATCAACAGATTAACGATCATCAAAGGTGTTGATTGTGCCATAAACTTGTCATTTACCATGAAAGAAAACAGTTTAATACATAAGAGAATACTCCAAATGTACTTTGAACTGTAGAATTAATTTTTATCAAATAATAAAGCAATCTCAATATGAAATTGTTTTTTTTTTTCCGTATGAAAATCATAAGGAGATAAAATTAACACTTCATCATCGGATATCATGACCGAAAGTCTGACTTTCATTGATCAAAACTAATTTTGTCATGAGAATTAAAAGGTTAAAAGTCGTACAGTTTAGGTTTTTTTTTAAGATTAAATGGGTAAAAACCTGTCTGAAGTTGTTTATATAGTTCATATTTCTTCTGATAATTCGATGTATTTTCTAGATTATATGCCGGTATCCATGTAGTCAAACCTATATGGGAATTTTTCTAGTCTTGATTTGGACAACAGTTGTTATTTTTCGTACAACACTTAAATTCATCCACGAAAACCAAGAAAATTGGTACCCGACAAATAAAAGAACTTTCACAATAGTTCCTATCAAACTAACTTAAGCAGAAAATTTAACATTGAAAATTAGTAATTAATTGAAAGTCACTAGACCATGACCTAGGGATCAGGGCCCCCAAATAGTCAACAAACTGATATGTACTGATATTAATGCAACTTCATAGAAAATAGCATCGATCTATTACAAATACTTCCTGTCAAACTGACTTATGCAGAAAACTGAACATTGAAAATTGCTAATTAATTCAAAGTCACTGGACCATAACCTACTGGGACAGGGAGTCAAATTGTCGTCACACTGATATGAACTGATAGTAATGCAACTTTATACAAACTATCATTGATCTATCACAAGTAGTTTCTATCAAACTAATGTAAGTAGAAAACTTAACATTGAAAATTGCTAATTAATTGAAAGTGCCTGTACCATAACCTAGGGGGTATTTACTACCTATACAGGTAGATAACTCTATTGAGTACAATATTAAGTTAAGTGAAAAGAGCCCCTGTATCCCATATGTTAATATGTACAGGACGTCATATTTTTTTACTTCCAATTCAAAATCTAAAACACCATAATAACAGAAGATTCAGTATAATAAATAGAGAATATCATATGGCTTTTACAATATCACACCTGTATTAACCAGAGACACCAATATAATCCCAAGAGCTCTGTTCGAGGGATTATATTGGTTGAGGGTTGATAGTTTATACTTATTGACTAGGTATGAGTGGAATACATTGTAGTAAGTTTATTGCCCCCCAGGTGCAACTATTGCCCTGCGGTTATAGAGTTTCATGGAGGGCAAATAGTTGGAAACTATTGACCGTTCAAATAGTTCAATGCTTGCAATTTAAAAAATAGTGAAAATATTGTGTACCTATTTTATATAGAAAATGATAACGGAGATATAATAAAGTGTGATATTGAAAAAGCCATATCATATACACTTTATTATATATATTGTACATATGTACCTCAAGTACAACTAATTTAGATGTTTTTTTTTCATGAAACATGATGTAAAGTGTATATAAAGGGTTTGATAAAGCCCTTGTTACCATGACTGATATGGATTATGTGAAGTCATTCAGATTAGGGGTTTGATAAAGCCCTTGTAACCGTGACTGATATAGATATCATCACGGTTGGCTGATACAGCATGATTGCCATCGATTGTATTACACATACAATTTACTTGTATTTACTACTAAGTATATAATAAATTAAAATAACACATAGCTGAGAGGGTGATAAAGCTGATAGTTATCCCTCAGAAAAAAACATCTAATCTGCTCTATCACCCTCTTAGCTGTATGTTATTTAGACTGACACTATATATATGCAAACATATGTTTTAATAAGTTTCATTGGAAAACTAATAAGATGATTTTATTACATGTAGTTACCTAATCCTTGAATCTTGCCGTCTTGAAACTGTCCCTCAAATTTCATTCCATCACTTCTTACAAATACACCAAAACCATTAAACTTGCCATTTCTAAATTCTCCTTCATATCTACAGAAAAAAATTGATGATTTGCACAGGAATTTCTAGAAACTAACTTCTGAAAGCCAGAATCTTACTTTAAAATTACAATTACATACAAATTATCACTCTTGTTCTTAGGTATACAGGCATAAAATACTGGTTCACTACAGCTGAGAGCAATTGCGAGAAGTAAATAGAAAACAATATATGTTACTTTAATTATATATCTACAAATGGCACCTCCTGCTTTATTTAGACTTTCAGTGCAATCATGGAGAATATAAACAAAGAGGTTATTTACAGTTGCTTTCACCAAATCAGCCAAACATATAGTTTATTTTAAATGATTGAAGTACATATTTCGGTATTAGTTAACAAATGTTATTTCAGTAAAATTGAGAGTAAATTCATGTGTGTTTTTTACATTGTCATTTCAATTACCAGTGAATGCTGAAATCTATCTACAAAAATGGTCAAAATAATGGGAGGTAACTCTTTTTTATATTCAACCCCATAGTCATGATAGTCTACTACACATGATTTCTGCTAAATTGCTAGAAATTGCTCTATAGCATTTGAAATGTTATTTTCAGAGTTCTAAGGGAAAAGAAAAATATAGCTGACAGTGTCTTGTATATACATGTACAGTACCTTGAATGATCAGCAAACACCATTATACCATTTCCATCACACAATCCCTTATTGAAGGCACCATAGTACTGAGATCCATCAGGAAATTTCATTACACCATACCCTTCCCTCTGTCCTTGGTCATTCCACTCACCATTATATTCACTCCCATCAGGATACTTATATGAATTCTTCATTCCTTATTCTAACCCTATAAAATACAACAGTATGAATTCTTTATTCCTATACAATACAACAAAATCTTTAACAGTTTGAGCAGCTATAAGAAGTTGAACTTGATTTTTTATACCTTTTTCTCTATGCTTTGTTTATTTTGCCCATTGTTCTCTATAATCTAGCACCCCAACATTCTCTTTTGTATTATTTGTTTGCCTATTTTTCTTTTATTTTTTATGCCCTTTATTCTGTACTTCTGCCCATTATTGTCTATTTTCTTCACCTCATCCATACCATCCTATAAGAATTCAGTTCTTTTATTTGTAGTTCCTGATAAAAATGTGACGAAAACTTCATACATACATGTAAAACTAAGGATTCTGTAAACTGAAAGTTGATAAGCAATAAATGTAAATAAAAATGTGTCACATGGTATAGCATGTCAACATGAAACCTCATAATAAATTTCAGAAAGCTCTGAAAAATTTGAAGAAAAGGTCATGGGATGACAGATGAACAGACAGGGGTAAAACAATATACCCACTCCTTCAGATAAGGGGTATAATCATAATATTATCTTTGACAAATTCAGCTTTTCAACATTTTTAGTTTTTTACAGTATTTAAAATAAAAAAGAGCTGCACCTATCTTTATGCTTTAAATGAATTTATATGATCAACTAGAAATACTGTGAGCACTGTTCAAATAGATCCCCCACCCTAATAAAAAATAAATGGAGAATGTGTCCATGGGACACAGATGATGCCCCAGCTTGCAAATATCTTTATAAAGGGACATATCTCATGAACGGTAAAAGTGATGAACCCAAATTCGAACTTCTTTGTTATGTGGTAATCAGCATTGTGTATAAGTTTCATAACATTTGGTTGAGGCAAACTAAAGTTAAAGAACGAAAACTTATTTTGAGACATACGGATGGATGATGTACAGACAAGGGAAACACTTAATGCTCCCTCCGGCCCAGCAAATTATACAAAATTATGCAAACACAGTGGTACCCATTGACACAAAACATGAATAATTTGGCCCTAATAAGGTTACCTCAAGTTTAACTAAGTTTCTGGCCTTGATTTTTGAATGAATAAAATTCTATAAATGTCCAAAGTGTGAAAAATGGACAGTTTACAATGATTTTCAACAAATAAAGTTCCATAACTTTGCAATGTCATATCAGAAATTTATAAAAAACAAAAGGAAGTTATTTCAATAGATGTAAACAAGCCACCGAAGTTTCATGAAAACTGCTCAAAGCATTGAAAACTGGAACCCCCCCCGCCCCCCTTTTTATGAATAAAGTCCCAATACTCTAAAATGTAAAATCAGATATCTTTTAAAATTGAAAGGGAACTTATGTCAATATATATATATATATATATAAACAGTTCACCACAGTTTCATGAAAATTGAAAAATCACCCACAACTCAGAAATGTAAAATAAAAAATTTATTAAAATTGAAAGGGAGCTCACGTCAATAGATATAAACAAATCACTCAAGTTTCATGAAAATGGTGAAAACGTTTTTGAGTTATTGTCCGAAGTGTTGACGACGGACAGACAACGGTATACCATATTATATCCCGTAAACGGGCGTATAAAAATATTATTGTTGAGAGATTCAGCTTTTAAATCTTTTTGAAAGTTTTTTACATATAAAATTGAAACTATTCAAAGGGTTTAACAAATTTCTTTGCGGAATGTAAAAAATATATAAACTGGGCATTTCCTGACTAAAAGCAAGCTTAATTTTTACAACATCATACAAAGTTGACCTTATAACTGGTTTGACTGTATTGAAATTTCACAAGAATGGTTTCATTTGATAACTGATTATGACATTGTCAAAAAGCATATTATATATCATACCTGTTTCAAAAGTAGGTTAATGCATTGGGACTTGACTAAAGTTCTGATATAGCCCGTTAATCATCTATGTGTTTTTTAAATTAATGTGGATAGTGTCCACATGTGGACACAGATGATGCCCCCCCTTGCATATCATATAGTTATAAAGGGACATAACTGAAAAACGGTAAAAGTGATGCTACTCAAATTTGAACTTGATCTGAGTTTTGTGGTAATAAGCATTGTGTGTAAGTCTAATAACATTTCGTTGAGGCTAACTTAAGTAGAGAACAAAAACTAAAAATTCAGCAATTTTTCTATTTGTAAACACGCATAACTCTAGAACGGTTGTGTATAAGTTTTATAACATTTGGTTGAGACAAACCATAGTTAGAGAACGCAAACAAAAAATTCAGCAATTTTTATGTTTATAAAGGGACATAACTCAAGAACGGTAAATGTGTCACCACCAAATTTCGTACTTAATCTGTATTATGTAGTAATAAGCATTGTGTATAAGTTTCATAACATTTGGTTGAGGCAAACTAAAGTTAGAAAACGGAAACAAAAAATTTGTACTTGATCTTAGTTTTGTGGTAATGAATATTGTGTATAGGTTTCATAATGTTTGGTTGGGGCAAACTTAAGTTACAGAAAGGAAACTAAAAATTTTGCAATCTTTCAATTTATAAAGGGGCATAACTCAATAATGGTTAAAGTGACACTACCCAAATTCAACTTGATCTGTGTTTTATAAGTGGAAGTCAAAATTAAACATTGCATTGTATAAAGCATTGATTGTAGTTGATTCAACTATAATCATGGACAAAGGAAGATAAATCCAATTTTAAAAATTACTTGATATTTAGAAGAAAATACAAATTTTGCAATTTTTCCATTTGTAAAGGGGCATAACTCTAGAACGGTTAAAGTGACGCCACCAAATTTCAAACTTGATCTGTGTTTTGTGGTAATAAGCATTGTGTATAAGTTTCATAACATTTGGTTGAGGCAAACTTAAGTTAGAGAACTGAAACTAAAAATTTTGCAATTTTTCCATTTATAAAGGGGCATAACTCTAGAACGGTTAGAGTGACGCCACCAAAATTCAAACTTGATCTGTGTTTTGTGGTAATAAGCATTGTGTATAAGTTTCATAACATTTGGTTGAGGCAAACTTAAATTAGAGAACGGAAACCAATTTTGGGACGTACGTACGTACAGATGGACAAGGGTAAAACTTAATGACCCCACCGCTAGGGCGGGGGCATTAAAAATAGTATACCCCTACTTTCCAAAACCGTCGGTATATGTTTTTTTGTAAATGCATGTAGACGATTTACGTGCTATATATCTGACCTGTAGTCAAATCCCTATGGGTTGATTTAAGTAATTTTTAAATTTTGTTCATATAAATAACTTCATATGTATTGTATGTCTATTATCATGTAGGATATGTTATACATTATTTTTCAAATATTCAATGCTGTCAAATAAATTGTATAATATCCTGATGACAGTGAATGCACTATCTTGCATCTGAGACTACTATAACATAATGTGTTAGTAAGTCTCAGCTTGCATAAACAAATTTCATGTTAGATCTTCAGTTAATGTAAAAAACCATAAATTTACATAGTCTTGTAATGAAAAAACTCACACAAGTATATATAGTCTACTATGGTAATTAAACACACACATTTAATTGTATTTACAATATTTTCTCTAGATTTCTCTTCCTTATTGTACATGGTTTTACTGAGTTAATTAATAAGTGTAAAAGAATAGCTATTTTTAATGACAATAATCAGTAATTATTTAAAAAGATTATCGCACTTTTACCTGTTTTACCAGTTTCTTAAATATTCATTAAGTGAATCAAGAGATCGTGATTTGTCTGTCACACCTGTAATGTTTACAATTGGACACCTGGACGTGTTCTACGTCATCAATATCAGTGTTCCTCTCACAGATGCAACATGGTAGATTGTGGAAACTCGAGGTGTCTGCAAGAAAAAAGATCTTTCAAGAAAGAACTTCTATCATGGAGTAAAAAAATACCCATCGCCGTTGGTAAGAATTTGTTGATATACTCAGCCGTTTTTTGGTTCGTATTTCCGGTTGTTGATGTTGTTTTATGTATCTCTTCCAGCATCCTGAATCCATTGTCAAAATTTTGACCGGCTCTTCCTTATATGTCGTTTCACCCCACTTAAATCATGATTTAATTTTTTTAATTTTCATATTATTTATAACATTGTATTGTTTAATGGACAATGTAATAAAATAAGTGTTTAATGTTGTTATATTGAATAGAACATTATTAAGACATGTCTTTTATATTGACGTTTTCTCAGGTAAAAATTTTGACAGAAATCTACGATTATCGATCGCCCAGCCTCCCAAAATTTTGTTGAACCATATGTGTGTGATACTTTAAATGGCGTTCTTTTTTTTTTTGGAACAAAGACATTGTTTATTTATTTTTTTCCCTGGTTGACAAATTCTCAATTTCTCATAAGAATAATACATTTTGTAAAGGCTAAATTAAGATCATGCAATTTGGGGGAAATTTACCTTGCATAATAAATATGCCTATTTGGAATGTGATGTACAGTGTATTGATTTTCTAGGCAGTATGTTGCAGCTATTTTGGTGGGTTGACCTGAGTTGTAGAAGTGGGAAATTGTCATAATGTATTGATTTTTAACACTTTATTCTTTTGTATATTTCTTTGATTTATTGAAATTTATTTTTTTGCCATTTCTTAAAACAAACTGGTTACACATGAATGATCAAATTGAATTGAAGGTGAATTTTAACCTGTTTGATTTGGGATGCAATTAATAGACTGTTCATGTTTGACATGATTAATGCATTAAAATTAGTGACTAACCAGCAGTTAGAAGGTGTTTTGTGAATAAGGAAATTTAAAGAAAATAGTCATAACTTTTTTCTGTGAATGACTTCATGATTATTTGGGGATTATTAAAAAAATGTTTCCTGAAATTTTACATTTCAAAATCATGTTCATCATTTTAAAGTTTTAAAATTTAACATCTTTAAGAAGATTAGATGCAAAACTTTACACTTGGATAAGTCTCCTTTTAGTTTTATTACAATTGAAATAATTTAATTTACATTGGTTGATTTGAAATGCAGATTGGTTCTAGTGTTTCAATTTAACAGTGAATGGCAGCTGCATGCTCCTCACTTGTGAATCAACTTCTCCAATCTTTTATTGTCAATTTTCAAAAGAAACACCCAGATTATTCTGAAACAGTTAAATATAAAGCTCTCTTGATTTTGCCATTATGTGTGGACATCTTTATTGCTATTTAGGAATTTTATTAATGTAAAAAAGTTGGGTGTACTTTGAAAGGTTTATAACCCTTGAAATCTGGGATTTTTTAAGAAGTAATAGAAATAAAAAAAAGTTAAAAAAAAAAAAAAAGAGTAAAAATGATCCATTTTTTCCCCCAATTAAAAGATGTTCATTTCATCTTAAACATTAATATAATACTCAACAACTAAAGAAACACACTGATTCCATTAACTTTCTCAGAGTAAAAATTTCTATTGCATTTATCTTTTTTTTTAAAGTGACTTTATAATGGGTCAAAATATTTCTTGAATCCAAAAATCTAATGCTGTGAAAGTGAAGATTTTTGTTTAAATTTTCATTTCTGACTTCTCTTAAAAACAAAACATTTTCAACCCTAATCTAAAAGTGTTGCCATATTTGTGATACTGAGGTGGCGTGTAATTTTCTACCTGAAAACAAGTTAAATGACTTTGATGTTCAATTTTTGAATCATTTATTTTTCTGATGACCACTTTGAAATTGGCGGATCCTTATCTTAGAATTTTTGTAAACCTATTGGTTAATTTCAAGATTATGCTAAAATAAACTAGAAATTTTCAATTTTCAGCAAAAACAAAAATTATGAAACTACTGTATTGGTATGAATGGTGTATTATTTGTATTGTTAAGTATACATATACATGTATGATCAAGGGTTATTTTCCCTAGGAATTACTTTTTTGAATTTTCAGATTCCTTAAAAGCCATTAAAGTGTAATTTTCTGCTCTCTGACATTTTTGCGTCTATCAGAAAATATTTTCCAGTTTTTATGTAATAAAAATAATTTTCATCAGTGTAAAATATTGACCCCTGTTATTAGCTGTAAGGGGGACAACAGTTTTTTAAACTGTACATCCAGTATATCATTTGATATCAACTATTTGGATGAATTGTATGGCAACTTTATACTTTTATCACACCTTTATGCTTTATATAGCCATAATTGATCAACCTGATATTACAGTGTAAAACAATTCAAATGTTCAAATGTACATTATGCAACTGTTAAGTAAACATGACTTTTTCAGGTGGATTGTTGTCTCATTGGCAATCATACAACATCTCCCTATTTTTATAATGATTTTAGTATTATTTTGAGTGATTTGTCAAGTAAATGATATTTTGCTGGCAACAGCATTCGTTGATAACAAATTTTCTTTATAGATCAAGAATTACACAACAAATTTTCTTTACACATGTAGATAAAGAATTACACAATTTCAAGATCATAAGCAAGAAGCATTTGTTTATGTAAATGTTTATGTGTCAGTTTGTTTTATGAGTATCCATCAAAATGAACTGTTGTCCAAATCAATAATGCATGCATCATTTAAAATTCATTTAGAACTCTATCTGACCAGTAAAAGTTCCCTTTTACTACATTAGTGCAACAGTGCTGTAATATGTACCAGCTGTATAAATTTTCAGTTTAAGTTAAATTTAGAAATAATACAGATCGAAATGAAGTTGAAATGCCTATCCATAGATATGAATAAATGAAATGTAACTTTTATGTTTGGTATATATATGTCAAGGAGAGAGCAATCCAACAAAACAGATAACAGGCAATTACCAGTACTATGAATACATAGCAGAGGCGGATTTAGAGGGTTTTTCAGGGGGCCCGGAGCCCCCTTTTATGGGAAAAATTTGGTTGATTATATAGGGAATATAATGGTTTACTTTTATAAATTGTAACTTGGATGGAGAGTTGTCTCATTGGCACTCATACCACATCATCCTATATCTAATCACTGAAGCATGACTGGAGCGGGCCCCCTCTTGGGCAGTCTGGGCCCCCCTTATGAAAATTTCTGGATCCGCCACTGCATAGGGATATTGTTAGTATTTGATTGATTGATTGGTGTTTAACAACACTTTCAGCACTGTTGGCTATAATTTGTGATGGCCAGCTTTTATTATTGAAGGAAGCCAGTACCCAGAGATCCAAGAGAAAACCATCAACCTTTGGTAGGAAAACTGACAATCATAGTCAATTAAGATTGGAGTCGAATGCACCTCACAACCTCAGTGTTGATAGGCTAGTGATACCGTAGTTGTAGGTGAAGTACTTAGACCACTCTGCACAGAGGCAGCCCCTGTTAATTTTTGAGCATGAAGCATGGTGTTCCTATGGTCATGTGATACTCCTTCATTAATGCCTACAGTTGAAATTAAACAGATGGCTATCATCACTTAAATTAATTCAGGGACACTTAGTTGTAAATAAATACAAATAAGTATGTAAACTTGACACTAAAACTATTTGTGTTCTTGTATATTATTAGACAGATTTACATTTTTCAGCTTTAAGCATAAAAATGCTAATCACATGTGTAAATTTAAAAAAATATATTTATCCGAAATACTGGTATTCTGTATGAAAATCTGATGTGGCTGGCATGAAATGTTTGAAATTAACTAACATTAAAATTCAAAGCAGTTTTCAGAACCTGACTAGGAGTTGTGTCCTTGAAATATTGAATATCAATAAAATTAATGAGTATAGATGAAAACTAATTTCTGTCTTGTAGAAAAGTCATATAGATAATCAAGGAACTTGTTTTGCTTAAGGAAAAACTGAATATCAATAAAATTAATTATGATTATTGATGAAAACTTATGTGTGTCTTGATTAAAAATTTCTATATTTTTGAAGTTGAACTTACACCTTAAAGTAAAGGACAGACCGTCAGTCTCATTTGTCAACTTTCCAGTAGATATGGCATATGGCTCTTTAAATAATAAAAGTTCATGATCAGTTAATCAGTAAAAAAAGTAAAATAACAAAAATACCAAACTCCAAGGAAAAGTCAAAACTGAGAGTCCTTTTTCAAATGGCTAAATCAAAAGCCCAAACACATCAAACGAATGGAAAACAACTGTCATATTCCTGATTTGGTACAGGCATTTCCTTATGTAGAAAATGGTGGATTAAACCTGGTTTTATAGCTAGCTAAACCTCTCACTTGTATGACAGTCACATAGAATTCCATTATATTGACAACAATGTGTGAGCAAAACAAACAGACATAATAGGTAAAAATGTCAAAAATTGGGGTACAGCAGTCAACATTGTGTTATAATCTTAAGACACTAAAAATTATTTGTTTTTTGGATGAATACCTATGTTTGAATGGAATAGAAGCCTTTATAACTATATAAAATTAGGAGATGTGGTATCAGGGTTCTCACTAAGTCTAATCCGGGACTAAATATTTTGAAAACTGGGGAGTCCATAGATGCATCAAGATTGTAAAAAGTTGTATCAACTGAGCATATATCACATCATTTTGTAGCAAAGGTTTAACATGTTTAAGATTAATTTAAATTTGATGTCATTTTCTTGCTCTTTTTTGCATGGAGACTGAAATGATAAATTATATACATGTATAGCAACAAATTTAATCTTTTTACTTGCCATGGCCAAAATTGATGAGTCTCTGGACTCCCCTTAAAAAAAACATTAGTGAGAACCCTGTGGTATGTTTGTCAACTAGACAACTATCAAATTCAATAGATCAAAGGACAGAGAACCCTGTGGTATGTTTGTCAACTAGACAACTATCAAATTCAATAGATCGAAGGACAGAGAACCCTGTGATATGTTTGTCAATTAGACAACTATCAAATTTAATAGATCAAAGGACAGAGAACCCTGTGATATGTTTGTCAACTAGACAACTATCAAATTCAATAGATCGAAGGACAGAGAACCCTGTGATATGTTTGTCAACCAGACAACTATCAAATTTAATAGATCGAAGGACAGAGAACCCTGTGATATGTTTGTCAACTAGACAACTATCAAATTCAATAGATCAAAGGACAAGGATGTGAACAATTATAGGTCACCTAACCATCTTCAAGACAACAATGAACAAAACCCATACCCTATTTTAATTTATAAAATGCCCTAGTATTACAAAATGTGAAACCCAACCACCTGACTTTTACTACAGCAATGAACGAAAAAAGACATCAACCATAGAGCACATGTGATAGTGAAAATTCATGGGGACGCTCTCTCAGGAGTAAACAACCCATAAAGTTCTGTAAATGATAAGAACATACACCTTAGGCACGGTGGACACATTCTACTGCATCTATGAATTCATTGGGACTACACTTTTGGTCTTAATTTTTAGGATAAAGATTGGAAGCATATTGTCACATGCTTGATAGCTAAATTTTCCAGCACTCTCACTCATCTCTACCTTTGGTAGCACAAGCAATATAGTCACAACAAGACAAATTGACATATGAAAGCTAATCTTTTCATGTTTCACCACAAGATAAAATGACATTTGCAAGCTGATATTTTCATGGTTGTAACAATCTCCTTGTCTTTAGATTAAGGTTATTACTGTATAATGAATATTCAAGAGTTATACCCTTTTATAAAAGGTAAACCATTGTACTTTTTTTTTCACTAAGAAAATAATAGAAGAAATGTCTTTGTTGGGCATGAAAAATTCAAAGGACACTTGTGTCTATTGTTGTGGCAGATTTTTACATTCAGTAATATAAGACTACAGAATCTGGCCTGCATTACACAAAATCTTAGGACTAAAATTGATCATTAGTACATGTATAGTGATTATTTTGTATACTGAAGTGTTTATGAATTACGATCAATTTAATTGTAAGATGTCTGTGAAATGATCACGAGGACCTGAATGATAAGGGGAAAGGGAATATTAACTTAATATGTATGAGACAACATTTCCAAGATATGATAAGACTAATGTTGGCGTACAGCATGATATTGACAGTACATCATGATCATTGTTAAATTAAAATGCATGTAATAAATTTAGAAAACTAGGCAATTGCAATGCAAACTATATGATAATCTATGTATATATATATGTTTGAGTTACGATTGTGTAGTTTTTATAACTATATAAAAAGGTGATATATATGTAGATACATACACAATGTACTTTAAAAGAACAGTATGGTGTTTTACATGTAAGGGAACAGGGTTGTCAATGTGGTTTTTCATGTTGATAGTATTTGGAAGGTCCTAACAATTAGCTTCACAAATCAATGTTAGAGTACTTTAAATAAATGATGAGACAAAAATAGCATAGTCTAACAATATTATAGTATTATGACCACATCGAACATTACATTTGTAAGAAACTTAGAGGGAAACATTCTATTTTATCATACTATAAAAAGTATATGTCACTGAGCTTGCTTTTAACTGATTAGTTGTGTTAATTCTCATGATTTGTTAGGATTCAGGATTATACAACGAAAAAGCACATATATGCAATCAGAAGGAACACTAATTGTTATAATTTTAAAATAGAATAATTAAATTTGTTCAGTCAAAAACTTTGGTGGGTCTTTTGTAAACAGATTTTTTCAACAGGAAATATATACTTGTAGGTGTAAGATTGGTGACTCCAAACTCCAAATTTACCATAGGACTCATCTAGAATAATTGCAAGGATTTCTGCTGATTTCAGTGACACATAACTGAAAAATCAATATGAGAAAGTCTATAGATTATGGAAAAAATGGGAGATAACTCAAACATTTTTTAAATAAATTACTTTGAAATATTTTTTTTGAACGAATTACTTTAAAAATGAAAGTATTTCATGAACTGAAAATGAATTTTATGACATGTATATCTCCATCATTTTACAGTTAAACAATAATGGACAGATAACACATTTCTGCTCAGGTGTTACCAAACATCTGTCATATTGATAGAGTGTGAATGACTTATTACTACTTACATGTACTTTTTGTACTTGTAGACATAAGTTTGAACAGATAATTGTCTTTAATGTGCTGTAAATAAATGTTTTTCTTTACCTAATTGAAAGAATAGAAAGTCAGTTATTTTACTTGAAATGTATTTTATATATTACCTTTAACTGCTAAATTGCTGTGAAAGATTTGTATTTGTATTTTCCTCCAACAAGAATTGTCAGGTACACTTGATGTACAAATATATGGGAATCTTTATAATCAAAAGTGATTAAAAAAAGAACAGCTTTATCATCTTAGGTCAACTTTGCTCAAGAGAAAGCAAACTTTGTTTTTGTGTAATTTACAAAATAAATTGTAGTGTATGTATAAATAAATCATGGTTAATGCTGGTACTTTGATTTCTTGTTGGATGGTACCATGAGTTTTACAGTCAACCAACAGTGGTATTGATTCAGTGATTATAATGTACTGTTTTGGTGCTCTTGGTGCAGATTTTCTGGATTTATCACAGGGGTTCAAATTAGTGTGGGTCTGTCAGGGACCTGCCTTTCTAGGAGTGGACTTTTTATTTTTGAATTTAAAAAATCAAGGACCTCCAATTTTAACACTAATGCTTTATACAGCATTGTTGACTTTCATATGGAGGACCATTCACCTGAAAATTCAAATGGTTCTGGACCTTTCATTATTTAAAACAAAACTGAACCCCTGTATCTTCTCTAGCAATCAAAGGGACATAATTTCAGAAAGACAAAGCTAAAGAAATACTTTAGGGACTATGTAACCAAATCATCGCAAGTGGACCTAATAAGGACTACCTAAAACTTTCTCAGCTTACATGAAATAGCAGGATAATTAATAAGTGGGAGGGTTGAGAAAAAAACCTAGTTTAACCTCACATGTACAACATTCAAAATTTTGCATTCAATTTTCATGTGTGCTTCTGATGACAGTTTCCAGGTTGTAGCAAAAGTTGTAATTACACAACTAACACATGAAAATATTTTCTTTCCCAAAAGTAATGTGAAATATCTTCTAATAGGATTGCTGAATTTAATGATTTTGCCAGAAAAAGCCTTATTACATAGATTTTGTAAATAAATTTTGATTATTTTCAGGTCTTGAGAGGATAGCTGAAGAATTAGCTGGAGAGAATGTCATCAAAGAATTGTTACTACCTTTCAATGGTTAGTGAATAATTGATAAAATATAATATTGTTATGTTGAAAAACATAAAAGGAATATTTCAAAGAATTCATTCAAAAAGTGAATTAAATCTTCATTTAAAGCACTAAGTTTTTTAATTCCTTCTTTGAGTCTAGAAATAAATTAATTAAAAAATTATTTTCTTCATCCAAACATCACAGGAAGATGAAGCACTTGTTAATTTGTGTTTTATTGTCAGTTTAATTAGGGACACATGGGGTATGTCAGACTAATATGTTAGCCAATGAAAATAACACTTTATAAATTTGGTGCATCTGAGATGCTTTTCTGAATATACCTTCATCAACAATGCTCAAACCTACAAAACTAAAAGCTGAGGAATAATTAATAGATGAATATGTGAGTAGTTTTTAGTTTATAAAGAATTTCTTAACAATAAAATAATGAAAAAAGGTACCATCACCAAATATAAAAATTAAAAACACCAAAATTTACAAAAGCATAAAGACAGGAAAGATTGCACAATATTTTGTCAAAGTGGTCTTTCAGGGCTTATTGCCACCATGGAAGCATGGCAAAGCACTGCATTAAAATCTACTACTATAAATAAGAGTAGCTTTCAAATTTCAACATTCTTTTAGTATGAATGAATATAAATACATGTCTATGTGAATGTTTTCAATTATGATAATGCTTAAAACATCATACTGACATGAGTGACAATATTTTCAATTGTATTACAGTGTACTATAAAATACCGTTCACGGCTGCTTAATTTTCAGAGAAAAATTAAAAGGCATGATATTCAAAACACTGTGGACAAGTTGATTTTTAGAAATCCTAGGACATGACTATGGCTAGCTTGAAAAAGACACTGTTCAAATCATATATCCCTATACTGCTTTTCCACACCAATTCATATTAATTGATATTAAAGTCTAATAGAGCATATGGAAATGCCTTTTCAACGTTAATACCAACATGTACCGCTACTTCAGTAAACTATATTGTAATCGGGTGAGAAAGGCTTTGTATAGTGAGTGATTTGTCAAACGTTACACAAAAATAAATGTATCCAAGTTTCTATGTCTAGTTCCCAGGTTTCAATATCTGTTGTTGTCCATACTTGATTGTCCCATTGGGTTTTTCTTTTTTCTTTCTTTCCACTATACAAGAAAAGATAGCAGGTAAATCACCAATGCAGAACAACAAAACAAGATACACCACATCACTAACCCTAATTTAAAGCAACTAAAAAAGAAAGACAGAAAAAGTTGATGAAAAGCATTTCCCCAAAAAAAGAATTACTCAACAACCTATCTAGAATCGAGGCAAATGTCCAACATTTTAGGCTGTATGTAAATAAATTTTGTGTTTTTTGGTTACTGTCTTATTAACGTTTATCCCACATCTCTTTTGACTTTGATTGACTTTTTTAAGAAAATCAAAAAAGTCAAACAGACTAAAAAGAATTGCATGAATAATGTAGGTTTATGGTCTTAAGGTAGATAGGGTGTCTTCCTCCATTGTGGATTTTGAAATACCAGAAAACAATTGGTCTAGATCTTTAATAAAAGGTGCAAATATTGAGAGTAGTAGGTAATTCATATGTAAGAATTTTTATTTGAATAGAGAAAATGACATATTTTATCATATTTATGGTTGTATTTTACAAAAAAACAGAATACTTTTGTTTTAATTCTATTTTTTCCAACTTTGCCACATAAGGGGAGGCAACTCAAATGTAAGGGCAGATAATTCAGATAAAGTTACTTTTACAATAGAATGTGTTAGGAATTTACCTATTTTATTATGTAGTAAGAAAATGGGTCCCGTGACCCCATTTTTAGCTCACCTGGCCCGAAGGACCAAGTGAGCTTTTCTCATCACTTGGCGTCCGTCGTCCGTCGTCGGCGTTAACTTTTTACATTTTGAACTTCTTCTAGAGAACCACTGAATGGAATGAAACCAAACATGGCATGAATGTTCCTTATGAGGTGCTGACCAAGTGTTGTTACTTTGTAGCCGATCCATCATCCAAGATGGCCGCCAGCGGGGGACTTAGTTTAACATAGGACCCTATGGGAAATGCATACAAATGACTTCTTTTAGAGAACCACTGAATGGAATGAAACCAAACATGGCATGAGTGTTCCTTATGAGGTGCTCACCAAGTGTTGTTACTTTGTAGCAGATCCATCATCCAAGATGGCCGCCAGCGGGGAACTTAGTTTAACATAGGACCCTAAGGGTAATGCATACAAATGACTTCTTTTAGAGAACCACTGAATGGAATAAAACCAAACATGGCATGAATGTTACTTATGAGGTGCTGACCATGTGTTGTTACTTTGTAGCTGATCCATCATCCAAGATGGCCGCCATCAGGGAACTTAGTTTAACATAGGACCCTATGGGAAATACATAAAAATGTCTTCTTTTAGAGAACCACTGAATGGAATGGAACCAAACATGGCATGAATGTTCCTTATGAGATGCTGACCAAGTGTTGTTACTTTGCAGTCGGTCCATCATCCAAGATGGCCGCCAGCGGGGGACTTAGTTTAACATAGGACCCTATGGGAAATACATAAAAATGTCTACTTTTAGAGAACCATTGAATGGAATGAAACCTAACATGGCATGAATGTTCCTTATGAGGTGCTGACCAAGTGTTGTTACTTTGTAGCCAATCCATCATCCAAGATGGCCGCCAGAGGGGGACTTAGTTTAACATAGGACCCTATGGGAAATACATAAAAATGTCTTCTTTTAGAGAACCACTGAATGGAATGGAACCAAACATGGCATGAATGTTTCTTATGAGATGTTGACCAAGTGTTGTTACTTTGCAGCCGATCCATCATCCAAGATGGCCGCCAGCGGGGGACTTAGTTTAACATAGGACCCTATGGGAAATGCATACAAATGACTTCTTTTAGAGAACCACTGAATGGAATGAAACCAAACATGGCATGAATGTTCCTTATGAGGTGCTCACCAAGTGTTGTTACTTTGTAGCAGATCCATCATCCAAGATGGCCGCCAGCGGGGGACTTAGTTTAACATAGGACCCTATGGGAAATACATAAAAATGTCTTCTTTTAGAGAACCACTGAATGGAATGAAACCAAACATGGCATGAATGTTCCTTATGAGGTGCTGACCAAGTGTTGTTTCTTTGTAGCCAATCCATCATCCAAGATGGCCGCCAGCGGGGGACTTAGTTTAACATAGGACCCTATGGGAAATACATAAAAATGTCTTCTTTTAGAGAACCACTGAATGGAATGGAACCAAACATGGCATGAATGTTTCTTATGAGATGTTGACCAAGTGTTGTTACTTTGCAGCCAATCCATCATCCAAGATGGCCGACAGTGGGGGACTTAGTTTAACATAGGACCCTATGGGAAATACATACAATTGTCTTCTTTTAGAGAACCACTGAATGGAATTGAACCAAACATGGCATGAATGTTCCTTATGAGTTGCTGACCAAGGGTTGTTACTTTGCAGTCGATCCATCATCCAAGATGGCCGCAAGGGGGGGGGGGGCTTAGTTTAACATAGGACCCTATGGGAAATACATACAAATGTCTTCTTTTAGAGTACCACTGAATGGAATGAAACCAAACATGGCATGAATGTTCCTTATGAAGTGCTGACCAAGTGTTGCTACTTTGTTGCCGATTTACTGTTCAAGATGGCCACCAGGATATTTTATTAAATAACGGGACCAATATTAATCAAAATTTGGCCTCAATCATTATTTGGGTATCTGTTATGATTTTTATCTATCTTTACATGATTTCTAAAACCAAAGTAGAGTCAGGTGAGCGACACAGGCTCTTGAGAGCCTCTAGTTTCTTTTTCTTATCTGAAAGCATATTATTAGAGCTATCTTCTCATATCTTATCTCAAAATTCTATGGTGTAGTTTTCGTTTTATGGCAGAAAATTGGGTTTTCCATGCATAATCTATACAAAATCTGTCAATTTTGCACAACCTGTAGCGTGAAAATAAGCCCCGTGCCACATTCTTTTTATTATTTTTTTTGAAAAAGCATGATATAAACTAGATTTTGGCAAATTATTTAAAAATTCTATGGATCATAATTTAGACACCCCATCTACCTTAAATGCAAAAGTAGAATACGAAATAAATGAACTAATGGAACGATTGCAATTGGTTTACGCAATTAAATTACATACAATATGCATGCCCTTATTATATATTTTTAAAACATAGCCTCATCATCTCCTACCATTTATTTCAATTTATATCAATACTTTATGCTTTCAAATCTTATTTTTTAAATTTATTCCTCTGTTTTTATAGGACCCCAAAAACATTTTGCAGTCCTATATTGGTATGACGTTGTCGTCATCCGGCTTCGTCGTCTTCCGAAGACACATTGGTTTTCGCACTCGAACTTTAGTTTAAGTGAATGGATCTCTATGAAATTTTACCATAAGGTTCAATACCTCAAAAGGAAGGTTGGGATTGATTTTGGGGGTTATGGTAACAACAGTTAAGGAATTAGGGGCCAAAAAGGGGCCAAAAATAAGCATTTTTGTAACTTTCAGACGTAACTTGTGTGTTAGTGTATGGATCTCTCTGACATTGTACCAAAAGTTTCCATATCACAAAGGGAATGCTGGGATTAATTTTGGGGGTAATTGCTTCCAAATTTTAGGAATTAGGGGCAAAAAAAGGGGCAAAAAACAAGCATTTTTCTAGTTTTATGACAATAACTTGTGTGTAAGTGTATGGATCTTTATGAAATTGTACTACAAGGTTCAATATCACAAAGGGAAAGCTGGGTTTGAGTTTGGGGTTAATTGCCCTAAACGTTAAGGAATTTTGGTTCAAAAAGGGGCCAAAAAAACAAGCACTTTTCTAGTTTCCAGACAATAACTTGTGTTCAAGTGTATGGATCTCTCTGAAATTGTACTGCAAGGTACCATACCACAAAGGGAAGGCTTGGATTGAGTTTGGGGGTGATGAATCATAAGGGGGTTCAAAAAATTTGGGGGGGGATTTTTTTTTCCTTTTTTTTTTCTTTAAAATTTTCCATTTTAAATTGGTTATTTCTGATTTATATATAAAAGCAAATAATAATGATATGGTTTGAATAGGTAAATTTAAATTTTTTAAGTTCTTAGACCACATTCATTCTGTGTCAGAAACCTATGCTGTGTCAAATATTTAATTACAATCCAAATTCAGTGCTGTATCAAGCTTGAATGTTGTGTCCATACTTGCCCCTACTGTTCAGGGTTCGACCTCTGCGGTCGTATCAAGCTGCACCCAGCGGAGCATTTTATTCTTTCTTGTAAACATGTGATATACATGTACTTTATACAACATGCTTATGAGATAAATAACCCCCCCCCCCCCCCCCCAAAAAAAAAAGATGTAAATTCTTTCTGTTTCTGTTCCATATTCTGTTTCTGCCTTTTAGCAACACCCAATGTACTGTGTCAACATTTGCATTTCTTATTCACTTGTTTAATTTTCATGTGTCAACATGTCACAGCCATATCAATCTGTCTTCCACGTAATGTTTTAAAATAAACACACAGAACAGATGTGTAAAGATATTGACATATCATTAAATCATCAATACAAGGATCATAAGAAGATACAAGAAGGAACAAAATCATCAAGATGTAAATACTGAGTTGCCTTTTATTTGTACTTCCAGACTTGGAAAAAGATGAAAAAGAAGACTGGCATCAAGAACAGAATTGTTTTTTCTGTGAATCTAGACTGCAGATGATGTTTGTGGGTATCTTTATTTTAATATTGATAATAGATCTTACATTTCTACAGCTGTAATTTCTACTGATAATCTATTTTTCTAGGCATCTAGACTACAGATAACATTTTCTACAAATAATTTGTTTTCAAGTAGTTCTTTTAAAATTGTCTTATTGCATAAAAGTGATCTTATTGCATTAAAGTTTTATTATTGCATGAAAGGTATTGTATTGCCTGAAAGGAATCGTATTGCGTGAAAGGTATCTTATTGCATTAAAATTATCTATTTGCATTTAAGTTGCCTTTAACAGAATATTTCTCTTTTTGGAAATCATAACCTAGATTTCAAATAATGTTTATAAATGAATTGCAAAATTTTCATAAACACAATTATTTGTTAATATTTTCTATGTAATTCAATCTATTTTTCTGAAATTTGATTTCATTTTAAAAGCTTCTGGTGAATTCTTAAAAAGATATTTACACCAGGGATTTGTAAAAAAAACATTTAGATCAACAGGAATTAATTTAAATAATTGGTCACACTGGTTTTTAGGAGGTCTGTTGAGTACATCCAGGGTTTTGGTTGGATTGGTAATTGTTCATGTATTCTGGAAGCTTCTACAGTTAAAAAAAAATGTACTTGAATAAACCAATAAAAAAGTGATTCTATGATTGGTCTAAATTATTGTATCAATTTTTCATGCACACTTTGATAGCTTGTTTTTTATGCCCCACCTATGATAGTAATGGGGTATTATGTTTTTTGGTCTGTGCGTCCGTTCGTCCGTCCCGCTTCAGGTTAAAGTTTTTGGTCAAGGTAGTTTTTGATAAAGTTGAAGTCTAATCAACTTGAAACTTAGTACACATGTTCCCTATGATATGATCTTTCTAATTTTAATGCCAAATTAGAGTTTTGACCCCAATTTCACGGTCCACTGAAAATAGAAAATGATAGTGCCAGTGGGGTATCCATGTACTATGGACACATTCTTGTTTGTTTTAGATTAATTCAAATCTTTTTTGGCAGTACATAGCGGTTAATTAGAGTTGTGTCCCTTACATCTATTAGAGTTATTGTCATCTTTATATCCATTTATATGTCTGTCAAAAGTTTTACTTTATGAAATCTTCCACTGTTTTTGAATTGAATCAAACTTGACAGAATTAATTTGCACCATGTGTAGTTGCACCAGGGCTTCCAAAAAATATTTGAGCCAGCCAGAGATTTTATATCTTATCCTGATCTTAATCCCTTAAGACTACGTAGCAAAAGGCAATTATGGTAATCAATTGGCCATCCCAATGATTGACATTAAAAAAACGATATTAAACTTTACTTTGATATAAATTCGATGTTCTGACGTGAACTGTTAATTTGGCAGTGCATCATTCCAAGTGTGCAACATCAGTGTACTAATATCTGCCTTAGACTCTTTATTTTTGCAAAATAACGTTGTCAAAAACATTACTTTCGATTTTAAAAGCATGTGTACTTTTACAAAGCACGACTGAGTGTAAAAAGCTCTTTCCACATTATTTCTTCAAGAAAATACTCGAAAAGAACGTTTGATACAGGTATCAATGATAATTTTAGCATTTTTTACGCCCGTTTACAGGATGTATTATGGTATACCGTTGTCGGTCTGTCCGTCCGTCTGTCCGTCGTCAACATGTCGGACATTAACTCAAAAACACTTAAACCAATTTGCATAAAACTTTGGTGAATTGTTTATATCTATTGACAAGAGCTCCCTTTCGTTTTTTATAAATTTTAAATTTTACGTTTCTGAGTTATGGGGTTTTATTCATTAAAAAAAAGGGGAATTTTCCAGTTTTCAGACAATAACTCAAGAATGCTTTCACCAACTTGCATGAAATTGTGGTGAATTGTTTATTTCTATTAACATAAGCTCCCTTTGGATTTTTATAAATATTAGATTTGACGTTTCCGAGTTGCAGGGTTTTATTCATAAAAAAGGGGGATTTTCCAGTTTTCGGACAAAAAACTCAAAAATGCTTTCAGCAGTTTTTATGAAACTATGGTGAATTGTTTATATCTATTTAAGTAAGCTCCCTTTAGAATTTTATAAATTTTACATTTTACATTTCTGAGTTATGGGGTTTTATTCATTAAAAAAGGGGGGATTTCCCAGTTTTTGGACAATAACTCAAAAATGCTGTCAGCAATTCTCATGAAACTTTGGTGAATTGTTTATATCTATTGATGTAAGCTTTCTATTGATTTTCATAAATTTCTAATATGACATTGAGAATTAATTGAACTTTATTTGTTTATAGTCTGACAACAGATTTACTAAGTATTGCACAACAGCACAGTGTATTGCACAACAGCAAGAAATCTTTAATTGAATATAAATTCAATTCATATAACCAATTTCAAGTTCTCTGACTACATTTATTCAGAAACCTGTAATATGTCAAATATTTAATTACAATCCAAATTCAGACCTGTATCAAGCTTGAATATTGTGTCCATTTTTGCCCCAACTGTTCAGGGTTGGACCTCTGCGGGCGTATCCAGCTGTGCTCAGCGAAGCAGTTTATTAAAGATAAGGATGCATGATTAAATTTCCCACCTGTGCAAATGTGTTCTAGTTCAAACAAGGTGGTTCTGACGATTTTTCATTTAAAACCTTTTAAAATTTTTCATCAAATCATATTTATAAACGTATTTCTAATACCGGTAATTTTAATCTTTTTGATTAAATTAATTAGATTCATACTGCTGAAATGTAAGAAAATAACTTTGAATAGACCAATCAATGTCCGGTACAAAATAGTTTACCTGTTACCTGAACAGGTAGAATTCAGCTGTCCAACAACTAACTAGCCTTGATTAAAATGAGAAGGTATTAAAGTATGGGTTGTTTTGATAGTACTTAATCATCATGTCACTTTTATGACCGAAAATGTGTGGCTGTTTAAAGGTTGATTCAAAAACATCGCAAATTATGTTAAAATGACCGTCTCTTAAGAAAGCCTAAAAAGTAGATGTTCGTTTCATGCTTTTCCCAGGCGGACAATGTCCGGAATATATGACTGTTTTGGAAGCCATGAGTTGCACACCTTTGTTTTATAGTTTGGTCAGATTGATTTTAATAGTAAGTCTCCAAAGTGAAACATGGACTTTCCATTTCTATAAAGATATTTATTGGGATGTTTGTCAGTACACTGTACTAAATCAGTTCCTTAATCCTATATTTTACTTTTCCAGTGTTTTCCCAGGGTGTTATAGTACCGTAGTGCTATCTTGATAGATTTAATAATATAATGTATTCAAATTGTGGGTCTAGAAAATTGTGGAGTTTGGGTTATGTTTAAAATAATTGGGTTCTGGAAATTAGCTGACATTTGGATTTAAAAGATATCTGAAATCATTTTTTTCAAAATTCGTTTCCATAGATACCAAAGCAGAGAGATAAAAAATAACAGGAAAACAAAGTACTCTGTACATAGTATATATTAGAGAATGTAGGACAGAAAGTCACAGGACAAAAAGTCAAAATTCAGTTTTGAGTATTGTTCTTTGAATAAGAAAACACTCATTTTAAAAAAAAAAAATTGTATTTTTCCTGAACTATTATATTTAAAGCAACTTTGTAATTAAAATTTATTTTATAAATATTAATAATGATCAAATAATTGTTAAGAAAACAAAATGTCAAAGTGGCTTGGTACTTAAATGGCTTCATGGTGCCAAGAAATATATCCTTTGCATGATTAAAATTTAATATTTTTTCATTTATCAAGGCTAATGAACAATTTCCTTAACTGTAAAATGAATATATGTAATAAAAAGAAAAAATTTCTAGATCTTTCTCTTACATACTCAAACAGTTGAATTGTCAACAAATTATTTGTGACTTTTTGTCCTGTGACTTTTTGTCCTATCAAATTTGTGACTTTCTGTCCTGTGACTTTCTGTCCGTTTACCTATATTTAGACAGAGTGTCAAAGTGATTAATATTTAATATAATCTGGAAGTCTGTAAAATAACAGTATCTTCTGTCTCTATATAGCATATATTTCCTGATCTTCATTTGCTTTTTACTAATTTTGTTTTTTTCTATGTTTTTTTTTTGGCAATATAAATAGTAAGCCATGCGATTATGAATCATTTATTTACAAGTCTACATAGGCCCGAATGTTTGACAAAGCTATAAATCAGTGTAAATCGAGCATGTACAAATTATATGCAAATCTCCTCGTTTGAATGGACACTACCTTCTGTCTCTATATTGCAAAAAAAAAATAGAGAGAAAAAAAGCAAATGAAGATCGGGAAATATATGCTATATAGAGACAGAAGAATTCGGTCTAAAATAACAGCAGGTCATCTTGGTTAATATATGCATTAAAAATAAAAACACTAAACTGTTGCATATTTTTAGCTGATGACTTAGATATTATGTAGTATCTGATAACAGTAGTAAGGTTTCTTAAAGAAAAGTGAAGAAAATCAATTACTTTATCATTACAGGAAGCCGTAGAAAAACTAATGGAAGAAGTGAAAAGTGGAAAAAACCTGACAGATAATCCAAGTATGTACAAAAAGCTATATTTTACAAACAGGTCAAAAGTTTGTCCATAGAAGATAGGTTAATTCTAAGTGTTGCTACTGTTTAAATGAAACTAATGGGCCTGACTAATTAAAGAAACAAGTGTGTTACTCCCACAAGTATTGTCGAATAAAAAAGTAACTTACTGATAATCAACAGGTCATAGTAAAACCTCTTATTGGCTGAGAATTATATAAGTTATATTTCCAAGGCGTTGTCACAAGGAATTCTTGAAATCTATCAGTTGAAAAATTCATATACTCACAAAGTGATAAAATCAAAATGTCTCACATAGGTATATTATAATTTTAAAATTCAAAAAATGACTGCAATCACTCTAAATATAAATTCATAGTGAGTTCTTTTCCTACAGCATCTAAAAGCCATAATATATGTTGATGTGTTTCAGGTTTACGCTATTTACAAGAACTTCTTCCATACTGTCCTCAGTTTTACACTCACAACATAGGTAGAGAGATCTTAGCGGAGTTAAAAACAACAGGCCATGGAGTAGAGAGAGATGTGGAAATGAATATACCTCAGACACAGAAAGAACCGATAGAACTCAAAATACCTCATATAATTTCTCATACAAGGTAGTCAATTGTGACGAACGTAAATATTTAGAAAGTTATATAGATATTAAAACAAAATAAATTCTATTATTCCTCATACTTAATATCAGACCTGCCAACTTTTGAAAACCTCCATGGGGGATTTTCCCCGGGGAAAAAAATTCAAATGTATCGCTTCATCTTGTGACTGTTTTTTTTTTTATAATGTCCAGTAGAAAGTATTTCATGTATATTTAGGATCAATTTTGGTTTGTTTCTTGAACTCTTGAGCTTGTTTTGATGCTGTGTGTATCATTCTGTGTAAAGATGTTTCTTTCATTTGGTTCATTTGTTTTATTTGTTTTATTTCAGTGTTATATTTGTTTTATTTCAGTGTTTTATTTGTATTTTCACTGTATCTATTTAAAATAAATTGATTCAGGTCATTCTGCCATTTTTCAAGAAAACGGCATGGCAAACGTTTCTTCTTGCTGGGTGGAGTAGCAACCATTGTGATAGTTTGAACTGTTATGATTCAATTCCATTTTTCATATCCTTTTATAACAATTGTCTCAATGTGCAAACAGCATCCAAGCCTTTACGTTTAATTTGCAAAATTCCTTTGATCAGTTATAATTAAGATAATTATTAACTATGTTCACCTGATTAAAGAATTTTTTTAACTAGTTAACTTGATTATAATATAATTAATCTCAATTAAATGATAAGTAAAAAAATTAAAACAGTTAATTATGTAACTCCCAAGCTGATCGGTATAAATAACAAAGATCAATAATTTTATTACCAATTAAGACCCATATAACTTTGACAAATCATTGATTTTATTGAGGCACGTGTATATGTTTACATAATACTTAGTGTCAAAACAGATCGATAATCCTCAGGTAAATCAACATGACCCGAATATCAGATACTACGATGAATTTGATTGGATAATATCTCTATGTTGTCCTCCATTACCGGAAATCGGTAAGAATAAAATTTTCTCGGGTAGAATTTATGAAAATCGGGTTTTTTGCTTATTTTAGGAACCCGATATCGGGATTCGGGTTGAGGCATGAAAATCGGGATAATACCGCCAAAATCGGGATAGTTGGCAGGTCTGTAATATTATAAAGCAAAAGAACTCAGAATAATTCATATAATTCCTCATACTTGATATTGAATTCTGTAGAACTGAAATATTTTAGAAAATCATACCATTTCTAGTAGAAGGTAGAAGTGATACTTATAAAGTCATTTAGAACTCAAAATAACTATATTTTATCCCTTAAAAGGAAAGCAAAGTCGTGGAAAACTCAAGTTACCTCATGTTATTTCTTGTACAAGGTGAAAATGATATAAACCCTATTAAACTCTTCATACCTCATGTAAAATACATTATTTAATGATTTCATGGTTTTACCAAAGTCTGCATACTAGCCTACATAATATGTGAACTTCATAAAAACTTGAAATTCATGGTTCACCTATACCCCCATGAATTCCACAAAAACTGGTATCCCCCAAATAATAATGAATCCACAGTTATCTTTTTTATGCCCGCGCTGTAGCAGTGGGGGCATTAAGTTTTACCATTGTCCGTCTGTACGTACGTAAGTACATCCGTCCGTACGTCCCAAAATTGGTTTCCGTTCTCTAACTTTAGTTTGCCTCAACCAAATGTTATGAAACTTATACACAATGCTTATTACCACAAAACACAGATCAAGTTTGAATTTTGGTGGCGTCACTTTAACCGTTCTAGAGTTATGCCCCTTTATAAATGGAAAAATTGCAAAATTTTTAGTTTTTGTTCTCTAACTTAAGTTTGCCTCAACCAAATGTTATGAAACTTATACACAATGCTTATTACCACAAAACACAGATCAAGTTTGAATTTTGGTGGCGTCACTTTAACTGTTCTAGAGTTATGCCCCTTTATAAATCGAAAAATTGCAAAATATTTATTTTCTTCTAAATATCAAGTAATTTTTAAAATTGGAGTATCTTCCTTTGTCCATGATTATAGTTGAATATACTACAATCAATGTTTTATACAATGCAATGTTTAATTTTGACTTCCACTGATAAAACACAGATCAAGTTGAATTTGGGTAGTGTCACTTTAACCATTATTGAGTTATGCCCCTTTATAAATCGAAAGATTGCAAAATATTTAGTTTCCGTTCTGTAACTTAAGTTTGCCCCAACCAAACATTATGAAACCTATACACAATATTCATTACCACAAAACTCAGATCAAGTACAAATTTTTTGTTTCCGTTTTCTAACTTTAGTTTGCCTCAACCAAATGTTATGAAACTTATACACAATGCTTATTTCTACATAATACAGATTAAGTACGAAATTTGGTGGCGACACTTTTAACATTCTTGAGTTATGTCCCTTTATTTCAGTAATAAATGTAGAATAATCAAATATATCACTTGAAATTTTTTTTTTTACAATAAAAAATTTATGATGTCTGCCATGTCTACCTTTTTTGTCGAGCCTGCGACTTTTGTCGCAGAAAGCTCGACATAGGGATAGCGATCCGGCGGCGGCGGCGGCGTTAGCTAACTTCTTAAAAGCTTTATATTTTAGAAGATGGAAGACCTGGATGCTTCATACTTTGTATATGGATGCCTCATGTTACGAAGTTTCCGTCAGTCACATGTCCAATGTCCTTGACCTCATTTTCATGGTTCAGTGACTACTTGAAAAAAAAGTTCAGATTTTTTGTAATGTTAAATTCTCTCTTATTATAAGTAATAGGATAACTATATTTGGTATGTGCGTACCTTGCAAGGTCCTCATGCCCGTCAGACAGTTTTCACTTGACCTCGACCTCATTTCATGGATCAGTGAACAAGGTTAAGTTTTCGTGGTCAAGTCCATATCTCAGATACTATAAGCAATAGGTCTAGTATATTCGGTGTATGGAAGGACTGTAAGGTGTACATGTCCAACTGGCAGGTGTCATCTGACCTTGACCTCATTTTCATGGTTCAGTGGTTATAGTTTAGTTTTTGTGTTTTGGTCTGTTTTTCTTATACTGTATGCAATAGGTCTACTATATTTGGTGTATGGAATGATTGTAAGGTGTACATGTCTAGCTGGCAGGTGTCATCTGACCTTGACCTCATTTTCATGGTTCAGTGGTCAAAGTTAAGTTTTTGAGTTTTGGTCTTTCTTTCTAATACTGCATGCAATAGGTCAGCTATATTTGGTGTATGGAATGATTGTAAGGTGTACATGTCTAGCTGGTAGGTGTCATCTTACCTTGACCTCATTTTCATGGTTCAGTGGTCAAAGTTAAGTTTTTGAGTTTTGGTCTTTTTTTCTAATACTATATGCAATAGTTCAACTATATTTGGTGTATGGAAATATTTTATGATCTATATGTCAGTCACGCAGGTTTTATTTGACCTTGACCTCATTTTCAAGGTTCATTGCTCATTGTTAAGTTTTTGTGTTTTCGTCTGTTTTTCTTAAACTATAAGCAATAGGTCAACTATATTTGTTGTATGGAAGAATTGTTAGCTGTACATGCCTGCCTAGCATGGTTCATCTGACCTTGACCTCATTTTCATGGTTCATTGGTCAATGTTTAGTTTACTTGGTTAATGTTAATTTTATGTGACAGTTGTAATAAAGCTTTATATTTATGACTATCAACATAATATCAATGATTAGTAAAGAAGGCGAGACATTTCAGCGTGTGCACTCTTGTTGATACAACTTATATGAAAAATTTGTGAGTGTAGAAAAAAGAAATAAAACTAAGGCAATGTAAACTTAAATGCTTGATTGCAAATTTTATAGGCAAAAAGTAAAAGAAAGTCCACAGGCATGTAAGAAGTCGTACACTGATGATGAATTGACGGCAGCAGTAAATGAAATACAAAGTGGAAAATTGGGAACAAGACGAGCTTCAGTTTTATATGGAATACCGAGATCAACGCTACGTAATAAAATATTCAGGATGGGCTCTGACAAACCGAGTATATATTCCTTAAATGGTGATGAGGGTTACGAGGATGCCCTGGCAGCAGAAATTGCCTTGAAATGGACAGACTTGATTCAGGGAAGCTATAGACCCTTGTTTATACAACAGTTGCCTCTGATGCTTAACCCTGATTACAAAGTCATTGATTCAGGTGATGATTTTGAAAAGAAGTTGGAATATATTCGTAAAAAGCACAATCTTGGTCGTAAAAAAGAGAAATATCATTCTGAATATGCTCATGAACTTAGACTTCCGTACCTGAAGAAAATAATAAAGAAATTAACAGAAGAAAGGTTTGATATGGAACGTAACGCAGAGCGAGTTCGAAAAATCAGTAAAAAAGATATCCTAAAGTCACAGCTTGCCAAAAGTAATGTAATAGAAATGCCAAGCTTGCCTTCTACAGAAGCCTCAGATATTGTTATACCATCTTTTAAACCAGCTCATGACACAAAAACTGAAAAACAAATTACAGAACAACTTTCACATTCCTTTGACAAATATGAAAATACTAGATTAGGTGATACACTGAAGGACATAATTGTTAAAACAATATCAGAAAAAGTTCGGGTCAAGTCACAAGCATTAGCAGAATTCTGTAATAGTTCTTTGAAAACTGAGAGTGATATTATTATTAAGTCTGAACCTCAGTCCCCTATTCCTTCACCATTTAAGAAAATAAAGAGAGAGGATTATGACAGAAAACGGGAACATGTTGAGCATATGACAAAACCACTGAAGAAAACTCGTCCAAAACGTGGACAATACAGGAAATATAATAGTCAGTTACTGATGGAGGCTGTGAAGGCAGTCCAGAGAGGAGAAATGAGTGTTCATAGGGCTGGAAGTTATTATGGAGTACCACATTCTACTTTGGAATATAAAGTAAAAGAAAGACATCTATTACGTCAGAAAAAAATCAAGGAGCAAAAGGAAGCTGCAGCACGAGCAGCTGCTGCAGGTACCAGTAATCCAGTCACCAATCACAGCAGTAATAGTAACAGTTCTACTGGTACCGATACAGAAGCCATTACTGTTAAAAAAGAACCAGAAGAAGAGATTTCAAGTCCAAAAACTACCCTCTCAACCTCATGGATGCCGTCCTACTTTACATCTGCTTCTAATATAGCAGGGACAACAGATTTGAACTTTTTTGGCACTTCAGGTTATGCCCTAAGTACCCCTGCCTCTGAACTGCTCAGGAAGTTACAACACAAAGTTCAAACTAAAGCGGATGAAAGTGATTCTTGCTCAAACTCAGGGGAAGGATATGTTTATATACACTAATAAACCTAAGGTAAAGATTTTATTTGTCGAAAGTAGAAGATTCTGAAAAAAAATTTCATGTCTCATTTCTGAGTGGAAAACTGATTTGATAAAAAGAAAAATTTCGGATAATTGAAAAACATGTGATTTTATAAATGCATATGAAAATTTAAAATAGAATAAAAGTAGATGAAAAGTAATCTGTAGAATAGCAGTAACCCAATACTAAAAGAAGACTTCTAGATAAAGTTAACATTTAATAAATTACTGCATCAATATGATCAATGAACTTATACTGTGACTAAAGGAACATTTTATTATCCATTCATATTTTCATGTATTAAAAGAATCAGGTGACCAAAATTTACTTTTGGAAACATGCATGTATTAAAGACAAGAAATTCTTCATGGCTTAGCATTGACAGCATGTTGGTAGATAATCTACTCATAAAAAAATAACTGATATTCACTCACAGCGTACATTTTGATGGAATTGCATTAGACTGAAGATATCCAATTCTGAGTTGTTTTTAGTTTACTTAAATTGCTTACTTTCTACTTACAGAATGGTAACAGTAAAGATGGAAACCAGTCTCACAATTTATATTCATGGCTACTTTTAAATGAAATGAACATGAAATATTGTTTTCTTTATAAAATATCAAGTTCTTGTTTCATGCTTGAAAATAGTAAAGAAATCAGGATATATTGTATCTTAATCTGTATTTTATTAAATTGTTGGTTTAAAAAGAAGGTATACTAAGGACTTTATTGATCATAATCTTTATATATTACAAAATCATGAAAATCAGTTTCCTTTTTTGAAATCAGTTTTATTTCTAACAGATTTTTATTTTTTTCATATATTTATACATGTATTTGAAAATAAAATAAATTGTCGCAAATGTAATTACTCTGTGAATATCATATTTTAAAGCTTTGGGAATTCTGTTGAAAAAATAATAATAGATTATACTTTGAACAATTTACAAGATATATGCTTCAACACATAATTTTGTTACCATATTGTGCATGTATATAGCTGGATAATTGCTTGCTTGAAATACAAGTTCAGGTTATTTGTATGTGAATAGCTTTTTATACTTTCCATGCAGTTTGTTTTGTTTTATTTATTATTATGTGTTCATAGTTGGGACTTGCAATGTAGCTGTTTTTTATATTTTGTTATATATGTGTATAAATTCAATTGGATTAAAATATAGATCCTTTGTCCTTGCTTCTCTTACAAGGATTTGACAGCACTCCATTCTACTTTCTGTTTTAAAGACCTCTCGGTGTCCTCAGGTTTTGTCCAAATGATACACACCTTCAAAAACAAGTGTAGCATGGGCATCACATGATCTGTATTTTAATTAGATTAGTATAAATTTAGACATAAATGACCTACTAACGTTAACCCAGGTTTGATGAGCTATTTCATTCCATTATTACTATGACAGTAAATAAAAATCAAACATAAAACATCTTCGAACCTTCCGATTGATTTAATAATTGATTTTATCATTAAAGGTTATTTTCAAACATTCGTAGAAAAGTAGTGGTTATTTAAATTATATTTGATAGCATTAAACAACCTCAGAAATTAATTATAAGATTAGAGAGTAACATCAGGATCTGCACTGAGTACTGTATATATATATATATATTGGAGCATCCTATGCCATTAACACCAAGTTATAGACATAAATCTGATCATATTAAGTGAAAATTTAGATTTCTTAGTATAGGGTAAGTATTGTATTGAATAAAAAAATCAGTCCAAACTTCTACGTCATTTGGTCTCTGGTGGAGAGTTGTCTCATTGGCAATCATACCACGTCTTCTTATTTTTATACAGTTTTACTAATGCTTTAACTAAATTCATCTTATTTGTGTACAATGGACACTTTATAAAGTCATATTGGCTTTATGAAAATAAAGAGATGTGGTATGATTGCTAATGAGACAACTATCCACCAAAGTTCAAATGAAGTGGATGTAAGCAATTACAGGCAACCGTACTGCCTTCAACAATGAGAAAAATCCATACTGTATAGTTGGCTACAAAGGCCCCGACATTAGTACAGTTAAAATAAATACTGTTAAAGTTGTTGAAACCGATACTTGTTAAGAATTGTCCATTTTCAAGCTATCAACTTTGTTTCCATTTTTGTCGATCCCGCAACATTTATGTCGGGAAAGCAAGACATAGCGATTTTAGATTCATTCCCTGGTTGGCGTCGGCGGTGTCAACATTTAAATTCCGTCCGTGGTGTAATTTTTTTTAAACATCAATAACTTTGCCAAACCTACATGGAATTTTATGAAATTTTGACAGAAGCTTTTTTATGACTAAAATACAGTATCCAGAGCAAAATTAAAAATAATTTTTTTTTCATTTTTTCCGTATTTTACTGATAAAAAGACCGTTGTTTTTTTTTACAGTTAACAAGTAGATTCAGTCATAGGTTAAAGTTTGTTACACATTAGTTACTTTGTCAAACCTTCATAGAGTTTTATGAAACATTGGCAGAAGCTTTTTTATGATTGCTGATAAATGGACTCACTTTTTAAGTCAACATTACACTTTTACACTGACAGCAGCAATTGCAGGCAAGAAAAAGGGTTCCGCGGTTACCCTTACGAATTTTATAATTTTTTGCAAAAAGAAACACCTTTCTGGTAGTACAGACTGTGTCCCTGTTCATTCAAATCAAATGGAAACAGCATGTTTTCATGTAGCCAAGCTATTAAGAATTTTCATGCAATAACCACTGATCTTCTATCCCATTTTTACCATAAATGTGTTACACACATACAAAGTCAAAATTATAATCAGATCCTGCACAATACACCATGCTTGCTCTATTTATTTTGTAAAGGGATATGGTTTGTCTACCAAAGAGTTGATTCCCTTTGCAAACAAAAATTTGAATTTGAAAAAAAAAAAAGCCAATAACTTGAAAATGGAATATTGCACACAACATGTTTTCCTTCTATTGATAACGGGAATTTTTATGTATATTTGTGTATGTGGTATGATAATAATTATAATTTTAATGTCCTAGTTATTGTTATTTATTATATTATATCGATATTGTTTAACTCCAAGTGCAATTTTTTATGAATTATTATTTTGTTGCCATGTTTTTTTTACTGTTGGATGGTGCATTTATATAACTATTTTTTTGTATTTTGTACAACATTCCAGATCTCAAAGTCAGATATTTATATTTTTAGAGACAAATTAAGGTAACCCATCACATGACATTATAGAATGAGTAAAGGTAACAATAAATCACATGACATAGAATAGATAAAGGTAATATTAGGTCACATGACATTATTGAATATAGGTCACATCAGTTCAAATAATATTTATACAATAAATGGTTTTGATATATGAAGATAAAATTGACCACATTAATGTACTACTGTTTAGTTTTCTAGTCACACTGTGCAATTTGTTTAATTGGTTCTCTACAGTTTTTGTTGTTTAGTTGATAATTAAGAGGAACGATTTTGACTTACTAAGTTGTAGGGTTTTTTTTGTGAGACTAAGTCAATTTTATTCCATTGTGTTATACTCAACTTTATTTCAATTTTTTATGGTCATATATTTTTTTCAAAATTAAGGCCACACAAATTTTTAATGTTAAACGTGTATCTCATTTCAAGATATGGGTATGTGTCAATATTGTCAGTATTTTATTTTATTGAGGGAAGTCTTACCTTGGGATCATAAAACTTTGGAGTACAATTAACGTACTCTGACTGAGAATTCAACCAATCAAAAAGCTGGATCTGGTGTTTCAAGCACAAATTTTGTTTTTCGAGTACTGAGTAAAGTTTTATGACCATAGGCCCTGATAATTGAAATTATTGTAACTAGATTGCCCATGGTATTTCAACAAAATGGTCCATAGCAGGAAAAATTGACACAGATAAGAGAATGTCACATAAAGATGAGATGCATGTTCTTTTGTGTTAAAATAATTTAATAGGGCCTGGCTAACCCTTTTAACAAAAAAGAATTGTCAAGTTTAAAAAAGACTATAATATAAAAGTACCATTTTGCAATCTGTATACACCAGATAATGTCATTTCTAACATTACTCAATTGACAAATAAAGTGTATTTTTGTTGTATTTTAAAAGTGATTAATTTGTAAAGCAGGATTTTTACCCACAATAAGTGAACTGTTGCTTAAGTAGCATGAATTATATGTTAAACATGTTACCATATAAGGGTAAAAACATGAATAAAAAAGAACCAGTCTGTGATTTCTGTATACAGCATTTAATAAAATGCTTTTTTTTTTTAAATTTCTAAACATTGTTGTGCATGTTCGTATAAGAAATAAAGGTAACATTTTTTGTCAATCTACAAGTGTTTTTGTTAAAAGTGGCAATATATCATTATATGATTTTTTTTTTGTCATTCCATTAAGTAAAGAATTAAGAAATAAGCTCGTACAAATTACCCAAAGCTGTACATTACGGACCATGTTTTGTTATATAAAACTTATTCATAGATTTTCTTTGGATTTTCACAATCCACACTCTAGCTATAATGTATAATGAATGATCTTTTGGATAAAATTTGATGGTAATCTTCTCATGACTCCAACACCATAATCTTACACTTTGATGAACTGATATATCATTTTCATGGGAGTTGTTGTAAAAAATTCTACTTGAGAGAAGGTCAAATTTCCTGAGCAGCTAGGCAAAGGAAATTTCTTCCTAGGACTGATATCTTTTGGAAATACTCCTCCTGAATGATGTGTAGTAGAAGTAAACCCTCATTTACTAAATTTATAAAGAATAGTGGTAAAATCCTGTACATGAAAAGAGATAATGAAATTAAAAATTTGAATATCAGGAACTTTATAGAAAAAAAACATGGCCGTAAGATGAATAGAAAAAAATAAAAGAAAATTTTGTTATGAAATAAAAATCATAAAAAAATAATTATGAATATAAAATGGCATGGTTGTTTTAATCAAGTAACTAATTATCCTATCTAAGTCATATCTACAAGAAGTTTACAATTTCTGTCATTGTTTTGTGTTCTATTTATGTATTTATATATCTTGTTGAATATCTTTTTACTATTTATTCTCAATTGTTACTGTCTCATATTTATCACAATGTTGTTGCCTTAATCATTAATAAAAGTGTTCAAAATTATTGTCAGGGTTATATTACATTGGCCTAGGTATTAAAATTCTTGGACATCTAATCATATAAGTGTGATTATTTAAATCTTGGGTTTTGATCAAAATCATTTTATGTTATGAACTTTTGTCATTTTGATAGCCTAAATATTCAATATTTATGTTAATAATTGTAACATTTGAAATTAAAATTATTGTGGTTGTCATCCATAAATCAGTAAAAATAGTTCCAATTCCTCTTACATGTTTATTAGTCCCCTACCGACGAAGTCGAAGGGGACTTTAGGTTTTCACTCTGTCTGTCTGTCTGTCCGTCCGACAGTCCGGCAAATCAGTTTTCCAGACTTTTTTTCTTCATGCTTGAAGATATTGATTTGATATTTGGTGTATTGTTTTATCATGACAAGTTACAGGTCAAGTTCGATTTTCACGATTTTAGCTTTTCTCCTTGTTCAGTTAAAGCCCTTTCCCTAGAATTAAATTTTTAATGAAATACTTATTAATTACTAGATTTCTGTTCAAAGGGAATTCACTCATTTTTAGCTCACCTGACCCGAAGGGTCAAGTGAGCTTTTCTCATCACTTGGCGTCCGTCGTCCGTCGTCGTTAGCTTTTTACAAAAATCTTCTCCTCTGAAACCACTGGGCCAAATTTAACCAAACTTGGCCACAATCATCATTAGGGTATCTAGTTTAAAAAATGTGTCCGATGACCCCGCCAACCAACCAAGATGGCGGCCATGGCTAAAAATAGAACATAGGGGTAAAATGTAGATTTTGGATTATATCTCTGAAACCAAAGCATTTAGAGTAAATCTGACATAGGGTAAAACTGATTATCAGGTCAAGATCTATCTGCCCTGAAATTTTCAGACAAATCTGACAACCTGTTTCTGGTTACTGCCCCTGAATTGGTAATTTTAAGGAAATTTTGCAGTTTTTGGTTATTATCTTGAATATTATTATAGATAGAGATAAACTGTAAACAGCAATAATGTTCAGCAAAGTAAGATCTACAAATAAGTTGTCATGACCAAAATTGTCAGTCGACACCTTTAGGAGTTATTGCCCTTAATAGTCAATTTTTAACAATTTTTCGTAAATTTTTGTAATCTTTTACAAAAATCTTCTTCTCTGAAACTACTGATACAAATTTAACCATACTTGGCCATAATCATTATTAGGGTATCTAGTTTAAAAAATTTGTCCGATGACCCCGCCTTCCAACCATCATGGCCAACTTAGTTAAAAATAGAACATAGGGGTAAAATGCAGTTTTTGGTTTATATCTCTGAAACTAAAGCATTTAGAGCAAATCTGACTGGTGGCAAAAATGTTCATCAGATTTAGATTTATCTGTCCTGAAATTTTCAGACAAATCCAACGACCCGTTGTTGGGTTGCTGCCCCTGAGTTAGTAATTTTACAGAAATTTTGCAGTTTTTTGTTATTATCTTAGATATCATTATAATATTTAATATCTAATACTATTAATTATGATTTTAACCTTATTTTACATGATTTCCAAAGCATCAGTAAATACAGGTGAGCGACACAGGCTCTTGAGAGCCTCTAGTTTAACTTTCCCTAGTTTATCAAGACATTAAAACTCAATTTTAGTAGGCATTTGACAATAGTGAAATGAGAGAGAACCTTTCTGAATATATATATATATATATATTTATATATATAAAGTAACTAGCTTCTACTACCTCTACAACTACTAAAACAATTATCTGAACGGTTTTACCTCAAATTTTACCTGGTTGATGCATCAAGTTGTGAAAATCAATTTGAAAGAAAAGCTTGTTGAGTTATCTCCCTTAAACATTAATAGGTGTAACACCACTAATTCGGGCCCGGTCAGAAAGCACATACCAGAAAGAAGTACATATTTAACACAAATTAGTTCCTATGCATGGGTGTAACTTTCAAAATATGTAAAATATTTTGGTAATTTTGGTATCAAATGAAAGCTGAATGGCTGGTGATCATTGTAGAACACTTTTTGACTGATAATTTTGAATAACAAAAGAATTACATGAAATGTAAAAAGGAGGGTACATTTTGCCTGTTTGTCAGATCTGAAGTACCTGTTTTGGTACATCCAAAGTTCCAGGAACCAGTTATCTCTTATATGCCATTAAAGGTATGTTGATTTTTTCAGTACATTAGACACCATAAGGTTTTGCTTTGGCATGCAATGATTGTCACTTTATTTGAACTTAATACAAAAGAGCTGTGTCTGCTTGAAATTGAGGAATTTAACATGGAAAGCAATAGGGCCATGAATTAGTGGTGTACTTCCAATATTTGTATCTGGACAATATCTTTTTATCCACTATTCAAATCTTTACCAATCTATGCCCCATAGGATGATAGACCCCAACAGATTTTTAAGTCAATGGGTCAAAGTTCAAGGTCACAGTTGCAATTCATATTATCTAACTTTAAACATTAATATTAATATCTTGACCATATCTATTTATCGATAATTAGATCTTTACCAAACTTGTTTGATAAAGACCCATACAATGATACAGACCCCTACATATTTTTAGGTTAATAGGTCAATGGTGAAGGTAACAGTTGTAATTGATAGACTGAAATTGGGACAAATTTTCCAAACAACCTTTTGAAGCACATGTCCAAACAAACAAAGCTAGGATATTCCTTTTGTTAAAAAAAAGGGCCTCTATTGATTTTCAGGTTAATAGGTCAATGGCCAAGATCGAAGTTGAAGTTTTCATGAAAGCATTCATTTCTGGTTAATATCTTTTGAGCCATACATCAGATTTTTACCAATCCTTGATGGAGAATGTGCCTTGAGATGAAAAACATCTTTGCTAGCCAAGTCCCCTGGATGGTAACCCTTGGCTAGCGAAGATGGATGAAAAAGGCCCCGAAAGGAATTTGAAGTCACTGTGTCAAGGATCAAGGTCAGCAGCGCTAAATATCAAAGTACTGAAGTACTCGTTATAACGACTTAGCTGACTCGATATAACAAGTTAGCTAAGTCGTTATAACGAGTTAGCTAAGTCTTTATAATGAGTTGGCTAAGTCCTTTTAATGAGTTAGTTAAGTTGTTTAAACGAGTAAGCTAAGTCGTTTAAACGTTTTAGCTAAGTTGTTTAAACGAGTTAGCTAAGTCGCTATATTAAGATAGCTAAGTTGTTATAACGAGTTCGATTAGCTAAGTCGTTATAACGAGTTAGCTAAGTCGTTTAAATGAGTTAGCTAAGTTGTTTTAGCGAGTTAGTTAAGTTGTTTAAAGGAGTTAGCTAAGTTGGTAAAACAAGCTAAGTCGTTATAACGACTTAAAAATAAAACTCCACCATGACACTAACCAGCTTCCGTAGTTATCAGTATACTCTGGTTTGTTGTTATATATTATTTTAATATTTGTATAATAGTTATACCTATAGCAGATTATCTTAATAACTCTACAGGCAAATTTTCATCCATTTATATATCATTCTATTCTACTATTCTAATGATAGTGCAGTACAAGTGCATGGTGGACACTCTTCTGTAATATTTCGTGTTTCTAATAGATTGGATTTGAGTAGGCATTCATATTTTCCCGCTTTTGTTGCAAAATGTTCTCGAGATATTCTTCCGCATGCGTAAACACAAATTTTCGGTATTTATGATTTGTTATTGATATATATATTTCTCACGACAAAAGATTTCCATATCATTTATCTATGTTCTTAAAAATTATTTTCATGAATATTTATTGATGAAATTAATATATAAAAAGCGATAAGGAATGTTATTTTGCACTCGATAATATCCGTGTAACTATATATAGGCACTGGCTATGGTTACATTGAAATGTAACAATAATCAAAAAGTTATTGTTACATTGGAGACTAATTGCCGGAATGCATGGCTGGGTAAGGAAACGATTAATTACGAATGTAACAATAATATGTGTCTTCGGTTACATTGTGTTATTGTTACGTTAATGCACTTCAATGTACATGTATGCTGGGACTAGTAATATGTATTAAAATAAAACTTGAAATCTTTTATTTGAATTTTACAATATTGCATATAACTTTTGAAATTTTAATTTACAATGGCAGTTTCTAAACATCACGTATGTTGTTTTGGGAGCATGTTTCATTCCGACGCATTTTTGGTGAAACCACTCTAGGCAACCATCACAAACGAGTGATGTAGCAATGTGGACGTCGGTTTTGCAGACTTTACATTTCCATATTGCAGTATCCCTTTTTGAAGTTATAGAAACTTTAAATGTCTGTCATGCTCCAGGTGAAAAATATTTTTTTACTCTTGCGATAATTTTATTTTCGTCCAATATTTTTGTTGGAAACATGTGAGGTTGTTTCATGTTGTCTTTAATATAATTGCATCCCAAGTTTAAATTTTTCACGCAAAACAAATTTGGTAATAGGAATCACTTCATCCATTGTTCAAAGTATAATTACAGTAATAAGGGTAAGTGTGCAGTTAAATACATAGAAAGGAACACTTTTCTTCTTAACATCAAACAATTGAACTATATTTTTCGCCTTTGGCACAACTAAACTGTAGTAGTATCTTGAAGAATATTAAAACAATTAATACTTAAAACTATTTAAAAACACTATTTGTTGAATAATAATAATAATAATAATAATAATATTGTCGAAGAATTAAGCAACAAAACTATAGAAGGTTATAGTTTAATAAATCTAACGTTACAATAACACAATGTAACCGTAGACACGAATATTATTGTTACATTCGTAATTAATCATTTCCTTACCCAACCCTGCATTCCAGCAATTAGTCTCCAATGTAACAATAACTTTTTTATTATTGTTACATATTTCAATGTAAACGTAGCCAGAACGAAATACGTTCGGTTATCAGTCAAACGGCAAGGAAATTTCTATATAACACCAGTAAGACCTCTCAAGGTCACATCCGATGTAAAAATGAAATCAGAGCAATTTTTTATCTCTTGAATCATACATCCAATCTTAGATTGATAATATCCGTTG